GGGGAATCGGCGAGGTGGCTCCATGACTCCTCGCCGGGGACCAGCGGGGAGAGCACGGGTCCTCCACTGCCCACACCCTCCCTGCGCAGAAGGCTTCCGCGCAGGGAGACTAGGTGGAGACTAGGCGTCAAAGAGCTTCTTTGCTGGAAGAAGTTCAAGAATCGCCCACTGACGGATTCTGCCAGCGATTGAGACAGCCACGGGCGAGTGGCTGTCCAGACAGAAAGGGTTCACTCAGGCAACCCAGCCAGGTGTGGCGCCGATTTACGCACGAGCAACCCCTAGAACCATTACAACAGGCTTTTGGGAACTGACTGCTTCTAATGAAAGGGCTGGTGATGTGCTGCTTTTATCATAATTGTTGTATGTTTTAATAGATCTCTCTCCTGGCAATAGCTTTGTCCTTCCAGTTGACACACTTGTTGTTGATGGTATAGTCCAGGGGTAGTCAACATTTTTATACCTACCGCCCACTAATGCATCTTTCTTGATGGTAAAATTTCCTTACCGCCCACCAGTGCTTGATGGAAGGATTCAGTTTGTGCCGTAGAACCCCCTACCGCCCACCTAGAATCCTGAAACACCCACTCGTAGGGTGTAGGGGCCAGGTTGACAACCCCTGGTATAGTCAATCAAATATACAGTATGCATATATAACATATACCCGGTAGTTTGCATATTTTTTTAGATGTGGTTGTGAATGTAGGAAAAGCTGTCTGTGGCTGCCGCAGCAGGAAAGAGGCTGGTTGCATCTGGTTTTAAGGTGTATGTTGCCTGGCCTAGTTGCCTTTGGAGATAAGATCATTGGACCTAGATTGTTCTCCACGACTTGGCTCTTGACAGTTTCTGACATGGAGATGCCTACGCAGTTAAGTGCCTGGCTGCCCTACTTCCTGTCAGCCTTCATGAAACAGAGCTGCCACTCAGCATCCATTAACAGACAAGTGATCAATTACTTGTGTTACATCTAGACACTAACACTTCACGGCTATAATAAGAGCCTGAGGTGAGTCAATCAGATGTTGTCATCAGTGATGACACCTCAGCATACCTGTTCCCTTAAAAAGGTAAAGGTAAAGGACCCCTGACAGTTAAGTCCAGTTGCAAATGACTCTGGGGTTGCGGTGCTCATCTCGCTTTACTGGCCGAGGGAGCCAATGTTTGTCCGCAATTTTTCCGAGTCATGTGGCCAGCATGACTAAGCCACTTCTGGCGAACCAGAGCAGCGCACGGAAATGCTGTTTACCTTCCCGCCGGAGTGGTACCTATTTATCTACTTGCACTTTGACATGCTTTCCAACTGCTAAGTTCGCAGGAGCTGGGACCGAATGAGAGCTCACCCAGTCACGGGGATTTGAACTGGCGACCTTCCGATCAGCAAACCCTAGGCTCAGTGGTTTACACCACAGCGCCACCTGCATCCCCTACCTGTCCCCTTATCTGAGGGATATACGCAGGGCTGCAAAGTGGCAAACCTGGAGGCGGTCTTCCATATAACGTCATCTAATTTGACATCCTGCCCACAACAGATCCCCATTGGAACAGATGCAAGACTCGCCAGAATTCAGCGGCTTCTGTTACGACTCCAAAAGGTTTAATGGATACAGTAGGCCTGCTTATGCTTTTCAGAACAGCCTTGCCAACTTTGCAATTAAAATGCTGGCACGGGGTCAGAGACTGGGATTCCTGCAGCAACAGGACTATTAGCCATGAGTGTACTTCTTCCCCGTACATTTTTGTGGCCCCGAAGCTTGAACAGTCGGGGGGGGGGGGGGCCTTCGTAACCAGCAACGAGGTCTGTGCAACGACACAGTTATCTTCTTGAATGGGATTGTTCCACGACAGATCACCACACCTTTACAACAGCTGACTCTCAAAAACTTTGGGATTGAAATATATAAATGAAATAATAATAATTTATTATTTATACCCCGCCCATCTGGCTGGGTTTCCCAAGCCGAATTAATCAATTTGAGTTGTGCAACTCAAATTGGGTCTACTATACCCAATTCTTTTAAGCTATGTCTTTTGGGCCAAAGGAATCTGTTGGGGGTGACTTTGGAGGATGTACACTAAGGTGGAAAGGGGAGTTGAGGCTGAGCTCAACCACCCGGCTTTGAAAATAGGTGCTAAGCAGCTCAAGCATGTGCTGAAAAGAGGTTGCTTGACCTTGGGATGCGGGTGGCGCTGTGGGTTAAACCACAGAGCCTAGGACTTGTCGATCAAAAGGTTGGCGGTTCGAATCTCCGTGACGGGGTGAGCTCCCATTGCTCAGTCCCTGCTCATGCCAACCTAGCAGTTCAAAAGCACGTCAAAGTGCAAGTAGATAAATAGGTACTGCTCCAGCGGGAAGGTAAACAGTGTTTACGTGCGCTGTTCTGGTTCGCCAGAAGTGGTTTAGTCATGCTGGCCACATGACCTGGAAGCTGTACTCCGGCTCCCTCGGCCAATAAAGCGAGATGAGCGCCGCAACCCCAGAGTCGGCCATGACTGGACTTAATGGTCTGGGGTCCCTTTACCTTTACCTAGAATTAGGAAAGGGCAAGTGTCCTGCAGCTAAATCCGATGAACTACTTTGGGATTACTGTTGGGTGTTAAAATATTTTTCAAATGCTTGTTTTTTGATTTGTTGAAGTTAACACAATGAATGCTGTTCATATCTGAACTGATTGGGTGAGAGGCGATTCATACTTGACTTAGATTAACAAAAGACCCTGAGGTTAGGTGGCAAAACACATGGTATTGATTGTGAATGGCAGAAGCACACTCAATGGCTGGGTTCCCTTCCAGCAAGCATGGAAGCAAAAGACAGTATAGAACACTTAGTAAATGCCCAGTGCTAGTTCCCAGGTTTCCCTCTTCCTGCTTTTAGTGCTCTCTAGCTCCCTCCCCCAAACCATTCCCATAGTTCCTGTGGGCAGTATTTCTTTTTTTGAAGAAGAGTTTGGATTTGATATCCCGCTTTATCACTACCCAAAGGAGTCTCAAAGCGGCTAACATTCTCCTTTTCCTTCCTCCCTCACAACACACACTCTGTGAGGTGAGTGGGGCTGAGAGACTTCAGGGAAGTGAGACTGGCCCAAGGTCACCCAGCAGCTGCATGTGGAGGAGCGGAGACGCGAACCCGGTTCCCCAGACTACGAGTCCACTGCTTTTAACCACTACACCACACTGCCTCTCGAATAATTTGACTATTCTGTGACTCAGGAATGATATCCAACATCACTTATTGTACTAACCACAATGATCTGTAGACCAAGGTCAAGATTAACACTCAGGGCCATCTCTGAGCTGCTACATAGCAACTGGCCAAATAAGATCTAGCAGCTGTCATGGAGCGGTAAGACCAGACATCAGTGTACATATAGTATTAATACAAAACATACTCATGAGCTAAGGTGTGAAAGAGCAGGTCAGGCTGCTTAAACCCCATGCTATGATGAGGGGGATCATGGCTAAGGTAAGCTCAGCAAGCTTGTTTAGTCTTCCCTCACATGTTACGAGAGGATATAGTTCATTACTGGGCAGCACAGAATCCAGTTCCCTCAGTCAAAGCTTTCTTTTGTATGTGCAAGAATATCTTAAAGATATTTTGAGGTTTCCCATCCCCTCCTAATTATTTTATTCAGGCTTGCTTTCTTGGATGTGCTTAAGACTGTGCCCTCCATACTCTGCGGATGATGACAGCAGCATCTGAAATTTGCCAGGTGCTTTTTGCACCAGGCTACTGGCCACTTGCGACCAAATGAAGATGCCAGGATGGGGCCTGTTGTCTTCCATCATCTGGAGGTGAATGCCTGGAGATCACTGCATCTTGGCTGTTTTCACACACTAGCAACACATCCTTTAGAATTCTATCAGTGTTATTTTAACACTGCAAAGGCCTTGCACCTAGACGGGACCAACAGCTTTGCAAAGCAAAAATGGGGAAGCACTTTTTTAAAGGTTAGTAAGAAAGCAAGGGACGCGGGTGGTGCTGTGGGTTAAACCACAGAGCCTAGGACTTGCCGATCAGAAGGTCGGCGGTTCGAATCCCCGCAACGGGGTGAGCTCTCGTTGCTCGGTCCCAGCTCCTGCCAACCTAGCAGTTCAAAAGCACGTCAAAGTGCAAGTAGATAAATAGGTACTGCTCCGGCAGGAAGGTAAACGGCATTTCCGTGCGCTGCTCTGGTTTGCCAGAAGCGGCTTAGTCATGCTGGCCACATGACCCGGAAGCTGTACGCCGGCTCCCTCAGCCAATAAAGCGAGATGAGCGCCGCAACCCCACAGTCAGCCATGACTGGACCCAACGGTCAGGGGTCCTTTTTTATTGGCCACTTGCGACCAACTGAAGATGCCAGGACGTCTTCATCATCTGGGGATCACTGGATCTTGGCTGTTTTCACACACTAATAACACTTTAGAATTCTATCAGTGATATTTTATCTGCACAATCAGAATGAATTTCAGGAACCAAAAAGCCGTATTGAAAATTACAACTTTGGAGCCGTCTGGTCCTCAAATGGCAAACTAGATGTTTTGGCGACTGTAGCCCTGGTTTAAGGAGTTATATATCTGAGTTTCTAACACTGGCATGGTATTACTGTGAAGGTTTTGCTACAGAAGAGAGCTAAAATGGGGGGAAGACCTACTCATAGCCCCAAAAGGCCTTGCACTTAGATGTGACCAACAGCTTTGCAAAGCAAAAATGGGGAAGCAATTTTTTAAAGGTTAGTAAGAAAGCAAGGCTGTGCACACAATCCAGTTATTCTGCATTCAATGTGCTCCCAAACTGGTTTGGGAAGTGGCACACGACATTGGCCACAACCCATCTTTATCCCGTCCTTTCTTTTGAAAGACTGTGTTTTGATGCATTTTCCCCCAAATCCAGCTTCGAGCCAGACTGAGAAAAGCAATGGCCTAACTGTGCTTTAAGCTGGCAGTGTGTATGCACCCCCATACTCTGTGCTAACTTCTGTTTAACAGGTTTACTTCTATAGAAAAAAAGCGTGAAAGAGAGATCTTTATTATTGTCAAAGTTTATTTGTAGTGCAAACAAGTAGCTGTTTAGCCTCTGGGAGGGGGGAATCAATCCCCCCCCCTTACACTGTGCACTAAAGAGTTTAGCACAAGAATCTTCCTCCATCCAGCTTTTAATGCAAAAAAGTTGCAGAGACAAGAGTGCTACGAAACAGAAAAACGAAAAAACAGAGAAACACAGGGGTTTTGCTGGAGGTTCATACGGTGTCTCTGCCATCCAGCACAGCAGCAACTTTTTAAATGTGCGAGAATCATTCCTTCCTTCCTCACTTGCCCTAGCATCTAGCCACACACATGCTGCCCTATCTTTTTGGGGGTTGATATAAAAATAAAAGGAGGGGAAACCCCCCCCCCAACTCTGGATAATATGTTGTTCAAACCTCATTGTGACAGCAGACTTGCTTGCAAAATCAATTCAATGTACCAATGTGACTTTGTGCCCTTAAAAATGGAAGGGAAGGAGATAAAAAAACCAACAACTGGTAGACTTTGCATACTGAGAAGGCAGAAAGCAACACTGTAGTACTGAAAATGTCTTTTCTGAAATGGAATCCTTCTTTCTATAATGGAAAATACATCAAAGGCTTGTGTCTAGGGTTCAGCTTAACATTAGCCGCCATCGGCTGGAACTCAATAATGCAGAATGAGGTGTTTTACTTCTATTTGGCTTGAGAAGTTTTGATTCGTAATGCAAATTATCCGCTGGCCTTCGCTACCTTTGCATTACAAACCTGCCTTTTCTGCTTTTTCCTAAGCTATATGCACAGAGAGGCTCAAAAGGCGAGGACCCCCTTATCTAACACCCTTCTGAAAACATGTCTGAACTGACAAGGAACAAACTTGGGGTGTGGAAAAATAGCCCTTGAGAGTTTGCTTTTGCAAATGGTCCCCACAAAACAAACTTTATTGGAGACAACTCCGTGGAGAGCCTCTGTATTTGGGAAGTAACAATAACTTTACCATGAGCTGGTGGGCTCATGACTTAACACTGGGCTTCAATAAATTTCCAAAAACAATTGCCCAAACTGTAATAGATTTTTGTGAAAGGAGGCCCCAATGAGCTGGACACTATAGAAGGCTGGGCAGGGGAGCAGGACACCAGACTGCCATTTATGGCTCTAGCCCCTATTACTGTTAGCGTTACATTCTGCCTTTCTCTAGCGAAACATTTAACAAGAACTTCAGTGCTGAATCAGGTTGCTCCAACCTTCAGCTGAATTCTAATCAGAACGCTTTCTTAAGGAGACAAACTGGAAAAGGCAATTAAAGCAAGAATCAAGATCTGCCATTTAATTCTGGGAGACCCCTGAGCAACTTCTACCACAAATTTTTGCTATCTGACAACTCTCAAAGGTCACATTCTTCATTGCAGGTCTCCTGTTACAACCGAGTTGCTGGGAGCCCAAACGGCCACAGCAGAACTGGTGGCGAAACTTTCCACGGACTTCGTTCCTTTTTGCAGGAATCCTAATCACTTTGCAGAACGTTAGGGTTTGGAGGCAACGGCACCCGCAAGCAAGTATTCTCGTAGATACAGATTCCAACTCTTGCTCGATTAGTTGCTGAACGCTCCACTCTGGTTGGCTCGTTTTTCGATGGGGCCTGCGCTGCAAAAAGGTATGTTGACAACGCATCAGCAGAAACAGCAGGAGGAGCAACAACACGGACATTGTATGCGGAAGGATTATCGGACCATGGCGCTTTTAGTGAAATAAGTGCTTCATAAATACACGAGCAGTTTTTGGCTTTGATGGATTCTCCTCCATTTAAGAGTCGTCATAGAGAGGGTTGTTGTAGTTTCCCCAGGATCCATAGTCGTGGTCATCCAAGAGTCTTCCATACGAAGAATGCCTGAGGGAGGAAACAGAAACAGAACCGTACTCCGGTCAGCCTATGCTTATTACAGAAATGTAAGATTCTGGAGTAAACATTATAACAATAACAATCCCTTTTTCACCTGCCTCCTCCCTCTGTCCTTTTGGGGATTGTACTTCCATTACTTAAAACATCCAGGCTGATCAGACATTTAAAAGTGCTTGTGAAAGGACTGCTATCTAGAATCATAGAATCATAGAATCATAGAGTTGGAAGAGACCACAAGGGCCATCGAGTCCAACCCCCTGCCAAGCAGGAAACACCATCAGAGCACTCCTGACATACGGTTGTCAAGCCTCTGCTTAAAGACCTCCAAAGAAGGAGACTCCACCACACTCCTTGGCAGCAAATTCCACTGTCGAACAGCTCTTACTGTCAGGAAGTTCTTCCTAATGTTTAGGTGGAATCTTCTTTCTTGTAGTTTGGATCCATTGCTCCGTGTCCGCTTCTCTGGAGCAGCAGAAAACAACCTTTCTCCCTCCTCTATGTGACATCCTTTTATATATTTGAACATGGCTATCATATCACCCCTTAACCTCCTCTTCTCCAGGCTAAACATGCCCAGCTCTCTTAGCTGTTCCTCATAAGGCATCGTTTCCAGGCCTTTGACCATTTTGATTGCCCTCCTCTGGACACGTTCCAGTTTGTCAATGTCCTTCTTGAACTGTGGTGCCCAGCACTGGACACAGTACTCCAGGTGAGGTCTGACCAGAGCAGAATACAGTGGCACTATTACTTCCCTTGATCTAGACGCTATACTCCTATTGATGCAGCCCAGAATTGCATTGGCTTTTTAGCTGCCGCGTCACACTGTTGGCTCATGTCAAGTTTGTGGTCAACCAAGACTCCTAGATCCTTTTCACATGTACTGCTCTCAAGCCAGGTTTCCCCATCTTGTATTTGTGCCTCTCATTTTTTTGCCCAAGTGCAATACTTTACATTTCTCCCTGTTAAAATTCATCTTGTTTGTTTTGGCCCAGTTCTCTAATCTGTCAAGGTCGTTTTGAAGTGTGATCCTGTCCTCTGGGGTCTTAGAAGATCAAATTGTGATTACAGTGGTACTTCAGTTTACGAACTTAATCCGTTCTGGAAGTCCGCTCTTAAACCAAACCCGTTATTAAAGCGAGGAACATTTTTCCTAATGAGGCCTCCTGCCGCCGGTGCCTTTCCACAGTTCAGATTCCGTTCTTAGACTGAGGTAAAGTTCTCAAACCGGGACACTACTTCCGGTTTTGCGGTGTCCGTAAACCGAATAGTTCATAAACAGGACTGTTCTTAAACTGAGGTACCACTGTAATTTAAAAAGTAGATCTAAGGATTTTAGCAGACCACAACCTTAACATGAGTCAACAGTGTGATGCAGCAGCTGTTCTAGGGTACATCAACAGGAGTCTAGTGTCCACATCAAGGGAAGTAATAGTCCCACTCTATTCTGCTGTGGTCAGACCCTATTTGGAGCACTGTGTCCCGTTCTGCGCAGCAGAAGAATATTGACAAACTGGAGCGTTTGCAGAGGAAGGTGACCAAGATGATCAAGGGCCTGGAAACCAAGCCAAGGAATGGTTGAGGGAGTTAATATGTTCAGCCTGGATAAGAGGAGACCAAATGGAGGTATGATAAAAAGGTAAAGGACCCCTGACAGTTAAGTCCAGTCATGAGCGACTCTGGGGTTGCAGCACTCATCTCGCTTTACTGTCCGCAGTTTTTCTGGGTCATGTGGCCAGCATGACTAAGCCACTTCTGGTGAACCAGAGCAGAGCATGGAAACACTGTTTACCTTCCCCCCAGAGCAGTACCTATTTATCTACTTGCACTTTGACGTGCTTTTGAACTGCTAGGTTGGCAGGACCAGGACCGAGCAATGGGAGCTCACCCCGTCGCGGGGATTCGAACCGCAACCTTCTGATCGGCAAACCCAAGGCTCTGTGGTTTAACCCACAGCGCCACCCGCGTCCCTTCTTAAGGTATGATAGCCATCTTCAAATATCAAAGGCCTATAACACATAGAGGATGGAGCAAGCTTGTTTTCGCCTGCTCCAGAGGGTGGGTCTCAAAACCAATGGCTTCAAGTTATAAGAAAGGAGATATCGACTAAAGATCAGAGAAGGACTTTCTGACAGTTAGAGCTGTTCAACAGTGGAGCTGATGGACTCTCCTTCCTTGGAGTTGTTAAAGCAGAGGTTGAGTGGCCATCTCTCATGGATGCTTTAGTTGAGATTCCTGCATTGTAGGAGGTTGAAGACCCTCAAGGTCCCTTCCAATTCTAGGATTCTAAGTTTCTCACCTGTGGTAGCCTGTTGTCAGTTTGCTGTTGCGTTTGGTTATCGGTTGATACTTCTATTGTTCTTGGGTTTTGGCACAGCTTCTGTATGCCTCCCTGGGAATACTTTGGGATTGGGTACTCCCCATCAGTGGGACACGGGTGGTGCTGTGGGTTAAACCACAGAGCCTAGGACTTGCCGATCAGAAGGTCGGCGGTTCAAATCCCCGCGACGGGGTAAGCTCCCATTGCTTGTTCCCTGCTCCTGCCAACCTAGCAGTTCAAAAGCACGTCAAGTGCAAGTAGATAAATAGGTACCGCTCCAGCGGGAAGGTAAAAGGCGTTTCCGTGCACAGCTCTGGTTCGCCAGAAGCAGCTTAGTCATGCTGGCCACATGACCCGGAAGCTGTACGCCGGCTCCCTCGGCCAATAAAGCAAGATGAGCAACCCCAGAGTCGGCCACGACTGGACCTAATGGTCAGGGGTCCCTTTACCTGGGTGACACCTGGCTTGAGAGCAGTACATGTGAAAAGGATCTAGGAGTCTTGGTTGACCACAAACTTGACATGAGCCAACAGTGTGACGCGGCAGCTAAAAAAGCCAATGCAATTCTGGGCTGCATCAATAGGAGTATAGCATCTAGATCAAGGGAAGTAATAGTGCCACTGTATTCTGCTCTGGTCAGACCTCACCTGGAGTACTGTGTCCAGTTCTGGGCACCACAGTTCAAGGAGGACACTGACAAACGGGAACGTGTCCAGAGGAGAGCAGCCAAAATGGTCAAAGGCCTGGAAACGATGCCTTATGAGGAACGGCTAAGGGAGCTGGGCATGTTTAGCCTGGAGAAGAGGAGGTTAAGGGGTGATATGATAGCCATGTTCAAATATATAAAAGGATGTCACATAGAGGAGGGAGAAAGGTTGTTTTCTGCTGCTCCAGAGAAGCGGACACGGAGCAATGGATCCAAACTACAAGAAAGAAGATTCCACCTAAACATTAGGAAGAACTTCCTGACAGTAAGAGCTGTTCGACAGTGGAATTTGCTGCCAAGGAGTGTGGTGGAGTCTCCTTCTTTGGAGGTCTTTAAGCAGAGGCTTGACAACCATATGTCAGGAGTACTCTGATGGTGTTTCCTGCTTGGCAGGGGGTTGGACTCGATGGCCCTTGTGGTCTCTTCCAACTCTATGATTCTACCTTTACCTTACTCCTCACCAGGTGTCTATATGCTATCTGGATAAGAAGTGAATTTTATAGGGGCTCTTTCCACTTCCAGCTGCGGAGGAGTGACTGTAAGAACCATAGTTAAGAAGCCAGCCTCTCCCCAAGGAACTACTGCCTCTCCTCTAAGTAAAGGCACCAATTCTTACCTGATCTTCAGGAATGCGGCTATGCCAAACACCAACAGAACCACTGCAATCACTGTGATGGTAATAGCTGCAATGCTACCTGCACAGCAAAGGAGATGCATCAGAGATCACAGTTTTACCTTCAACCATCCAGATTATTTTTCATCCTACGATTCAGTCTGCAGGCACACTGCCCTCTAATGTAGAAAACGTGGCAAACCAAGGAAGCTTTGAGCACGGAGTGCTCAAAGCATATTAAGCGTTGACTCCAAATCCTGCGATTTGAAAATCTGCACGCACACAGACAGTGTGGCGTAATTATAATAGCCACTAGGACCTAAATAGCGCCTTTCTTCTCTGAGGTCAGTCCTATCATCCTCCGATTTAAGCAGCAGAGGTGAGGGGGAGAGAATGGTTGCTTGCTTAAGGCCATCAAGTGACGTTATGGCTATGAGATTTAATCTCTGGGGCTTTGAACTTCTGCGTTCAAAGCCTGTGCGTTCTTATTAAGTGGCTAACTGCTATTCCAGCTTTTTTAATACTAGCTTGTAAAAGCAAGGAGAGGGACTGGGGGACGACATTAATCTTTGTAGTGGGGGAAAAAGAACCAATGACTGCCTGAGTACTAGAGGACCTCTATCTGCTCTTTCTCTCCTTGTCTCATTCACTAAAGACAGCCTAGCAGGTCCCATGTCTTCAAGGTACTTTCAAAGTCAAGACTGGAGAACCTGTGGCTCTCCAGTTGCTGGGGCTCCAATTCCCATCAGCCCCAGTCAATGGTCAGAGAGGATGGGAGCTGCAGTCTAACAATATCTGAACTGAGGGTCCTGGCTGATAGCCAGGTTCTGCGCCCAGATTTGTAGGCACAGATAACCCTCTGGAATAAAATAGCTTACTAGGGAAATGCTGAAGTTGCCCTTTGGGGTGCCTCAGGGTCAATTTTTATGGTAGCCCAAATCTCAGTTGTACGGGTGTATGTATATATCTCAATTAAACTCATGAGCTATTGCTGCAATCTGCTCTGATTGTATATTTTATCTTTATGAACTCTGTTTTTATTGTGTTTTGCGAGCTGGTCTTTGACTGTAATAAATTATCTATTTATCTATGAACTGAGGGTCACAGGTCCCATTCCGGTCCAATAAACATGGAAGCCCACCATCTTAGCTGTGTGTCCTGGAAGACCTACTAGATTTTTTCCACCTAGCATGAGAGGACAGGGCCCTGACTGAGTGACAAAAACTGAAGCTGCTGAACAGATGCTTGGGCTGGGGTATTTGTTGCTCTTATTGATATTAATTTGGTAGATCTTTATTTTATCGATCTTATGCTTTATGTGGAAACTGTTCAGTTTGGCTGTGTGCTTTTCTATGTGTTTTATTTATTGCTCATGACTATTTCGTTATATTTGTAATTATGTAAATCTTTTCACGTAGTAAGTTGCCTCGAGTGTGCTTTTAATTATGGAAAGGCGGCATACAAATGAAATTATAATGATATTAAGGATTTATTTACAGCTTTCAAGAATGATCTCTGCAACTTCCACTATTATGATTCAAACTCTACAGATGAATTCAGACATCTAAACCATGGTTAAGTTTAATTTTGCTCTGGCCTGTTGTGTGAATTGACATGACATGGTTTGCAATTGGCTGGCAAACCAGAATTGGGAACTACAGGGAGAAGCCGCCTCTCTCTTTAGAATCTGTTAATAATTTATATTTTATTCTTGGCTTCTTCCCCTGCCAGATAAATTTAGAGATATATTTTTGCAGTGACTGAGGGCCAGACAGAAGCATTATAACCCTGGTTTATTCTAATTATGATCTGGCGTGATGCATGCATGGAGTAATGGGAGACACACAATAGTTGTGGCCATCGCTCTTCAAGTTGCTGCATCACAGACAGAAAGTAAGGGACAGGAATGCACCTTCAAAGTTGAGGGCTGAGAGGACGGGTAAAGAAAGCAGACAAACAGCTCTAAACCACGGCTTGCCTATTATATATTGTAGTCTGGGTTCTATGCTATGGTGAATAACAAACCGTGGGCTAGTACAAGGCCTGCACTGAGTCCATTTTTCAGAAGATAAGCGAGAACGTTAAAATGTATCGGGGTGGACAGAAATTTTTTAGTAGGTGTGTTCTGTTGTGTATTATTATTAATTAAATTTACTGGTTGCTTTTGCTTGCCAAAGGCAACTCAAAGTGACTTAAAAACAAAACAAGCAAAAACCCACATAGATATATTAACACACCCAATTAAAACAATACATTAAAAAAGCCCCATGCACTCTTTAGAGGGCACAGGCCTGGTTAAAGAGGAAAATGGATGCATCCTTTTCTATTTTGACATTTATTTATTTTTTAGGGGGGAAATAATATGTCTTGAGTCTTTCCAATTTTTTATTATTATTATTATTATTATTATTATTATTATTATTATTATTATTATTTAAAACAATAATCTAGGGAGCCTTATGAACTCCCTAAAACAGACAACAATAAGCCGCAAGGTTGACAAAACCATTGCCGTGCAAAGTGCGGAAACAGACCAACTCACCCGAACTCAAGGCCCGTTGAACTTCTTGTATGGTTACCCCCACCGAGAACGTGGTACTGCCAGCAGGGGAGGTCGCTGGAGTAGCCTTACTTGACATAGCCGCTTGCGAAGAAATAGTAACCCCTTGCGTGGAGCCCAGGGAGGATGCTGCCACAGATGTCTCTCCAGATGTTGCCTCTCCAGTAGGGCGTTTGCTGGAGGACACAGCTGCTGGAGATGTTCCTGCACTCGGCACTTGGGTGGTGCTTAGATAGGTGGCGTTAATAGGAAAAGGGTTGGTGGACGATCCATTTAGAGTAGGCGAAGAGCTGACTGGTGTGGTTTCCGAGTGAGGAGTGGTGCCTGTGACCAGGACGGCAACTGATGTCGCAGGGGCTGATGTGTCTTCCGTGGTTTGTAATCCAGTGTTTGGCTGCGGTGATGAATGGGTTGCTGCTGAGCTATCCGGGGCCGTTGCTGTTGACAGGGGCGTTACAGCTGAAACGGGGTTTGCAGTCAAAGCTTCCACAGTGGTGTTAGGAGTAGTGGCGCTATCGTACATTGAAAGTGTCCATGGGAGCGAATTTGTCGTGGAGGCTCCCTTCTGGGTGCTCAAAGGAGTGCCAACACTGGTTGTAGCAGCGGAATCATTAAATTCTGTTGTTTCTGAGGGAACCGTGCTTGAGGGAGTAGGTGGACCAGGTGAAGAGGCACAGGAGACATTTAAGCCTGCACAGGTGAAGCACACGCACAAATATTATTACCTTCCAGATTTATAACCAGTTGGCCATATTATTAGCGTGAGCGGGAAACAGAACCTAGAGGGGATGGGTGGGCGATGCAGGTGGATTGGAAGGGCTGTGAAGGAAGGAGGAGGCTGGATTCTCAATGACCAAAGCAGGGATATTGCAGGTTGAGTTCCCCAACCCAACAGTGCCTCTCAATCACCCCTATACTTTCTCCCATCTAAATGAATGGTTTACCTGAGGCCCTTCACCAGGTGTTGCCAGGTATCAGAAGGCTACATATCTGACTACTGGAGAGAAGATCTTTTCTGTGGTGGCACCTCAGTTGTGAAGTTGCTTCTCCAGGCAAATTCACTTGGCATTATCAATGCATTTTGAATGTCAGGCAAAATTTGCCCGGTTAATAAAAACAGTGTTCTTTTATTGCTGTTTGAAAGGTCCATATAGTTAAAGCTATGGTTTTCCCAGTAGTGATGTATGGAAGTGAGAGCTGGACCATAAAGAAGGCTGATCACCGAAGAATTGATGCTTTTGAATTACGGTGCTGGAGGAGATTCTTGAGAGTCCCATGGACTGCAAGAAGATCAATCCTATCCATTCTTAAGGAAATCAGCCCTGAGTGCTCACTGGAAGGACAGATCCTGAAGCTGAGGCTCCAATACTTTGGCCACCTCATGAGAAGAGAAGACTCCCTGGAAAAGACCCTGATGTTGGGAAAGATGGAGGGCACAAGGAGAAGGGGACGACAGAGGACGAGATGGTTGGACAGTGTTCTCGAAGCTACCAGCATGAGTTTGACCAAACTGGGCAGGCAGTGGAAGACAGGAGTGTCTGGCGTGCTCTGGTACATGGGGACACGAAGAGTCGGACATGACTAAACGACTAAACAACAACAACAAAGAGGATCCCACCGCTGTATACCAACTGTGGCAGATCCCACCTACATACACACTCTGTAGTAACTACCACAGGTTATCTTTTGGATTTTGTGTGAGGAAGTACTTACTCAGGCAAAAGTTGAACGAATAAGAAATATTTATTATATAGAACAAAGTGAATAAAACAAAGGATGTTATCAGGAGATAATGTCCTTTCAGGAAACAGTTAACCAAGTACTAAATTATACTAATTATACTAACTCTAACAGATGTTACAGGCTTCTAATCTAGCACACTTCTTTTAAACTTCAGTTGCTTAAGTTCCGTTACAGTGGTACCTCGGGTTACAGATGCTTCAGGTTACAGACGCTTCAGGTTACAGACTCCACTAACCCAGAAATAGTACCTCAGGTTAAGAGCTTTGCTTCAGGATGAGAACAGAAATCACGCAGCGGCAGTGGGAGGCCCCATTAGCTAAAGTGGTACCTTAGGTTAAGAACAGTTTCAGGTTAAGAACGGACCTCCGGAACAAATTAAGTTCTTAACCCGAGGTACCACTGTTTTGCGCTTCAGGTAGACCTTACAGGTTTCTAGACCAGAAGGTAAATGCTCAGCTTATTTCCAGTTATTCCACTTCAGTTCCATAACTCAGTTGTTCCAACACATCTCACTACAGTGGTGCCCCGCAAGACGAATGCCTCGCAAGACGGAAAACCCGCTAGACGAAAGGGTTTTCCGTTTTGGAGGTGCTTCGCAAAACGAATTTCCTATGTGCTTGCTTCGCAAGACGAAAATGTCTTGCGAGTTCCTGCAGGGTTTTTTTCCTCCCCCCCCCTTTTTCCCAAGCCGCTAAACCGCTTATCAGCTGATCTTTAAGCCGCTTAACAGCTGATGCTAAGCCGCTTATCAACTGATCTTTAAGCCGCTTAACAGCTGATGCTAAGCCGCTTATCAGCTGATCTTTAAGCCGCTTAACAGCTGATGGCTAAGCCGCTTATCAGCTGATGGCTAAGCCGCTTATCAGCTGATCTTTAAGCCGCTTAACAGCTGATGCTAAGCCGCTTATCAACTGATCTTTAAGCCGGCTAAGCCGCTAATACTGTAGCGCTAAGCCGCTAAACCTCTAATGGGCTTGCTTCGCAAGACGAAAAAACCCGCAAGACGAAGAGACTCGCGGAACGGATTCTTTTCGTCTTGCGAGGCACCACTGTACTTTGGTTCTTAAACAAGGTGGCCCTTTCTGTCAGTGACCCAACCTTTTATCAACCACACTCCTGAGGTGCTTCCAGCAGTGTAACGGACACAGAGGGTCACCACACCCCTCTTAACTGGTTTGGGGCTCTTCTCCATCTCCCCTTGTGACTGGGATGAGACCCAAGTAGGCTGTATCCTCACAACTTCTAGTTCTCTTGGCTCTAACTCAGCCCTCTGTGGATCAAGGATTCAGTTGTCAGGGGCTAGACGGTGCCTCCATAATTCCTAGCTTCTCCCCACGCTCCACCCCGACTCGCATTAGCAGAGTCAACTGTGAAAAAATAAGGGACACAGGCAAATCTTATCAGCCCATCCATGCTGCAAAATCCAACTGGTGGAAAATTTAAGACTCCCGGCTTCCTTTTCGTTTGGCAAAGCACTCACTGAACCCTGCTTAGTATCTGCTTGCCCAAACGTCGCATTTGTCCCATCGAGCTGGACCTTAGCTCATTCATTCTGGAGCGAGCGGAGTCTGCGTCGCTAAATCAAGCCCAATTAACTTCCTGTTTTCAAAGGGTGAAGACAGGCGTAACATTGCAACGGGGACCGCAGCGCGTTTTCCGCCCACAGAGCAAGAACAGAGCTTAGTATGACTTTGCAATTTGTCCCCGCCGCAGTTGCATGCCAGCAAGGTGAATGCCGGCTCCTCCCTCGATCTTGGCTTCTCCCCTCAGGCCTCAAGGTTTAGCTTTAAATAAAACTAAAGCGAAAGCAGCCCACCCATCCTGGCTTTATTTGCTCGCCCTTCGTTAGACAAAAAGTGAAAACTTTCCGAACCGGCCAAACTACTCCAGCGATTGACAGGGAAGTTGTGCCTGCCAACTGGTGTCAGCCACAGCTGTGGTTTCCCTCAGTTGAGTGGAGCAGATTCTAAAAAGCCGCAGGACGCTTTTATCGTTCATCTTGAAAAATTTATAACGAATGCAATTCCAGCTCCCTTTGCCTATTGCTCTGCGAATGGGAAATCTGCTTTCATCCAAGATTTTCATTTTCCCAGCAAGCAGGGGCGGCCCAAGACATTTTGGCACCTGAGGCAAACCGCAAAATGGTACTTCTCTCTCCCACCCCCCAATGTACCCCTAGCCAGGAAAGAAAAAGTGAAGATCTACATCAGGACGCAGGTGGCACTATGGGTTAAACCAGAGAGCCTGGGACTTGCCGATCAGAAGGTCAGCGGTTCGAATCCCTGCGACGGGGTGAGCTCCCGTTGCTCGGTCCCTGCTCCTGCCAACCTAGCAGTTCGAAAGCACGTCAAAGTGCAAGTAGATAAATAGGTACCACTCCAGCGGGAAGGTAAATGGAGTTTCCATGCACTGCTCTGGTTCGCCAGAAGCGACTTAGTCATGCTGGCCACATGACCTGGAAGCTGTATGCCGGCTCCCTCGGCCATTAAAGCGAGATGAGCGCCGCAACCCCAGAGTCGGTCACGACTGGACCTAATGGTCAGGGGTCCCTTTACCTTTACCTTTACATCAGGAACAAGGGGAGAAAAGGATGTACATCAGCAGTGCTCAGTGTTAGAAACTCAGATATAGAGGCTAGGTGCCAAACGGAACCTTAAACCAGGGTTGCAGTCTCCAAAACAGAACCTCTAGTTGCTGTTTGGGGGCAAGACAGCTATAGACTCTTATTTTTCAAATGAAGGACTGATTGTATTGTTAGTTAAACATATGGCTAATTTAGAAGACAACCTTGAACTAGGTTGAGAACTCTGATAAGGAAGAAGTCACTTGATTCAGGGACATAGATTATCCCTACCTCTTTTTCTTAACAGTCCATTCATAACATAAGAATATTATTCACAACTGTGGGGAGGGCATTGTGGGGGGTAAGTAAGTAAAAATAAGCTACAACAACTGTTTGCCGCTCCTGCTCAGGCTGCACAGAGGCAGCATTTTGCTTCATGAAATTCACTCCGATTGTGCAGATAAAACACAACTGCTAGAATTTTACAAGGTGGGGTATTAGTGTGTGGAGCCAGTCACCATCCGACCATCCCAGCATACACCTCCAGATGGTGGAGATGTAAGGCATCTTCACTTGGTCGCAAGTGGCTGATAGCCCGGTCCAAAATGTGCCAGGCGCCTGGCTAATATCGAACACTGGCCAAGAGTGTTTGCCAAGAGATGGCTGTACAGGTGGCATTGTGGAGTCAGCCAAGAAGGTGACTGATTCAGCAGCAAGAGGCTATGCGTTCCTTGGAGGCCGGCTGCCTCTGTGGATCCTGAGGCCTGAGGGTCCCCTAACTTTTCCTCATGGGTGCGCTGGCTCTGCCAGAAAGCCTCTCTCCTCACCCACTGTTACATTGATTTCAATCGTGGAAAATGAAACCCAACGTAACAGTATGGTTAAAGGTAAAGGGACCCCTGACCATTAGGTCCAGTCGTGACCGATTCTGGGGTTGCGGCGCTCATCTTGCATTATTGGCCGAGGGAGCCGGCGTACAGCTTCCGGGTCATGTGGCCAGCATGACTAAGCCGCTTCTGGCAAACCAGAGCAGCGCACGGAAATGCCATTTACCTTCCCGCCGGAGTGGTACCTATTTATCTACTTGCACTTTGACGTGCTTTCAAACTGCTAGGTTGGCAGGAGCAAGGGCCAAGCAACGGGAGCTCACCCCGTCGCTGGGGATCCAAACCGCCGACCTTCTGATCGGCAAGGCCTAGGCTCTGTGGTTTAACCCACAGCGCCACCTGTGTCCCAACAGTATGGTTAGGCAATAATAATAATAATAATAATAATACTAATAATAATATATTATTTATACCTCACCATCCGGCTGGGCATCCCCAGCCACTCTGCTCAGCTTCCAACAAAATATTAAAATACCGTAATATATCAAACATTAAAAGCTTCCCGCAACAGGGCTGCCTGTAGATGTCTTCCAGACGGTTGGTAGTTGTTGTTCTCTTTGACATCTGGTGGGAGGGCGTTCCACAGGGCGGGTGCCACTACCGAGAAGGCCCTCTGCCTGGTTCCCTGTAACTTGGCTTCTTGCAGTGAGGGAACTGCCAGAAGGCCCTCGGCACTGGACCTCAGTGTCCGGGTAGAAAGATGGGGGTGGAGACACTCCTTCAGATATACTGGACCGAGGCTGATTAGGGCTTTAAGGGTCAGCACCAAGACTTTGAATTGTGCTCGGAAACATACTGGGAGCCAGTGTAGGTCTTTCAAGACCAGAGTTATGTTGTCTCGGCAGCCACTCCCAGTCACCACTCTGGCTGCCGCATTCTGGATTAGTTGTAGTTTCCGGGTCACCTTCAAAGGGAGCCCCACGTAGAGCGCATTGCAGTAATCCAAGCAGGAGATAACCAGAGCAACCCACTCATAAAATCAAACAACATAATTATTATTTATTTGGACCTGGGTAGTATTCAATCATGTCACATGTGCCTGTCTTTGGACAGAACTAGATCCTGAAATTATGCCAATTGTTTCTCTGTCCACTTGCTTGACAGGAATTGTACTGTCAAGAACCGTCACTGAAAAATGCAGAACTGCCCTGTGGGGTTAATAATATACGCACTCAAGAACAATTTCTTTTGTCCCTGTGGAAGCATATCTATTAAAAGTCATTATCGCTTTTGTGCTAGGAGGACTACATGTTCATGAATGAAATTCCTGAACCTTCTGTACTTCTCTCTGGTGGCAATGAAAAATAGCTAGCATCAAAACTTTCCAGTCCTTCTGAGATGGTTAATACGTCTGTTTGTTCCCTCACACATTCAGACCAGAAGACACTGATCTGAGCATTTCAGATAATCCACAAATTTCTCCCACCCCTAAGATTTCAAAGAAGTTATTTTTAAGCTTCAAGTGAATTGGTCACGGCAGGTGTTTTCCATTTAAGAGTGAATATAGATGCAATATTTCAGTGGCGTAGCGTGGGGGGTGCAGGGGGGGCCGGCCGCACCGAGCGCAACATCTGGGGGTTAGGGGGCACAAATCCACGGGTTAGGGGGCGCAAATTACTTGCCTTGCCCCGGGTGCTGACAACCCACGCTACGCCACTGCAATATTTAACAAGGCAGCACAGCAGGTTCATCATCCATGGTGTTAATTCTGGCTTTGTAACTTGCAGAAAGTCAAAAACAGGCTCAGCAGCCAATCACTGCCTCCCCACCAGTCATGTATTAGATAGCCAGTCCTGCTTCTATTCCAAAGTGCCATATTTACCAACAACTGTATAAATACATCCACACCCAATCTTACTTTAAAAGGTCCAGAGATACGGTTGCAAAATTCCTGTGAGAATTGAGGTGGCTTCCTCTTGAGTCAGCCATACTGCAAAAACCACCCCTCAAAAACATGATCCCAAGGCAGAGGAACATACGATTGCACTGATAGTGATGAGGGTATTTTGACAAGTAAGACTTCCCTCACTTTTGTTTGAGCAAGGTGTCATTACAGTGGTGCCTTGGGTTAAGAACTTAATTTGTTCTGGAGGTCCGTTCTTAACCTGAAACTGTTCTTAACCTGAAGCACCACTTTAGCTAGTGGGGCCTCCTGCTGCTGCCGTGCCGCTGGAGCACGATTTCTGTTCTCATCCTGAAGCAAAGTTCTTAACCCGAGGTACTATTTCTGGGTTAGCGGAGCCTGTAACCTGAAGCGTATGTAACCTGAAGCGTATGTAGCCTGAGGTATCACTGTATTTTGATACCAGTAAAAAGGTAAAGGTAAAGGGACCCCTGACAGTTAAGTCCAGTCACGAACGACCCTGGGGTTGCGGTGCTCATCTCGCTTTACAGGCCGAGGGAGCCGGCGTTTGTCCGCAGACAGTTTTCCCGGGTCATGTGGCCAGCATGACTAAGCCGCTTCTGGTGAAACCAGAGCAGCGCATGGAAACGCTGTTTACCTTCCTGCCAGAGTGGTACCTATTTATCTACTTGCACTGGCATGCTTTCAAACTGCTAGGTTGGCAGGAGCAGGGACCGAACAACGGGAGCTCACCCCGTCGTGGGAATTCGAACCGCCGAACTTTTGATTGGCAAGCCCAAGGCTCAGTGGTTTAGGCCACAGCGCTCCCCATGTCCCTTTGATACCAGTACAGTATATTAAAAATGTATGGGGACGTGGCTGGAGAACAGTGGTAAGACATCTCCGGGTAGCGCTGAGACCAATTGCAGCGCTTGCTTGCCAGTCCAAGTAGGGAAAACTGGGCTAGCAGAGTCCAGCGTCCAACTCTGTAGAAAGTACCTTCCTATGTTCCTACAGCATAAAACCTAGACAACATCTTAAAAAGCAGAGACATCACCTTGCCAACAAAGGTCCGTATAGTTAAAGCTATGGTTTTCCCAGTAGTGATGTATGGAAGTGAGAGCTGGACCATAACGAAGGCTGATCGCCGAAGAATTGATGCTTTTGCATTATGGTGCTGGAGGAGACTCTTGAGAGTCCCATGGACTGCAAGAAGATCCAACCTCTCCATTCTGAAGGAAATCAGCCCTGAGTGCTCACTGGAAGGACAGATCGTGAAGGTGAGACTCCAATACTTTGGCCACCTCATGAGAAGAGAAGACTCCCTGAAAAAGACCCTGATGTTGGGAAAGACGGAGGGCACAAGGAGAAGGGGACGACAGAGGACAAGATGGTTGGACAGTGTTCTCGAAGCTACCAGCATGAGTTTGACTAAACTGCGGGAGGCCGTGGAAGACAGGAGTGCCTGGCGTGCTCTGGTCCATGGGGTCACGAAGAGTTGGACACAACTAAACAACAACAACAATGTCCCTACAGTCTGATTAATGCATTGCCTTGGTTTAATTATTTTCAAATGCAAACACAATAATTAAAAAAAAAGGCCCTGGCTAACTCCAGCCAGTGACCAGCATCCAACAACGAAATAAGTAGCCGATGGAAAATAACCCAGCCTGACTTTTTAAAAAGCATGTGTAATGGTCTATATATAAACAGACAGCATATGCAATTAACCTGCCTTCTAGGTTGCCTCCAGCAGATAAACAGCTTGGCTTAAAAAAATTCTACAACAGGATACATTTGCCCTGAGAACTGGGAAGTCTAAGGTTTTAGCCTTTTGGTTTTAGCATTTACTATAATCTTCAGGTCAAGTTACTGAAACTGCGTTTGGGAGTTGGGTGTGGGATAGCTTTTGACACAATATAGTGGCTTCTCAGTCTGAAGTCTGTCAGCTTCCTTACTCCCAACCCTCAGAAGGCTGAATAGTTGTTTTTAATGTTTGTTACTGCCGATCAAAATTTAACTAGGTTTTGGGGCTACTTGTTATTACACTTCTTATCAGTGGTTTAGGTTTCTGGGCTGCCTGGTGGACAGGAATATGGGCAAGAAGTTGTTGTTGTTTAGTCATTTAGTCGTGTCCGACTCTTCGTGACCCCATGGACCAGAGTACGCCAGGCACTCCTGTCTTCCACTGCCTCCGCAGTTTGGTCAGACTCACGTTTGTAGCTTCGAGAACGCTGTCCAACCATCTTGTCCTCTGTCGTCCCCTTCTCCTTATGCCCTCAATCTTTCCCAACATCAGGGTCTTTCCAGGAGTCTTCTCTTCTCATGAGGTGGCCAAAGTATTGGAGCCTCAGCTTCACGATCTGTCCTTCCAGTGAGCACTCAGGGCTGATTTCCTTCAGAATGGAGAGGTTGGATCTTCTTGCAGTCCATGGGACTCTCCAGAGTCTCCTCCAGCACCAGAATTCAAAAGCATCAATTCTTCGGCGATCAGCCTTCTTTATGGTCCAGCTCTCACTTCCATACATCACTACTGGGAAAACCATGGCTTTAACTATACGGACCTTTGTTGGTAAGGTGATGTCTCTGTTTTTTAAGATGCTGTCTAGGTTTGCCATCACCTTTCTCCCAAGACAAGAAGTAGAAGGGAGTAATTTTATTTTATTTTCAAAGTGCCCTTCAAGAAATAATAAGTTTCGGATCTCACTGGCTGGTGAAAGGCCTGTTTGCTCCATCTGTCTTTCTGCATTAGCTGGTTGGCGCTTGATAAGGGTTTTGGGTTGCCAAAGATTCTCTGGAAAAGCAGCAACGGCAACAGAGGAGGAGTTATGAGGGCCACTCCAAACTGTGACGGTGAACAGATAAAAGACGTTGACTTCTCCACCCTACCGGTCCTTATCCAGTCCCCTTCAGAGAAATACAGCAGCAGCCCTAGTAGCTTTAGCAATGCAAGAGTCTGGTAGCAAATTGCTTTGTGGAATCATATTCATTATCTGGTCGCCAGATTCTGTGTACAAATCTGTAGACGCAGACCATCGCCCAACTCAAAATAGTCCGGCATGAAAATCCCCAAACTCGGTTCCATGGGTGACTCTGAGTCAACTCCCTGAGATAGTTTATTGTTGTACATTGTTTCTAAATTTATTGTTTCACATTGTTTTAATTGTCTGTTTTAATTGTCGGTTTCTAATGTTGTGAGTGTCCTCTATTTCAGAGGCTTCTACTCTGCAGCCTCTTATACTTGTTTTAACTGCGAGCCTTTTAGTTCTTATGCTCTTACAGTTGTCTTAACTGCGTGTTTTTATTTGTTTTTAGTTCTTATCTGTTTTAATTATCAGTTTTTATCCATCCATTATCCGTGTTTAATCTTGTATTTTATTCAGATGTTTTATCTTATGCTTGTTTCTTTGTCCTTATTTGCTCTAACAATTATTGGTTAAAAAATAAATCCTAACTGCTATTTTATTTATATTTTTTGTTTGTTTGTTTGTTTCGTTTGTTTTTTATCCTGGTCTGTGACCGTAATAAAGTTCATTCATATTCATTTTATATTGGTCATTCCGTTTGCTATAATTCCACCAGGGTGGAAGCCAGCGTGGTGTAGTGGTTAAGAGCGGTGGACTCGAAATCTGGTGAACTGGGTTCGATTCCCCGCTCCTCCACATGCAGCTGCTGGGTGACCTTGGGCCAGTCACACTTCTCTGAAGTCTCTCAGCCCCACTCACCTCACAGAGTGTTTGTTGTGGGGGAAGAAGAGAAAGGAGAAAGTTAGCCGCTTTGAGACTCCTTCGGGTAGTGATAAAGCGGGATATCAAATCCAAACTCCTCCAAATCCAAACTCCAGGGGTGCTAAAGATGGGAGGGTTAAAGCACATGTTTTGCACGCAAAATGTCCTCTCCCCAGTCCCCAGTAGCTGCATGCAGGGCTGGAAAAGATGCCAGTCTGATTGGCAATTGGATGAGCCAATGGTCTCACTTGGTACAAGGCTCTATGATGGTGGGATTATACTATTCCTCATGTCTGCAATGGAATTTTTTCTCCAGTGAAAAATCTCCCCTATCCTCGCCTTTCCCCCCTTTGCAGAGCTAGTTTAGGGCAGGCCTAGGCAAGCTCGGCCCTCCAGATGTTTGGGACTACAACTCCCATCATCCCTAGCTAACAGGGCCAGTGGTCAGGGATGATGGGAATTGTAGTCTCAACACATCTGGAGGGCCGAGTTTGCCTATGCCTGGTTTAGGTGGGATGAATCACAGAAGGAAAAGAGTCAAAACCATATCCCAGAGCTTCACCTCTCTGATCTGCAGGGCAGAGTGTCCCTACAGGGTTGTGAATGAGCAAAAAAACCCAAACAGCCAGATATCCTTATCAAGCCTATAATGTTTCTGTCTGGCCCTCAGCCCTGAGTGGGATTGAATCCAGAAACAGAATGCTGGTAGAGCCATTATATTCTGAATGATTTCCTGCAGCAATTAAGGTTTGATGTAGGGACAAAATGGGGGGGGGGGAGAGAGAGGGAGGGAGGGAGGGAAGCATATTGTTATGTTTCAAGCCACGGAAATACAGTAGCCGCTGTAATTTTCTGTGAAGTCTGTAACTTGAGACGTTGCCTTGCTGCAGCTACGAGCCGCGATAGCAGACCCACAGGGATGTCTGAACTGGTTTTCAAACCTAGGCATTGCCAAAATACAATCAAGATTTGCTTGATGACAAGCCTGTAACATTCCGTAATTGACAGAACACATGCAAAGGGCAGGAAAACAGAGACAAGGCAGATATGTCTGCTTTGAGGGTGGAAAGACCTTGCAAGAGGCTGTCACGAACTGGCCGTTACTAAAATGCTCTGTAGCTTATTGTTATCGGGACACTTAATTTCACATCTTCATTTCGGTACAGTAAAATGTCAAGATGACTTTCCTCTTACTTACTTTCCGCAGCCAACCCCCCCAAAATCACTTTCTTTTAACTCTCTGCTTAATAAGGTCTTTGCTGGGAAATTTAACCTGTGCTGACGTCGCAAGGTTGAGTGTTGTGTTTGCTGAAGGCAGGGTGAAACTATATGTGACACAGCTATTTCCCTGATCTAAAATCTGCCCTCCCAAACCTGCTATTTGAGCCTGACATTGCACCTTGCTATTTTCACCCTGTGAAGATAATAAGGGGTTTTCTGTTATGTTTTGCAAGGGGTGGGGGGATTAAATCAGGGAAATACCATGGGAGAAAAGGATCAGACCCCCTCCCCCAGTGCCAATTCCTTAATCAAAGCTTACAGTCTCCTATAGCTGCTTTGAAGTTAACACAAATAAACAAGCCGGATGCATGTGGAAAATTCGGATCACGCCTTGTCTGGCCCTTCCATTCCAGAGATATGGCATTTAGTCGCACAATGGCGGCAGTAGATGCTATTATTTAAAAATTCTTCTGTTTTCCCTTTTATTTTATCTGCTCTGTGGAGACCATCCCCTAGCTTCGGGATATCTCAAATTGAGGGTTTTACGTAAATGTGACCTCTGGTTCAAGCACCAGAGTACATTGAGAAATGACGGAAAATGTTTCAAATGGAATGACACCTTGCTCAAATGGAAGAGGCCACTGGAACAAATTTTAGCATACATGTGTGCTTATATCCAGTTATATAGAATCTTGGTCCTCCGGCTGAAACTTGTAGTACAGCCGTACCTTGGTTCTTGAACAGAATGGGTTCCAGAAGTCCATTCGACTCCCGGTACTGTTAAAAACCAAGATGCGGTTTCCAATTGGCTGCAGGAGGCAACCCCATTCCCACCCCACACCCTGATGACCTGTGAGCCCCAATGCGTTCTCCTATTTTTAAATCAAACTTAAGCTTTTGCTTTAACCGCTGAGCAAATTCTCTCACGCCAAGTCTTTAAAAATGGACAAAGGTGGTGTGAATTGCTCTTGTGATAATCTCTATCCATATGATGGGCATATACCGTATTTTTTGCTCTATAAGACTCACTTTTCCCCTCCTAAAAGTAAGGGGAAATGTGTGTGCGTCTTATGGAGCGAATGCAGGCTGCGCAGCTATCCCAGAAGCCAGAACAGCAAGAGGGATTGCTGCTTTCGCTGCACAGCGATCCCTCTTGCTTTTCTGGCTTCTGAGATTCAGAATATTTTTTTTCTTGTTTTCCTCCTCCAAAAACTAGGTGCGTCTTGTGGTCTGGTGTGTCTTATAGAGCGAAAAATACAGTACTAAAATCAGACAGCAGCAGGATCCAGGTGTTTTTATTATTTTGATGAGAGAACACACTATCGCCTTTCTGCAGCTAATAATCGCTTTTGCAATGCATTGTTAAAACATGGGTTGCTTATTTTTCACTTGTCGTTTCCTTTGCTGGAACTGTCCATCTGCTGATAAGCACTTGTTTCTAGGCCTACTCTCCAGCTCAGTGATGGTCAAACTTGGTCCTCCAGCTGTTTTTTGACTACAACTCCCATCAACTCTAGCTAACAGGACCAGTGGTCAGGGATGATGGGAACTGTAGTCCCAAAACAGCTGGAGGGCCAATTCTATGATTTTAAGCACTTACTACATTCAGGTTTTCCCTTGCTGTGTTTGAGGCAGGCATAAATGTCATAAAGCACATTTCATGACATAATTTATATCCAGCCAAAGTTAAGTACTGAGTGGTAGTTGAGGGGAACGACAAAGTGAGTTTGTTTTCTGCTGCTTTTATATCGATTGAGATTAATGCCCCTGAACTCTCTGCTGCGTTATGTTGCAGAATTGGCACCAGCATAGATATATTAAGACTTTCCTTTGGAGGACGGCTTTATGGGAGATGGAAGACTTGAGAGGCTATATGCTAAACTGCAATCAATCTGATGCAACAGCCCTATAGCGTGTGGGGGAACAACAGCCAGTCTCTAAATTCGCACGTCGTGGGTTAGGCCAGGGGTCAGCAAACGTACCGTGCTTCGGGCAGGTGTCTTCAGCACCGATCGCACGGTGGGCCAGAGGGCGGGGGAGCGCGTGCCCATACACGTGTGCACACACTATTTCCGGCGCACTTCCGGGTCAGAGGACCACCGGAAGTAGCTTGTGCGAATGTGCACGGGCCTCCTCCGACCCGGATATGCACCAGAAATAACGCTTGTGCATGTGCAAATAACCCTTGTGCATGCCCAAATAACGCTTGTGCATGCGCACAAGCTATTTCCAGTGCTCCTCCGACCCGGAAGTGGGCAGTGGCGCAGTGCAGTGCTGGTAAGAGCAGGCAGCGGAGGTCGCTACGGACCGGATAAACGAGTTCCTCGGGCCTTATCTGGCCTGCGGGCCTTAGTTTGGGGACCCCTGGGTTAGGCAGCAAGGCACTCAAAACCACTTGCCGCTGTAACAACAGCAACCAGTTCTGATCTTGAATGGATGACAACCACCGGAACATGCTGCCCGAGAGGACTAAATTCTCGCTGAGATGCTAAACCTATGCCTATGTCTGAGGATGTACCCCAACAGACCCGGAATTTGCATGGCGAAATGCCCTGCCACGCATTTCTGCCCTCCAAATCCCTGGACCTGGAAAACCAGCTGCCGGGGAGAATTCCAGCAGAATATTCTCCTTGATATACCAGTTTTCTATCTGCAGGTGACTTTTAAACATGCCCCCACCAGTAGGAAACAGGTCAGTGTCTCAAACCCCTCTGTGCCTTTTTGGCTGCCACGCAAAGTTTTCTGAAAATCCCAGGATTTGGCAAGAGGATATTTTTTGCAGGGACAGCAATACTGAGCTATAATCTTTTTCCCCAGCATACTCTGTTATACTGGGAGTTGAAGAAGGGAAGGTTTCTTCTAAGTTTCCCGTAAGAAAGGCTTATCTGTTTACGATTGAGAGCAGCCTGCATTCCCTCCAAGTAATTAGATTGCATATTCTTGGAGTCACGCATCCCTCTCGGTCTTGCGTAAATCACTCTCTATAGCTCTATAGTTCTGGGCAGCTGCTGCTTAGGAGATGACATCCCATCACCACATTAATAAGCTTCACTGCCAGGCCTATTTTATTGAGTTTACTGGTCTCTGCTTTCTGTCACCAAAGCACTGTGCAAGCCAGCCGATAACTCCTCTGGCAGGCTTGGCCTCGACTGCGACAGCACATAGCCTGTTTTCGTACGGTGTTTCCACTATGAATATGCATTTAAAAGCGGACCGTGTAGCAAAAGCTATGGGGAAAGGGATGGGAAAATGCACTAGATAAGTGTGGGATAACAACTCCTTGGCGCACGATTGGGCAAGAGATGTTGGACACAATATAATGTTTGAAGACTGGAAAAGGTTGTGGAGGAAAGGGGTTAAGTTCACTGCATGCACGGTGTTAAAGGAAAATGTTATGAAAATGATGTATAGATGGTACTTAACCCCTGTAAAATTAGCAACGATTTACCATAAGCCTGATAACCTATGTTGGAAACGTAAAGAAAAAGAAGGTACTTTTTATTATATGTGGTGGACCTGCCCCAAGGTGAAAGACTTCTGGGAAAAGATATATAATGAATTGAAAAAAATGTTGAAATATACATTTCTTAAGAAACCAGAAGCCTTTCTACTTGGAATAATAGATTTGGAATTGCCCCCAAAAGATGTTAGATTGTTTTTGTATGCCACAACTGCAGCTAGAATTTAGCTGGCCAAAAATTGGAAATTACAAGAAGTACCAACAGTGGAGGAATGGAGGATGAAGATGATGGAATTTTCGGAGCTATCCGACCTGACCGGAAGTGTCCATGACCAGAGGGAGGAGGAGCACCAAGAGGAGTGGAAGAAATTAAAGACTATTTAGCTAAATATGTTAAGATAATATAAACAGAATTACTTGCGAGTACCAAATAGGCCTAGGATTTGAAAATGTGATGTGTAAAACATTATGTTAAAGTTAAAAATGAAAAGAAGGTAAGATGTTAATTGACCAAGTATGTGAAAGTAGTTTTGGAAAACTGTTACAATGATTTATATGGAAACTCAGCCAGGGGGGGATTCGAGAAAGTCACTTAACAATGTTAACAAAAGTGGAATTACTAAAATCAGGATAAAGTTTGTTGGTTTGTTTGTTTTTTTATTTTCTTTTTCCTATCCGTTTGTTATAAATTTGGAAAATTAATAAAAAAAAATGAAAACACACACACACAAAAACAACTCCTTGGCGCAGAATCGTCTAACCTCCCCACAAGCAAATCAGAATGAATGATCAAAATATAGTTGATGCTGTCTATCCTCCTTGCAAACTTTGCGCCAACAAATCAGGGTGTAGGCTCAATCGAACAGATTGCCTGAAGCACCCGTTGTCCTTGGCGGCTGCCATTTAATTTTTTTGGGACAGTGGTTGGACTGACTGGAAATGAAGTGTAGGCCAACCAACAGCCCACCTTCTTTCTTGTCATTCTCTGCTGGAATCCCTGTTGTGTTGGGGCGGGTCTGTGTGTGGGTGTTTTTTTGGGGAATGGTGTATATTGCTTTCCTTATTATTAATTATTATTTTGGTGTTGAGCACCCCCCCCCCCCCAATATGGTGGTGGGGTATTGCCTGTTTGTTTTCCCCTGTGTTTTGGTAGTTCGGGGCATTGTGTGTGTTTTGCCAGTTTGAGCAGTGCCTATCCTTCTTCTTGGGTGAAAAGCAGTGACAAACCTAGACAGCATCTTAAAAAGCAGAGACATCACCTGGCCAACAAAGGTCTGTATAGTTCAAGCCATGGTTTTCCCAAAAGTGATGTATGGAAGTGAGAGCTGGACCATAAAGAAGGCTGATCGCCGAAGAATCGATGCTTTTGAATTATGGTGCTGGAGGAGACTCTGGAGAGTCCCATGGACTGCAAGAAGATCAAACCTATCCATTCTTAAGGAAATCAGCCCTGAGTGCTCACTGGAAGGACAGATCCTGAAGCTGAGGCTCCAATACTTTGGCCACCTCATGAGAAGAGAAGACTCCCTGGAAAAGACCCTGATGTTGGGAAAGATGGAGGGCACAAGGAGAAGGGGACGACAGAGGACGAGATGGTTGGACAGTGTTCTCGAAGCTACCAGCATGAGTCTGACTAAACTGCGGGAGGCAGTGGAAGACAGGAGTGCCTGGCATGCTCTGGTCCATGGGGTCACGAAGAGTCGGACGCGACTAAACGACTGAACAACAACATCCTTCTTCTGTGAAATGGGTACATTTTTTGGTGACTGTGACGGTTCCTTATATTTCCGGAATGTTCCGCCCTTGAGCCTGAAAAGATCGTGGAGCCCTGTTTCAGTCTGAGGGAAGTACTGGCCTGAGAGGCAGTATCGTCCTTCCACACAGTTCCCATTTTGTCCAAAGCGGTTTTAAAAGGATGGCTTCTCAACGGTTGCCAAACAAAGGAGATGGAATTGCGTCTCTACTGACCCCAAGAACTCAAGATATCAGCTCTATAGCGGGGAACTCCAAAAAGAACTGTAAAAGCAAACATTTTGGGTTCTCAAGTGGGCTCAAAAGCCATGCTGCTAAATGTTGAACTTATTGAATGATTACCGTATTTTTCGCTCTATAAGACGCACCAGACCACAAGACACACCTAGTTTTTGGAGGAGGAAAACAAGAAAAAAAATATTCTGAATCTCAGAAGCCAGAACAGCAAGAGGGATCGCTGTGCAGCGAAAGCAGCAATCCCTCTTGCTGTTCTGGCTTCTGAGATAGCTGTGCAGCCTGCATTCGCTCCATAAGACGTACACACATTTCCCTTACTTTTAGGAGGGAAAAAGTGAGTCTTATAGAGCAAAAATACGGTATTATTTTCATGTCACCACAGTGCCCTCAGGTTCCAGCAGCCAGGCTTCCGATTTCTGAAATTGTTTAGTTTGCTGTCACCCGCCTGTACATTAAAGCAGCAACAGGGCACTAGTTCAGAATTTAAACCCATAATGAGGCAACTGGCTCATTTTGTAGCTTTCATCTCAGCATGAGCTTTGATCTCATTAAGACAACAGTTCATAGCATCAAATCCTTCTAAATTATTCTTCGCCACCCTGCTTTTCAAAATGGAGTGTTTGTTTCTTAAGGCACGCCGGTCCTGCGTTTAACAAGCTTTCCTCGAGTGCATGAGAAAAAGAAAATGCCTTAACAGTTAAATCTCAGTTGCAGCCCACAGGGATTTGAAGAACCATTATTCAGAAAAGGGGCAGGACCCACAACTAGTCATCTAAGGTTTTTAAAAGAATAGCAATGGATTTCTTACAGGGGTCAAAGCAAAGTGCCACATTTTTTTCTGGTGGGAACCAGAAGAGATCCAGAATTATTAAGTACAGCGGTACCTCGGTTTACTGAACTTAATCCATTCCGGAAGTCCGTTCTTAAACCGGGGTGCGCTTTCCCTAATGAGGCCTCTCGCCGCCGGTGCCCTTCCGCCATTCGCCTTCCGTTCTTAGACCAAGGTAAAGTTTGCAAACCAGGACGCTACTTCCGGTTTTGCAGAGTTCGTAAACCAAATCGTTCGTAAACAGGACTGTTCTTAAACTGAAGTACCACTGTATTGCTGAGTGCTGAGAGTTCGTTTCTAGACACACGGCGCTGGTATCTCATTTATGTACAGGGCATGTGAACACATGCGCGGTTTCTGCAGGAAACAGCTGTCCCTATGTAAAACTGCGGGGAATGGGAACGAACTGCTTGTCACTATGGCGGCTGAGTGGCTAAGAGTGTGCATATATAGCAGGGAATCTATTTTCTCTGCGTATGGAGAAATGCGTCTCTGTGTGCAGCAGGGACAGGTGAGAAGGCCAACACCACAAATATAGTGTTTTGCTTTGGCCCACAGGAGTTAGGTTACCTGTTTAATATTTTTATGCCTTTCCCCTAGCATCAAGACATACTCACGGAAGTCTACAGAAGCCGTGCCAACGGCCAGCGACAACAGGAGTGTGTCAACATATAACCAAACACAATGGTATGTTTCCGAACACAATTCAAAGTGTTGGTGCTGACCTTTAAAGCCGTAAATGGCCTCGGTCCAGTATACCTGAAGGAGCGTCTCCACATCCATCGTTCTGCCCGGACGCTGAGGTCCAGCTCCGAGGGCCTTCTGGCGGTTCCCTCATTGTGAGAAGTGAGGTTACAGGGAACCAGGCAGAGGGCCTTCTTGGTGGTGGCCCCTGCCCTGTGGAACGCCCTCCCTTCAGATGTGAAGGAAATAAGCAGCTATCTTATCTTTAAAAGACATCTGAAGGCAGCCCCGTTTAGGGAAGTTTTTAATATTTAACGCTGTATTGTTTTTAACACCCGATTGGAAGCCGCCCAGAGTGGCTGGGAAACTCAGCCAGATGGGCAGGGTATAAATAATAAATTATTATAATATTATTACTATAACAGTAAAACTGACAACAGGCTACAAGCACCCATTGCAAATTCTACCACAGATGAGAAACTTAGCATCATGGGATCATAGAATTGGGTCGCCTAGTCCCATGGTTCCTAATGTGGGGCAGATACCCCACAGTGGGGCAATCTGATTTTTAAGGGGGGCAATTAAAGAATGAGTTATTAACAGTGAATGGCCTTTTGGGCTTCCTCCACGTGAATAAGAGCTCACTTTTTGAATAATCAGAATTATATGTCACGGGGGGGGGGGGGGGGTCAAGGTTTTAGAGATGCTTAGGTGGGGCATAGCCAAAAAAATCGTTAGGAACCGCTGGCCTAGTGCCATCCCTTCCAATGTAGGAAACTTGTAACGCTGAAACACCTGTAAAATTAAAACATATTCTGCCGAGGGCTGAAAAGATGTCAAGAGGTGATGGCAGGTGTCTCCCCCCCCCCCAAAAAATTGCTACCCACCTCACCTCTATATAGAGGGATATAATCTTGGGTAGACTTGGGGTACCAATCACTACACACACACACACACACACATGTATATATAATGTTTATATGTTTGTTTGTTTATATGTATGTTTAATGTATATATAATATACATTACAACATAGTGGGGGTGGGGTGGGGGTGGAACAGGCTATCATTGATGAAATGTGGGTTGTTGTTTTTTAAACTGAACCTGGAGGTCATCGATCAGAAATGGATCCCCAGATTTGTTCCCCAGATCTACAGGAGTCAGAAGGATCACACCTGCGCAGATGGAAAGAAGATTCTGTACCAACCAAGGAGGAGTAGCAGATTAAACTACAGTGGTACCTCAGGTTAAGAACTTAATTCGTTCCAGGGGTCCGTTCTTAACCTGAAACTGTTCTTAACCTGAAGCACCACTTTAGCTAATGGGGCCTCCCGCTGCTGCTGTGCCGCCGGAGCACGATTTCTGTTCTCATCCTGAAGCAAAGTTCTTAACCCGAGGTACTATTTCTGGGTTAGCGGAGTCTGAAACCTGAAGTGTCTGTAACCTGAAGCGTATGTAACCCGAGGTACCACTGTAACGGGAGCAATATGGAACTAAGAGGAGAGAAACTTCATCAGAGACTGGGGGGAAATTGTAGATGATTTGAAATGCATTGTACGCACCAAAGTTCATTAGTAGGATTAACTTAAACCAAACAGTTAAAATGAAACTTAAAAGGAAACCAAGGCGTAGTTAATAATTGGAGTAATGAAGAAAATGCAGTGTTATAAATTAAAATAAAATAAGAAACCGCAAAAGGGGAGGGGGGAGGGAGTCAAAACATTTTTGTTTATTGTAATATTGGATTTGTATTGTTGTCAAAATGTTTTTTAAGAAAAACAGAGAAATGAAATAAATATAATTGAAAACAACACATGCACACACCCATTCCTTAGGAGCAGTCATGTGCAATGTCAGCTGATTTATTCTGCACACCACTCCTATCTTCTAAACTCTCTCCCCCCGCCCCCCCGGGAGGCTCAGTCCCAGCCAGACACCCTTTCATTCTCTTGGGCTTTTATAAAGGCTTGTGTTGTTTTCTAATTGTGCTTTTATTTATTATGTTTATCCAAAGGTTTGTAAATCTGCCCTGAAAGATGGTACCTTGGGATACATACGCTTCAGGTTACAGACTCCGCTAACCCAGAAATAGTACCTCGGGTTAAGAACTTTGCTTCAGGATGAGAACAGAAATTGCGCAGTGGCGCAGCAGCAGCAGGAGGAGGCCCCATTAGCTAAAGTAGTGCTTCAGTTTAAGAACAGTTTCAGGTTAAGAACGGACCTCTGGAATGAATTAAGTACAGTGGTACCTCGGGTTAAGTACTTAATTCGTTCCAGAGGTCCGTTCTTAACCTGAAACTGTTCTTAACCTGAAGCACCACTTTAGCTAATGGGGCCTCCCGCTGCTGCCACACAATTTCTGTTCTCATCCTGAAGCAAAGTTCTTAACCCGAGGTACTACTTCTGGGTTCGCGGAGTCTGTAACCTGAAGCGTATGTAACCTGAAGTGTATGTAACCCGAGGTACCACTGTACTTAACCTGAGGTACCACTGTATAAGAAGCAGTTTTTGTTTTGTTTTTAAAAAGAAAAAACAAAATGAAGAGTTACCACTGTTACATTTCATTTCTCCCACTTCAGGCAAGTCACAACTGACTAGATGCAGTCAGAACCGGGCTTCCTAATTCAAGAAGGAAATAGGTATCTATTTGCCCTCCACAAAATTAAGGCAAAATAAAAATCTTAAGATCCAAGTGTCACAGTGGAAAGAGAAAATACGCAAAGCTTTGGGTCAGCAGGTTTCCCTGCTGATCTCATAAACACTCACGAAAAGGTAGGACTTATAAACTGTTTTCACTGTCCAGGTAAGTAGGGGCAAGGAGGAAAGTTTGCACGCCTTTTCACGCAAGCAAGGTTCACAAAAGGCTAAAGTGTCCTTAAAGCGGCCTGCAATTTCCTTGGTGAATTTTGGACCTATAAAGTTACAGGATAACTAAGCAAGAATTGCATGGTGCCAAAAGTCATTCCGCATGCAGAGGATGCCATAAAGTCAGGTGGTAAGTAATAAACAGCTGCTGCTTCTTACAAGTAACTGAGTTGAAGCTAAACCCCAGAATGGGATCCAGGCTACCACTTTTAAACTATTCAAAAGTCCAGGGGAGAAAGATTAAAATGCTATTTTGGATTGCAAGGAGATGGCTCTTTGCAAAATAACTTGATTATTTAGAAAACCGAAAACAATCATAGAATGGAGGACCTTGAGATTCACAAAATAACAACACTTTGGAGGTCCCGAGCCTCAAGGAGGTTAGATTGGTTTCAACTAGGGCCAGGGCCTTTTCAGCACTGGCCCCGACTTGGTGGAACGCTCTGTCTCATGAGACCAGGGCCCTGAGGGACTTGACATCCTTCCGCAGGGCTTGCAAGACAGAGCTGTTCCGCCTGGCCTTTGGTTTGGACTCCGTCTGACCCTTATGTTTCCCTCCCCTTATGGTCTTGATTTATCAGCTACTTTAAAATGAGGCTGCATTTTAAATTGCATTTTAACCTGTATTTTAAATTGCCCCACCCTCTTTTCCCCCTATTATGTTTTTACTGTGATTTTATTGGTGTTAGCCGCCCTGAGCCCGGCTCTGGCCGGGGAGGGCGGGGTATAAATAAAATATTATTATTATTATTATTATTAATCCAGGAATATGCAGGGATCAAACCTGCAACCTTGGCATTATCAGCACCACGCTCTAACCAACTGAGCTATCCAGGATGACATAGCTGAGTTCACCCACTTCGGATCACACTGAAGGTGCAACCGTTTTACTGCACACTTTGTCAGGTGCATGAAAAGTTATCAAATGGATGGAGGGCTGCGTGTCAAGATTCCTGAATTGCAGGGGGTTGGACTAGATGACCCTTGGGGCGGGGGGGGTCCCTTCCAACCCTACAATTCTGTCCTTCAGGTGTCTATACATACATCATGGTAACAAGAAAAAAAGGAACCAGATCTCTGACAAAAGCCTGAATGCAATACAGCGGATGCTCGTTTTGCGAACGTCTGCAACCTGCAACGCCGTGTCTCTGCTCATGCAGGTTGCAATTCTGCGCATGTGCAAAGCACAATTTAGTGTTTCTGCACATGCGCCAAAACCCAGAAGTAACCTGTTCCGGTACTTCCTGGTTCGGTGTGTTGTGCAACCCGAAAACGTGCAATCCGAAGCGTCTGTAACCCGAAGTATGACTTTATAAGGACAGAGTGATCCACTCACAGCAGCTGATTATCTGAGAGGAAGATTTGACAAAGTGCCATATGGGCTTGTACTGTCAGGAACTGCGCTCTGAAGCAAAGCACGAGGTTCAAGTGAGCTTGCAAAATACTTTGTGAGAGTGGAAGCTGCTGGATACCTTTCATCAAGCTGGGCTTGTCCCAAGACTCGCTTAAAAGTCCTGGGTCCCCAGGTTGTTTGGTACAACAATAAATACTGCAGGAACAAAGGAAAGGGCAAATTAACGCAAATTATGTCAACAAGCAGAAAAGCCTTTCTGTTTCCAGGCAACCACAAAACCATGCAACAACAAGCATCAGAATGGGGAGACGCCGCCTGCCACCGCTGTCGAAAAGATCCAGAAAGCGGGCACTGGGAAAACGAAAAGCACAGCTTTGATGATGCTGCCTTGGAGACAGCTTGCAGCCCCAAACAAGTTCAGCGACTTGTTTTGAGCAAGCTGCTTGCGACTAACTGTGTTTAGCTAAATTGTAGAGTGTGAGGAAGACTGTACAGTGCAAGTACGGCCCTCTTGACAGCAGGAACATGGTTAACCTGGGGGAACATAGCAGGAAAACCAATGAAGTGGAATATTGTGGGGATAAAAGGTAAAGGTAAAGGTCCAGTCATGGACGACTCTGGGGTTGCGGTGATCATCTCGCTTTATTGGCCGAGGGAGCCGGCGTACAGCTTCTGGGTCATGTGACCAGCATGACTAAGCCGCTTCTGGTGAACCAGAGCTGCACACGGAAATGCCGTTTACTTTCCCGCTGGAGCGGTACCTATGTATCTACTTGCACTGGCGTGCTTTCGAACTGCTAGGTTGGCAGGAGCAGGGACCGAGCAACGGGAGATCACCCCGTCGCGGGGATTCGATCCACCGACCTTCTGATCAGCAAGTCCTAGGCTCTGTGGTTTAACCCACAGCGCCACCCGCGTCCTATTGTGGGGATGGTCCAGTATAAATCCACTTGCTGGCATCACCGGAGACAATGGAGTGTGCCTCTGAGGGTGAAGCCAAACTGCTGCATTAGAATCACTGAAGTGACCTCCCTGGGGTGCTGGTCTGGGCACTGTGTCTGGAGGTCCTGGGCTGCCCAGATGACAAGACCCACCCCCTCTCGTTCTTACTGATGTGGTTCCAAGGAAAGCAGAGCAAGACATTTGGCACCAGCTTGGCTGCAGGAGTTGCCAAAATTCCTTCTTTTACACATCTGTTAAAGATCCCAGCCTTGCTTCTCTCTGACGCTGTGGCAGTTCTGCCAACCAGCGACCAAGGCGTCATTCTCTCCCAAGCTCCCTTCAAGAACAAAATCCTGTACTGAGTTACTCTGTAAAGGTAATTCTCCGAATCGTATGTTGAACATTTTGACCTTCTGCTGTAACACTGGCTGCTTTCAATTATTTACTGGATGTTGTAGGTAGGCCAATACATCTATCCCCTGTTTCTTAAGGGAAAAAAATATCTCACGGTTGCGTACTTTGCACTGTGACAGTCACCTTCGGAGAGCAATGGAATTTTACTATTTTGGACCCTGAAAGCAAATTGCTTTGGTGACGGCAACTGACCTGATAAACTGCGCGAAACTTCCAATACAAAGTGAACCATTCTTTTAGTACTGCTTGGGAGAAACTTCAATTCTGGGGCTGGCTGGCCCGAACCACTCCAATACAGTGGTACCTTGGTTGTCAAACGGCTTGGCTCCAGAACAAATCAGCTCCCGAAAGCTGCAAACCCGGAAGTGAGTGTTCCAGTTTGCGAAGGTTTTTCGGAAACCAACATCCAACAGAGTGCAGGAAGCTTCTGCAGCCAATCAGAAGTCACACCTTGGTTTTCGAAGGGTTCCGGGAGTCGAACGGACTCCTGGAACAGATTAGGTTTGATAACAAAGGTACCACTGTACTTCAGACCAAATAAATTTTGCCCTTTCTTGAGTCTGACTTGAAGAACCCCAGCCTGTGGCAGCTAGGCTGCTTCCCTCTAAAGCTGAATGCCTCAAAGAAGCACAGAAAAGCCCAATAATATGGTACTGTGAGCTTGAAGTCAGCTTTGTTGACTCAAAAGCTAGCTCCACTGAGTTCAGTGTAATGTATCCTCAGGTAAGTGTGTATAGGACTGCAGTTTTCACCCCACCTTTTAAAGCAAATCTCTAACCCTTATGGAGCAGTCTGCTTGAAAGTATGCAGGCAACACCTGCTGAAATCTCAGAAGTCCAAGGAGTTGCTGAAAAGGTTTTCCTGGTATTCGGGGGAGGCACTCCAGTGTTTGGGGGTTTAGTTTTTCATCCGTCATCAAGCTTTGCATGAGCCAAAAAAATTATGAAAAAGAAGAAGAAATGGCGAGGGGAAGCAGGAACAGATTTAGGCCAATTTATCCAATAGGCATAATCTATAGGTTATGGGATGCAGGTGGCAGTGGGATGCGGGTGGCGCTGTGGTCTAAACCACAGAGCCTAGGGCTTGCCGATTGGAAGGTTGGCGGTTCGAATCCCCGCAACGGGGTGAGCTCCTGTTGCTCAGTCCCAGCTTCTGCCAACCTAGCAGTTAGAAAGTACGTCAAAGTGCAAGTAGATAAATAGGTACCGCTCTGGCGGGAAGGTAAATGGCGTTTCTGTGCGCTGTTCTGGTTTTGCCAGAAGTGGCTTAGACATGCTGGGCGCATGACCCAGAAAAACTGTCTGAGGACAACCGCCGGCTCCCTTGGCCTGTAAAGCAAGATGAGTGCCGCAACCCCAGAGTCATCCGCGACCGGACTTAACTGTCAGGGGTCCTTTACCTTTACCTATAGGTTACAATTCAGCTTTCCCAGCATGGAATCTCTACGAAACAAAAAAAGTGGTGGCGGAGACAGGATGCCAAAGGGAATGGTGAACCCATGTGTACACAAAATGATTACCAAAGAAACTTGAAGAGAAATGGGACAACATGGGTACAAACTTATTTTTTTAGCTCATGGAATACAGTCTTCACAGCTCTGTTTGTGCTGCTGTAATATGCCTGCCCTACGTGATGAAGAATTGAATGTTGTTTGCCTACTATTTCTGGGTGATGTTGTGACTACTACTGTTAACCAATTACGGAAATCATGCAGTGCAATGCTAATATTTTATGTTAGGATTTACTCATGTTTTCTCAGAAGTACACTAAATAGGGAGTTACAGATTCATAGAATGGTAGTCGTCTAGTGACCAACCGTCTGCAATGATCTCCAAACTCTAAAATGTCATGATTCTAAAAGGGATTTATTTACAGTTATATGGTTTGCATAGGTATCTGGTATGTTGCTATGTTTAAGTATAGCATTTAAAATAGCCTAATGAATATTTTGAAAACTGATCTGGGTTTAAGAAGGATAGGATATTTGTAGCAACACAAGGAAAGAAGCTAACTGTGGCACTGATCCATGTATAAATGGAATAAACAGAAGCTAAGTGAGAGTTTGCCACCCAATTAATACTTGACGTGCAGCCAATCCTGGCTTTTCAACTAACACGCCAAAACAATAGGTGCATTTGCAAATATATGTTGGACGCAGTCACTTTAGATGTAGGCTTTTACAAAAGTTATGAAATAGCCCTCTGCTATTGATGACTGCGCCCCCCAGCTCAACTTTTCACAGGTATACAACTCTTGACACTTCATAGAAGGGAAAATTAGGGACATTTTTTTTTAACCCTTTGCTTCTTAGTTGCTATCCCATGACAAGGAGGCAGCCAACTTAGCCATACCTACCTAACAGAGACGAAATAAACCCCGTGTCCATTGCAATTTGCTGAGTAAAACTCTGGGCACGGTACAGTACCCTTTGCTTCATATTCCTGCTCTCACCAGCAACAGAGCTACCTTTGCAACGCTTAAGTTTCGATTTTCCACACCACCTCTCCTCTTTCTCCGCCAAATATTTGACGATAAGTGCCCCACCCCCGTCCACGAGGACACGCGCGCACCCTCCTTCGAGGAACCTGGAGAGATGATGGGCCTGGCCACATTCACTCCAAACCATCCCTTCAAATGCAAACCATCGGCTTCTAAATATTGCCCTGTTCACTGGCATCCCCTGGCCCTCCTTACTCGCAAGTAAGCGCCCCTGGTTTCAGCGTCCCATACTTTCAAGCGCAAGTGCTTAGGACTCCAAACCATCCCTTCAAATGCAAACCATCGGCTTCTAAATATTGCCCTGTTCACTGGCATCCCCTGGCCCTCCTTACTCGCAAGTAAGCGCCCCTGGTTTCAGCGTCCCATACTTTCAAGCGCAAGTGCTTAGGGACTGCAGCCCGATCGAGCCCAAAACGTTGCGCTTGGAAATCTGGTCCTCGCGCTCTTTGGGGGAAGGAAAGGCGCGCGTAAAGAAATCTACATTTCTCCCAGGGACCTCCAGACGGCTCCTTCCATCCAGTTTCTTTCTGGTCTCTGCCGCCCCCCTCGTGCGCTTCCAAGCCGGTACCAACGCCTCCCAAGAGCGCAGCGCTCCCCCTGACTACCCAAGAAAGCAAGTCGCGTCGCCTTCTGCGCGCCTCTCTCCCTCCTAAGGAAAAGCGGGGTTAAGGACGGCAAGCCTGGTTTTTTGAAAAAGAGAGGGAAGGCTCGGAGCGCGCTGCTGACTTTCCAGCCCCCGCCGCGCTTACCTGCCGCCGTGACAGCGAGGAGAAAGGCGGCGAGCGCCCGGCCACCCCGGTGCGCCATGACGCGCGCCCTGTTGCGCACGGGGGGACCGCGGCGCCGGGAGGGTGGGGAGCTTTGGCGCCCCGCTTGGAGACGGCCTTGGCGGGCAGAGGAGCTGCTGCGATCCAGAGCCGGCGGCACTTCCTCCGGCTGCTCCGAGGAGCGCGCGTCTTTCTCTCTCTCCCCCTTTCCTTCCTCTCTGGTCCGGAGCTGCTGGTGCTGCAGTGCAACGCCTCCTTCTCCTCCTGCTCCTCCTCCCTTCCTCGGGACTCGTCCGCTGACTTCTCGCCTCCCCTTTCGCCGCCGCTGCTGCAGCCGGCCCTCGCTCGGCCTCAGGGCGGCCCCTGCTGGGCGTTGCGCGCAGGCTTAAGCGCCGCGCTCGCCTATCGGAAGTCCCATGGGAACCTGGAGAGGGGAAAGGAGACGCCAGAGGAGCAGAAGAACCATCTTCCCAAGGGCAAGGGGCTTCTCTTTGCCCCACACTGCCTCGGGACCTGACCCCTGGATGGATGGATGGATTGATTGATTCAGTTTCTATGCCGCTTTTCATTCAAATAAATGCCAAAGCGGCTTACAAACAATAGAATCCTAGAAATGTAGAGTTGGAAAGGACCCTGGGGATCATGTAGTCCAACCCCCTGCAATGCAGGAATTTGCAGCTGTTATTTCTGCTGATAATAAGTTAGTAATTATTTAGAATAATGGTTGAGGGGGATTGCTCTTTAATTATTATTTGCTGGTATTTTGAGAATTTATTTTATTGTGTATTATTATATTCTAATGAATTGTTGAATATTGTTGTTTATTTTAAGTCATATTTTTTATTATTAACTTGTTTGTATTGGGACAGACTGTTGTAAGATGTGTTCTATTTATTTTGTTGGTTTTTCATCTTGAAGTTTAAGGAAATGGAAATTTGGTACTTAAGAGGTAAAATTTTAAGGCTATATTACAGTAAGATTAAAGATTAGGATTAAAGAAGTCTAAGGAAATGGAAATTTGGTACTTAAGAGGTAAAATTTTGATGTTATATTACATTAAGATTAAAGATTTGGATTAAAAAAGTGGAAAAGAAAATGCTGGACAAACAATTTGGACTGGAATACAAAAGAGGGAGGTATGAGGAAGTCCAGAAAATAAGTAAATCCAAAAATGGAAATGAAAAAGTGATATTGTTTTTAATTGCTCTGTTTTTTTTCTTTGCTTTTTGTCTTTTTGTGTTTTTCTTCTTTTTTTAGATTATGTATTGTGTATTTGTGTATTTCTTTTCTATGTTTTTCTGTCTAACTTTTTATTGAAACCTTAATAAAAATCATTTAAAAAAAATAAAAAAATATTTTGTTGGTTTTTCATCTTGTAAACCGCCTTGTGCATAAAGGTAAAGGACCCCTGACCCTTAAGTCCAGTTGTGAACGACTCTGGGGTTGCGGCGCTCATCTCGCTTTACAGGCCAAGGGAGCCGGTGTTTGTCCGCTCTGCAGACAGTTTTTCCGGGTCATGACTAAGCCACTTCTGGCGAACCAGAGCAGCGCACGGAAACGCCGTTTACCTTCCCACCAGAGCGGTACCTATTTATCTACTTGCACTTTGACGTGCTTTTGAACTGCTAGGTTGGAAGGAGCTGGGACTGAGCAATGGGAGTTCACCCCGTCGTGGGGATTTGAACCGCCGACCTTCTGATCGGCAAGTCGTAGGCTCTGTGGTTTAACCCACAGCGCCACCCGCGTCCCCTTTTAGGGACATCTTATTCCATAATAATAATAGTAATTTATGCCCTGCCCATCTGACTGGGTTTCCCCATCCACTCTGGGTGGCTTCCAATATAATTAAACATTTAAAAACTTCCCTGTACAGGGCTGCCTTCAGATGTCTTCCAAAGGTTGTATAGTTACTCATCTCCTTGGCTCGGGGGTTGTATAACTTCCACCCAGCTCTACAATTCACGTTACAAGAAAGGAGATGCCGACTAAACATTTGGGGGGTAAACTTTCTGACAGTAAGAGCTGTTCGACAGTGGAACAGTCTCTCTCTGGAAGTTGTGGACTCTCCTTCCTTAGAGGTTTTTGCACAGAGGTTGGATGGTCATCTGTCATGTATGCTTTAACCTGAGATTTCTGCATGGCAAGGGAATGAACTAGATGACTCTGGGGTCCCTTCCAACTCTATGATTCTTTGATTCTATGAAAGTTAATGCACTAAAATACATACATTAAATAGGTAAAGGTAAAGGGACCCCTGACCATTAGGTCCAGTCGCGGCCAACTCGGGTTGCAGCGCTCATCACGCTTTATTGGCCGAGGGAGCCAGCGTACAGCTTCCGGGTCATGTGGCCAGCATGACTAAGCCGCTTCTGGCGAACCAGAGCAGCGCACGGAAACGCCATTTACCTTCCCGCCAGAGTGGTACCTATTTATCTACTTGCACTTCATGTGCTTTTGAACTGCTAGGTGGGCAGGAGCAGGGACCGAGCAACGGGAGCTCACCCCGTCGTGGGGATTCAAACCGCCGACCTTCTGATCGGCAAGCCCTAGGCTCTGTGGTTTAACCCACAGCGCCACCCGCGTCCCTCATACATTAAATACATCTAGTCAAAATAGCAGAAATGCCAACATTTTAAACAAAGTTGTCCGTTTGCAAGATTCAGGACACACCAGACATCGCCCACCCTAAAAAAATAATGATCAGAACTGTAGTTTGATAAAGGTGCTAGAATTGTAGGTCCATGAATGGTAAATTACAGTTCACAGCAGGGGTCAGCAACCTTTTTCAGCCGTGGGCCAGTCCACCATCCCTCAGACCATGTGGTGGGCCGGACTACATTTTGGGGGGAAAAATAGGAACGAATTCCTATGCCCCACAAATAACCCAGGGATGCATTTTAAATAAAAGGACACATTTTACTCATGTAAAAACACCAGGCAGGCCCCACAAATAACCCAGAGATGCATTTTAAATAAAAGGACACATTACAGTGGTACCTCGGGTTAAGTACTTAATTCGTTCCAGAGGTCCGTACTTAACCTGAAACTGTTCTTAACCTAAAGCACCACTTTAGCTAATGGGGCCTCCTGCTGCCGCCGCGCCACCGGAGCACGATTTCTGTTCTCATCCTGAAGCAAAGTTCTTAACCTGAAGCACTATTTCTGGGTTACTGGAGACTGTAACCTGAAGTGTATGTAACCTGAAGCGTATATAACCCGAGGTACCACTGTATACTCATGTAAAAATACGCTGATTCCCAGACCGTCCGGGGGCCGGATTGAGAAGGCGATTGGGCCGCATCCGGCCCCCGGGCCTTAGGTTGCCTACCCCTGGTTCACAGGATTATTGGGAGGGGTAGTATGTTTTAAATGTATGGTGTGTGTTCAGATTCATCTCGTTCACCAAAATACTATGATCTGCTCCTGGTGTTGCTATGAATCGCAGCCTTGCCTGCTCCCAAAACACTGGGCACTTTTAAAATACGCAATTAGCCGAACAAAAGCAACAGTGATCACAAGCGAATGTGGAATGTGGTTTCGTTTTGCAGTTTACAAAATCGTGACCGCAGTCCTGATTTGTGGAAACAAATGCCTCGGGATTCCAGAGGGGTGGCCCTGTATTTATCTGTTGAGGGGAAAACAACAAAACCCTCCCGGTCACCTTTAAGACAGGCCACTTTATTATGGCATAAACTTTTATGGACCAAAGTTGGGTCGACTGGGAAGCGGGGAGTTTTGTCAGCAGAGAGACCTAAAAGTCATGGAATGAAAGGCGCATATCGCTAAGCAGAGTTGAAATGAAGACAACAAGATTAGAACAGGATATAGAAACCTTACCTTGAGCTTATCAGTTGGTCTGCTTGCTTGCTTGCTTGCTTGCTTGCTTGTTTGTTTGTTTGGTGTATAGACCCACCACACAAACAAGATTATATATTTAGTTTTGCTTTTGAAAGCTGCTGCGTCATCTGTTTCGGAAAGCAACGAACCCAAAATATCAGCTGCTCCTGTATCTAAAGTTAAGGCAGATAGGTTAAACAACCTTCTGTCTAAGTCTAGCAGTGCAATTCTCAGCCTGCTTTCTCAGAAACAGGTTTTGCTCACTTCCATGGGGAAGGTTAGCTTAAATAAATGCAGACCCTCCAAGTTTCCCCATTTTCCAGGGTCGGTCCTGGATTTGCAGAAGCCGTCCCAGTTTCTGATTTGATTCCGGAATGACCCGCTTTTCCTTAGGACGCCCTATGTTCATCGGACAAATGTTTGAAGCTATGGAGTTATCTGACCCCTGAGCCATCTGAAGGCAGCCCTGCATATAGGATAGTTTTTTAATGTTTAATTATGGTTTTATATATGGTGGAAGCTGCCCCACTGTTTCAATAGGAAAAGCAAAGCCTGCAGGCCTTATTTGTCTCTTCCTCAACGGAAGCCTACAAAAAAGATGGCTGCCCACAGAGTCAGGTCTGCAGTGTCTGTAGCTAATAATAATAATAAATAAGAATACTGACAGTGGCAGCGGGGTGAGGCAAAAGGGAGGACGAACTGAGCAAAAACTGGAGAATACTTTAAAATGTGAGGAGGGAAGTTAAATTCTGCTCCCCTCCCTAAGATATTTCATCTACATGAGCTTCCTTTCCAAAAAACCCCCAAGGAAATTGCAAAATAAAGTACTTAGCCTTACGTTCTACACCATGCCGTGAGTATCCTGAGGTGCTTCACATAGATTCAGCACACAGCCATTGCTTATTTAAGCTGCAAGCGGAAGATCAATGCTGCCTCCAGATTTCTGGAACCCAAATAATATTCTGTAGCCAGGAGGGAAGTCCTGAATGTGTGTGATTGTGTGCGTGTGTGCTGAATGATGGTTTTCATTTGAACCGCAGTATGTGTGAAAGGAAAAAGGGACGCGGGTGGCGCTGTGGGTTAAACCACAGAGCCTAGAACTTGCCGATCAGAAGTTTGGTGGTTTGAATCCCCGCGACGGGGTGATCTCCCGTTGCTCGGTCCCTGCTCCTGCCAACCTAGCAGTTTGAAAACACGTCAAAGTGCAAGTAGATAAATAGGTACCGCTTCGGCGGGAAGGTAAACGGCGTTTCCATGCGCTGCTCTGGTTCGCCAGAAGCAGCTTAGTCATACTGGCCACATGGCCCGGAAGCTGTACGCTGGCTCCCTCGGCCAGTAAACGAGATGAGCGCCGCAACCCCAGAGTCGGCCACGACTGGACCTAACGGTCAGGGGTCCCTTTACCTTTACCTATGTGTGAAAGGGTTAAACACACCTACCTTTTGCTAAGCTCCTGATCATATTTCCCTTCTCCACCATAAACTGTGGTTTAGGCAAGGAAGAAAAGTAATGTACAGTCATACCTCATGTTACGTTTGCTTCATGATACCTTTTTTTAGGTTGCGTCCCACGGCGACCCAGAAGTACCGGAAAGGGTTACTTCTGGGTTTGGCTGCTCGCGCATGCGCAGATGCGCAATATGATGTCACGCTCATGCGCAGAAGCGGCAAATTGCAGCCCGCGCATGCAGAAACGCGCCGCTGTGGGTTGCGTTCTATTCATGTTGCGAACGGGCCTCCGGAACGGATCCCGTTCGCAACCAGAGGTATCACTGTATATAGAGGCAATGGTGTTTTGAAAGTGAAGTGTTAAAGTGCTGGGACTGATTCCTAGAGAGGTGAGATGGACCATAAAGAAGGGAAGATCTGGAGCAGGGGTAGGCAACCTAAGGCCCGGGGGCTGGATGCGGCCCAATTGCCTTCTCAATCCAACCCGTGGACGGTCCGGGAATCAGCGTGTTTTTACATGAGCAGAATGTGTCCTTTTATTTAAAATGCATCTCTGGGTTATTTGTAGGGCCTGCCTGGTGTTTTTACATGAGTAGAATGTGTGCTTTTATTTAAAATGCATCTCTGGGTTATTTGTAGGGCATAGGAAATCGTTCTCTCCCCCCCCCCCCAATATAGTCCAGCCCCCCACAAGGTCTGAGGGACAGTGGACTGGCCCCCTGCTGAAAAAGTCTGCTGACCCCCTGGTCTGGAGCAATTTCTGCAGACAATAACCAGCCCAACAGTGCGCTGAACAAGCTGCATGATGTGTTCTTACACAACTGTTCTGTTGTGTTTTTAAAAAGGATCTTTTTTTCTGAGCAAAAGCAGAGGTTGAACAAGAAAAGGAAGCATGATGTTTTGCTCCTGATGCCATGCAGATTGCTATTAAATTAAAAGTGAAAAAGCTCGCCTGTTCCACAGTAAATGCTTCACTGCAGAAGCAGCCCATAGAGCAGGGGTCAGCAACCTTTTTCAGCCATGGGCCGGTCCACCGTCCCTCAAGGGGACTCTACATCTGGCTGGTAAGAAGATGATTGAAGTTTGGAGCCCAGCCAGGATCCTGGAATTGCCGGGGGTTGGACTAGATGACCCTTGGCATCCCTTCCAACTCTACTATCAAGCAGCCAAAGGAAGGGGCGGGGGAGCAAGATGCAGAACAAGGGAAGGAAGAACCACACACCCCAACAGCACCCTCTGGCCTGACCCACAGTGGCCTCATCCCAGCACACTTTGACCCCCCTGATTTTATTTTTCTTTATTCATCTGCCTGACAACCCAGCAGCCTGGCCCCTGTTTGCCAGCTGATGTCACAAAGTGCTGCTTTGCAAGCAAGCCTTATAGTGCCCTGCAAGAGGGATGCCTGTCAGATGACGGTGAGAGACTTGAGAGAAATGGATTCTGAAGGTAGGAGGCTCAGAGAAGATGAGTGGCATTATTATTATTATTTTTATTATTATTATTATTATTAGCCACTATTGCCTGCATTGCTGACACACATCTAAAGAAGCAGGTAAGTTTTGGCACTTTGAAGTCAGTGGTTTTTATTCACACAGTGTTCCCAGTTGCGCCTCAGCTGTGTCATATCTATGGGAAACTGCCAAGAACAGACCCACTTCTCATGTCATTCTGGCCTCCTTCGGGGGAAAGGGTGCAATATAAATTCAAGCAATAAAATAATTATAAGTGAGTGTCCGGCTTGCAGACATTCTTTGGAAGCCCAACATCTGACATGGCTTCCTTCTGAGTGCAGGAAGCTCCTGCAGCCAATCGGAAGCTGCCCCTTGCCCCCCCCTTCTAGAACCCACCACTCTCAACCAACTCTCAACTGCCTCCCCCCCAACATTCAGACTTACTTTAATAGCCTGAAAGGACCCTGAATCTTTCTACAGCTAGTATCCACTATGGCTGAGTTTCGCAATGGTGAGAGCCTGGAAGCTGCAATGCCTAGGATCATTTTGGGGACATCATGTGCTTTAAATAATCATTAGATGCACTTTAAATCATAGTGTTATGTACTGAGTTGAATAGGATCCAAACTGCAGCAGTCTGATTGGTCCTAGAACAATAGGATTCAGAATGCAGCAGTCTGATTGGTCCTAGAACAATGCAGCAGTATGATTGGTTGGCAGGAACCACCCAATCCTGCTCCAGATAGAAGTGAATCCACAACCTGATTGGCTTACAGTAGAATTCCAGAATTAGCCAATCATGTGCAGCCCATTGTGTAAATAATGTATATAAAGCAGATACTGTGAGGGGACTTCCATTCATTCCTCCTCACCACTATGAGCTGAATAAAGAGCATGAAATCACTTTGCGACTCTGAGTATATTTCACATAGGATTATAGAATTGTAGAGAAAAATGAATGCTGATGGTAGACGGCCCAGAGGAGATGAGTGGCATATTGTTGTTGTTGTTGCTATTGGCATCACCCATCACTGATGCATGTGGCTTGGCTCCCTGGCTTGGCTTGTCCACAGATGTTGATAGCATGGCAGGTCCTCAGCTGTGGACCCCAGATGATATTTTCTGCTGTAAATAACTGGTTGGTAACTTCTTCTGTTTTTATTTTCCTTTCTGTCTCACAGGTTCTCAGAAAGGAAGGCTGCAACCGCTGCTCTGGTGCCGTGGGGAACGACTGGAATCCATTCCCCACGCATTTATTTATTTATTTTAATTTCTATACCGCTTTATATTTTTAATAAAAATCCAAAAGCGGTTTACAGCATAATAACATATTGAAACACTAGCTGGGCGACATTCCTCCGGCCTCAGGAGGAGCCTCTTCAGTGGGGCTGGCTGGTGGGTCTGGGCCTCGCCCCCCCAGGCCAGGTGGAAAGGGCCTTGCAGGGAGCGGCCTTCACCCTCCCACCTGCCCCCTAGGTCCCTCCGCTGGCTGGCCGCCCCCTGATGTGGCTGGGGGGAGGCAGCGGACTGAGGACAGGAGGGGAGGGGAGAGGAAATATGGAGGGCGATCTGCCCCAGGAGAAAATCTGCCCCAGAAGAAAATAATTGGAAAAGCTTGCAAATACCAGATAGCCTTAGGATTTAAATACATAATGTGATGAATTAATATGTTTAATGCTGAATTGTAAAGAAAGAAAGATGTTAAGTGATTAAGTTAATTTTTTAAGAATATAGGTTTTGGAAAACTGTTAAAATGATATACACGGAAATTCAACCAGGGGGATACGAGGAAGTCACTTAACAACGTTACTAAGTTTGGTTTAAATACGGTTGAGATTTATGTTTGTTTAATTTTTTTTTTGGAAAATTAATAAAACATTTTTTGGGGGGGAAAAGAAAATCTTTGGGGAGGGCCCCCGGGACCCCTGCCCCCTCGAGTGGATACCTATGGCAGGAGAGTAAAATGTCCTCTTCCTTCTCAGGGCCATGGTTTGGGAGCCCCAGTCAAGGCTCCGGCCAAGCAGCAACCCAGCGGTGCCACGTCACAAACCAACATCTGCAGGTATGCTGTGCCCTTCTGTGGCAGGGGTGGGGCAGTCTGAGGATGGCACGGCCGGTGTGCTCACACTGGGCCCCACACGGCAGAGGGGGCCCAAGGAATGCGGAAGAACAAGAGGGAGGGGTGCCAAGTTGTAGGGTTGTACAGGCAGGGCCGTAGTTAGGGGGTGGTGAGGTGGGCCCCTGCAGGTGAGCGCAAAATCGGCTAGAAATATGTCCATAATTTGTCTATAAATAAAAATACAGTGGTGCCCCGCAAGACGAATGCCTCGCTAGACGGAAAACCCGCTAGACGAAAGGGTTTTCCATTTTGAGTTGCCTGCAGGACGAATTTCCTATGGGCTTGCTTCGCAAGACGAAAATGTCTTGCGAGTCTTGAGATTTTTTTCACTCCCTCTTTATCTAAGCCGCTAAGCCTTTAATAGCCTTTTAGCAGCTAATCCAGCTAAGCCGATAAGCCTTTAATAGCCGCTAAACCGCTAATAGCGCTAATCCGTTAAGCCGCTAATAGGGTTGCTTCGCAAGACGAAAAAACCGCTAGACGAAGACACTCGCGGAACAGATTAATTTCGTCTTGCGAGGCACCACTGTATTGATTATTGCCTCATAAGAAAAGGTTTTTAATAGAGGGTGAATTGAATGGGTGGAGGGTTGGAGGAGAGGCAGAAAGAAGAGCTCATTTGTCCGTGGCTAGGGGGCGTGATAGGGACGCGGGTGGCGCTGTGGGTTAAACCACAGAGCCTAGGACTTGCCGATCAGAAGGTCGGCGGTTCGAATCCCCACGACAGGGTGAACTCCCTTTGTTCGGTCCCAGCTCCTGCCAACCTAGCAGTCTGAAAGCACGTCAAAGTGCAAGTAGATAAATACGTACGGGCATGGCGGGAAGGTAAACGGCGTTTCTGTGCGCTGCTCTGGTTTGCCAGAAGCGGCTTAGTCATGCTGGCCACATGACCTGGAAGCTGTACGCCGGCTCCCTCAGCCAATAAAGCGAGATGAGCGCCGCAACCCCAGAGTCGGCCACGACTGGACCTAATGGTCAGGGGTCCCTTTACCTTTACCTTTAGGGGGTGCGATTTGGACGGTTCTCCAGGGGTGCAAGATCACCCAGCTACGGCTCTGCGTACAGGAGGCCCTTGACATATGAGAGCCTAAAGTTGGCCCTTGATTGGGCACAGTTCCAGGTTGAAACCTGTGGAGGCCCCTAGGCAGTCAAAATAGCCCTGGGCTCCTCGCAAACCATATCCTGATACATTTTTGATTTTACCAACCAACAATAATTAATAGCTAAAACAAACAGTATTTATTCTGATCTGTTGTTGCCTGGCCCATAGGCTGGTGCCTGCTCTGTCCATTGGGTAATCTGGCTCTGGTGGAGATCAATCCCAGAATTTCCCCCCCCCCCAGTCATTCCTTCCTTCAGTCAGAAGCAGACATGGTGTGTGGAACTGGACCAGGGGAAGAAGTGGCTCTCCTTGCCTTCTTAGCCCATCTTATTCTCTAATTTCTGTATCCCATGCAAATGTCCTTCCTGAGGTTCTAGCCAACCTCAGCTGGTGGTCTCAGTTACCATAACGAACCTTAGAATAAAAGAGATACCTGTTATTACCTATATATTTATCTGGAACTCCTCCAACCAATCAGACTAACTGAGCTTGTTTCTTCCTTAGGCGAGAGGCTGGCCAGAACAAAGGGGGAAAGGCTCCCAGCTCAGGTAAGTGGAAATGCCAACTGAGTGCCCCATATTCTAGGAATGCTTCCTTCCCTTGTCCCCCACCCTCATGGCCCAGACTGGGGCTAGCATGGCAGGGAGCCAGGCACCTGCTCATGTTTCTTTTTTCTTTGCAGTGTGGGAGCCTTTCCCCAACACATATTTTGTTCTGGCCAAATCCCTGGAGAGACGTGGCGAACATCAGGTATGAGGGCAGAGGGAATGAAGGGATCCTTGTGAGACATCTTTTGGGAGTCCTAGAAACACTCTCCCCACCTGTGGCTTCCATTCTCATGTGATGTCCTTCTTCCTCCACAGGGCCACGCCTCCAGGGATGAGGCTCCAGCGCCGGCTCCCGGAATGAAGAACCGAACAACATCCCGGCGGCTCCCAGCTGACATCCCTCGCGGCGCGTCCCCACTGCCCCTTCTCCGTACGGGCATTTATCATTACAAAAGACTGGCCAGGCTCCCCAGGCAATCCAATCAAGTAACCTGCCAGACAGAAGATAAACAACAACAGGAGAAAAACAATATTAAAATTTCTGTTGTAGACCACCTTTTCTGTGATGTAGGTATGATGTATCTGAGGGGTGGTCTTAGGTTACACCCCTTCTGTGATGTATGTATGATGTTTCTGGGGGTGGTCTTGATCTACAGGGTGGCAATTTCAAAAGTCTTTATAAGGCCTTGCACACTATTTTTCTGGGTCCCTCCTCTCTGTTGCAACAGTTCAATAAAGGCCAAGCCTACAGGCTGCTGTTTTGCTCCAAGTAATCCTGGTTGGTGTCTTTGCTTTTGTCCAAGGAAGCCCTCGGATTTTTCCGTTAACACAACCTTCACACACTAAAAGCATTTGCCGTATTTTTCGCTCTATAGGATGCACCTCTTGTGAGATCTTGCAGAGCTGTGTGTGTTCCTGTGAGATCTCACGCGACCATCCCCTGGCTCCTAGCACGCCAAGAAGGCCTTGCTCAGTGAGCAAGGCGGAAATATTGAAAGCTCTTTCAATGCCAGGAAAATCTTCTGTGCGTTTAATTTGAGCAATTTTGACCAGGCAGCCTTCAACCGTGCAAAGTTGAAATTGCACAAGATAAATGCACATAAAACTGTATGTGTATCGTACTGTATTGTTTTTATGCTTTTCAGATTATAAAATCGGGCATTCTTTTTTTATAATGCTACCTACAAAAGAAATCAACAAATTTGCAGATAACATCAGTGTTCTTGCAGATCTCAAAATCATTTTGCACTGTGAAGATTATTATTATTATTTAATTGAATTCATCTTGTTTTGCTTAACTGGGGTTGTAGAATAAATGACCTAATATGCTTCTATGTTCCCCATTATAAACTGCTGCCGCCATCTATTGGCCACAAATGAAAACAACCACCCAGTTTAGGCAGCTGTGCTTATTCAACAGAAAAAAATTCCAAAAGCCTCAAAGGAGTAATAAAAAAAAAAAAAGTTTTATTAGTTTTACAATTTAATATTCCACACACTTATCATATAAAAAATAATAATAAAAGAATCCAAATATCCCCCCCACTTTATGACTTCCCTTTCCGGTTCTTTAAATATTTGCTACTTCTGCTTAATTTATTTTTCCTTATTTTTGTTAAATTTTTAGTTAAATGCTCTTATGTTCTTATATATTTTTATACCATATTATCTTTCCGATTATGTCTTACATTTAATTAATTTCCAAATTGTTATTTCTTAATCTTTCCATTTGTTTTCTTACTTGTAAGTGTTTACTCAAACCCTGCTAATGAGTCCATTTCTTTACAAAGTTTCTGTAAATACAGCATAAACGGTTCCCAATCTTTTTTTAAAGTCTCTATTGCCATTGTCTCTAAGTCTTCTCGTAAGTTTCGCCATTTCTGTGTACTCCATAAGTTTAGCTTGCCATTCTTCTTTCGTGAGTAATATATTTCTAAAGACCAACAGAAATGTCATGCAAAGCCATAATCATCACAATTGCAACAAATAAAGGCTTGACAATATCTCGCTTTGCATGTCATGAGTCTATCTCATATATTAGTTTCAAAGTTGAATTACTGAAATAAATGAACTTTTCCACAATATTTTCCAAGTTTCACCTGTAGTAATTGCTGTAATAATAAAATACTGTGGTTTATGCACTGGGGAAAACATGATAGCGCCACAAAAGAAATATGTCTTCATCATGTGAGTTTAACAACGCAATTATTATGTTTAAAGAACATATTGTCTGCTGCAGCCATTTCCATGTGTAAATTCTCAGATTTAGTGGGGAAAGATATTGGGAGAAACCTTCCATTAGGGTCAGTGTATCTGTTCAATCTCAGGGCTCTTCAGCACTGATCTCACAAATCCACATTGCTCTTTTGAATGATTGGTTCCTGCAACGAGGAAGGCATTACCAGCTTTAAAATTCCAGGCCAGGGGTCAGCAACCTTTTTCAGCTGTGGGCCGGTCAACCGTCCCTTAGACCATTTTGGGAGGGAAAATGAACAAATTCCTATGCCCCAGAAATAACCCAGAGATGCATTTTAAATAAAAGGATACATTCTACTCATGTAAAAACATGCAGATACCTGGACTGTCTGCGGGCTGGATTTAGAAGGCGATTGGGCCACATCCGGCCCATGGGCCTTAGGTTGCCTACCCCTGTTCCAGGCTATGCCCGCTGTTAAGTTGTGGGTGAACGTATCAGACGACACAGCGATTCTTTAAACTGCTCTTGTTTATTCACAGGCCAGAACAGAACAGAACAGAACTGAAGGGTTCAGCCAGCCTGCTTATATAGAGCTCCACTACAACGCAACTGTAACCACTTTCTGTAACTATCCAATCACTGAACATCACTTTCAATCCCTTATTTGCATATGTGGACCTGAGTGAAAACTATCTACAGTATCCCCCTGCTGGCCCAGGGTGAGAACTTCAGTACATAACACCCGCAACATATTTAGATGGGAGATATGCCAGAATATCTGTAAATTGTTATTCATGTACAGCATCTGTAGCCAGAGAGAAGTGGGAAACACAGTGCGACATGATTGTGGGCACAGATGAGGTAGGCGCTGAATTTTGGGAAACCTGATGTAACCCCAAAACCGTGGCATGCCAAACTCGTATTGCATGGCACGAGGCAATGTGATCCTTTTAGGAAAACTTTCTGCACTACGGTCAGGTGAAAAACAGGTTTGGGCTCCAGGAGAACCAAGGTGTCAACAGGACAGTGGAAATGCCATGTGGCTCATACCACAAAAATGCAGGAAAATGCAAGTTGCAAGGTGGTTTTTGAGATGGTGTGGATAAGCAGTCATTCGCCGCTCTTCACTCATCCTTCCCCACTGGTGTCAATGCCCCAAATTAACAAGGGTTGTCCATAGAGGGTGCTTTCAGATTGTGACTATTTTCAAGTGGCATTCAATCACATACCAACAAAATGAGGGTGTGCAATTATAGATGATTGTAGTATTGTGTGACAAACCCACTTCCTCCAGAGTCTGGATTTTGTACACCATGGGAAGCGCAGAGGAAAGTGTGGAGATAACACTTGCTTTGATGCAACAACATCTAACCTCCCTGCAAACAAATGCTCAGTTGATGGCCAACGTAGTCTAATCTCCTTGCCAACAAATCAGGATGGAAATGCAATAAACAGGTCATCTGGAAGCTCCCAGAAATGCTTGCTAGGAGCTGGAAAAAAACAGAACAGTGCAAAACATCTTACTTCTGAATAAACAAACATAGGATGTGACTTGATAAACTGCACTAACCACTGATGGTTCATTGAGATAATGGTTCATTACGATAATTTTCAGTTCTTTTAAATGTCTGGAATGTAAGTTACACCTACCCAAGTGTGTGAGGGCCACAAGGAGGCAAAAAGAGGCAATTAGAGAAACAGAATGAGTTTTCAAGCTGACAGGAAGCTGGCAGGAAATAGCTTGAGGTTGTTGCAAGGGTTTGTTGTTTTTTGGGGGGAGACCGAGGCTGTTAGAATTCCTGCTCCGTGATTGCAGTCATGGGATTGTTGTCTTTCACATGATGGTGTATGTTTTGACTCCACAGAGTGGGAAGTGACGGAGACAGGATGTTGGTGTTACTGTGTTCCTTGAAGTGGGACTATTGTCCTTTGTTCTTTGCTATCTGATGCTAGAGAGAGAGGGAGCCATGTTGCAGTGCTCCGTGTGTGTTTATATGTAAATAAAGTAGATTAGCCAAAATGCTGAGTTGCTGAGGTCTGTCACGCAAAATGCACAGACTCTGCGGATCCCTAAGTGTGCCGGTGTCGGTTGGCATCGGTCGCTGTGATGTTCGGGCTGAAGAAAGCTTATGAAGCTCCTCAAATGATTGACCAGGAGGGAGAGAACATGCCAGTCGGGCATGTGTCTCTGCCAGGGTCCTACTCGAGTGTAGGCTGAACTCCTGACACTCACCCTATACCTTTAAAAGCGCTTTGAAGCATGTTCTTTCCCTCAAAGAATTCTGGGAACTGTAATTTATTTAGTGTTGCTGGGAAATTGTAACTCTGTGAAGGGTAAACTACAGGGCCCAGAATTCTCTGGGAAATAATAATGCGTTTCAAATGTGCTTTACAGCTGTAGCGTGCACATCGTCGAGGCTGCTTTCAAACTAGCACAACCTGTTTGCCATCTGCTTTACCTATATACTTATAAATAAATAGCTGTTGCTGAAAAGAAAACCCGAATGAATCACCACCAATACATTTCTCCTCACCAAGAAACTGACGCTCTAAACCTGCCCCGGAAATTCAGGGAAATGGGAAACCTGAAACAGGGCAATGGCCTTGGTCTGCTCCCAAGGGGTTATTTGGGAAAGTATTTCCAGTTTCCAACTCATCGCCCTTTTGCATAGTGCAGTTAATTATGAAAAAAAACTGGTTCGAAGGATGAATAATGCAGTTGGCTGATAAGCACTCAATTCTAAATCCTCAAGGGCATTCTGGATGCTGTTTTTAAAAATGCCAGTTTGCAGCGCCTAGTTCGTGCCAGCGGTATGGTCCTGCCTCTCATAATTATTAGTACAGATTTTGCCTCGCATCCACAGGATGTAATAATTCTGACAGCTGTGGCACATTTTTTCGGGTAGCGTGTTTTCACAGAGTCAGCTGCACTTACTTTATGGTGCCACACCTCATGACGTGATTGCAAGTGTAGTGGAAAACGGCAGTAGGCGTGTGGGGTGGGGCTTTCTCACACTTCAAGTTCTTAATGGTGCTGCTTCAAGCACCCAAACGTTACACACACCCCATTCACAACAAAGCTGAGGTTCAGAAAAGCAGGAATCTTCTGGCTATCCGAATTAATGAAAAGTGGCGAGGTGGGGGAACTCATTTCAATGAAATAGCTGTCATTCTCACACCCTTGCACTTTTTGGGGAAGAAAATAATTACCGTATTTTTCGCTCTATAAGACGCACCAGACCACAAGACGCACCTAGTTTTTGGAGGAGGAAAACAAGAAAAAAAATATTCTGAATCTCAGAAGCCAGAACAGCAAGAGGGATCGCTGTGCAGTGAAAGCAGCAATCCCTCTTGCTGTTCTGGCTTCTGGGATAGCTGCGCAGCCTGCATTCGCTCCATAAGACGCACACACATTTCCCCTTACTTTTTAGGAGGGAAAAAGTGAGTCTTGTAGAGCAAAAAATACGGTAATTGGGCAAGGCTTTCCTGTGAAATAGCATTTTTGCTTTTTTTTAAAAAGTCTCCCTCTTTCCTTCCGTATCGCTTTTTTGGGACGCAGGTGGTGCTGTGGTGTAAACCACTGAGCCTTGGGCTTCCCAATCGGAAGGTCGGCGGTTCAAATCCCCACGACGGGGTGAGCTCCCGTTGCTCGGTCCCTGCTCCTGCCAACCTAGCAGTTCGAAAGCACGTCAAAGTGCAAGTAGATTAATAGGTACCACTCTAGGCGGGAAGGTAAACGGCGTTTCCGTGCGCTGCTCTGGTTTCACCAGAAGCTGCTCAGTCATCCTGGCCACATGACCCGAAAAAACTGCAGAGAAACGCCGGCTCCCTCGGCCTGGACTTAACTGTCGGGGTCCTTTACCTTTCCCCCTCCCTGTGAGATAGCATTTTTGCTTTTTTAAAATAGTCTCCCTCTTTCCTTCCCTATAGCTTTAGTCTGATCACATGAAGTGCTAGAGGGCATGGAGATAAGTAACTATACAACCTTTAGAAGACATCTGAAGGCAGCCCTGTATAGGGGAGTTTTATACAGTGGTGCCTCGCAAGACGAAATTAATCCGTTCCGCGAGTCTCTTCGTCTTGCGGTTTTTTCGTCTTGCGAAGCACGGCTATTAGCGGCTTAGCGGCTTTAAGAAAAAGAAAACAAACTCACAAGACGTTTTCGTCTTGCGAAGCAAGCCCATAGTGAAATTCGTCTTGCGGAACGACTCAAAAAACGGAAAACCCTTTCGTCTAGCGAGTTTTTCGTCTTGCGAGGCATTCGTCTTGCGGGGCACCACTGTAATGTTTAATGTTTTATCATGTTTTTATACAGTATATGTTGGAAGCTGCCCAGAGTGGCTGGGGCAACCCAGGCAGATGGGCAGGGTATAAATAAGGAATGTTGTAAGGTATGTATAATGGTATGGGGTTGCTCGTGCGTAAGTTGCCGCCTCTCCTGGCTATGTTGCCTTGTTAAACCTTTCTGTCTGGACAGCCCTTCAATTCGTGGCTGCCTCAGTCGCTAGCAGAATCCGTCAGTGGGCGTTTCTTAAACCTTTTCCAACATAAAAGTTGTTTGACACCCAGTCTCCTCCTACTTTCTCTGCGCGGAAGTCTTCTGCGCAGGGAGGGCGTGGGTAGCGGAGGACCAGTGCTCTCCCGCTGGTGTCCGGTGAAGAGTCTGGGAGCCCTCTCTCCGATTCCCCATCTGCCCCTCCTTATTCCTGGTGTTGCACTGAATTGCTTCCCCATTTGCTGAGCTGCCTCTCTCCCTGCTGGGCCCTTCTCCAGCATCATTAGAGAGCCTCCCCTCCACGTCTAGCTCCGATGTCAGTTCCCTGACAGTATGCTTTTGCACCCTTCTTGGATATTAATTGCTATGGATGGTAGCATCACCACCAATGAAGCAGATTCAGCCTAGCTTGTGTGCTGACACCAAGCAATTTGCAAAAAGTGACTATTGTTTTCACTGTTAACCTGGGTATTTTAAAGTGTGCCCTTGAAACTGTGTAATGTATGAAAAACGCATGAGAACTAATTTGTGTGTTTTCCAATGTATACGGTACAGTGGTACCTCGGGTTACATACGCTTCAGGTTACATACAGGTTACATACAGACTCCGCTAACCCAGAAATAGTGCTTCAGGTTAAGAACTTTGCTTCAGGATGAGAACAGAAATCGTGTGGTGATGGCGCAGCAGCAGCAGGAGACCCCATTAGCTAAAGTGGTGCTTCAGGTTAAGTACAGTTTCAGGTTAAATACGGGCCGCCGGAACTACTTAAGTACTTAACCCGAGGTACCACTGTATATCACACACGTTCACTATTTAGGGAACCAGGATTAGGCATGGCTTCCAACTGAGCAAAGTTTCATAGCAAACACAGGTTTTGCCACAAATTAATGCGTGTAGAGAACGTCTTCTGGGGGTGGAGAAGCACATTTTAGGCACTGGAATGTCTTCACTCCAAAGGTTTGCTCAGAGTGCTTAACCTTTACCGGTACGAGGGATTAAAATATTTTCACTCATCCTATGCTTGCTGTAGTAACTGGATATTTCATTTCACAGTGGGAGGAGAACGGGCCCGATGCTGAAAATCCTGTCCTGCTTCTTCAATATACACAATGGTGTAACTGCATTCTGGTTGCTTCTCTTGTTAGGAAATACTGATGGTTAAGAACAGGTTTTCACAACCGAAAGAAATGCCAGAGCTTAATCTCTTCTTTCCTTCCAACTCACTTTTAAGGAAGCTGGCGTATTCTAGCAAGTAGTATCTGTGGTGCAGAGGTTTACAATACAATCCTGGGGGGTGCCAAATGTATTCCTACTGTATACCGGCTCCTCTCGATCGTTGGCAGTGAAAAAACAATGGAGCGAAAGTCAGGCTTCGCAGTTTGGCAAATTGTAATGGAATTGTTAGGGTTGCGGGTGGCGCTGTGGGTTAAACCACAGAGCCTAGGACTTGCCGATCAGAAGGTCGGCGGTTCGAATCCCCACGACGGGGTGAGCTCCCGTTGCTCGGTCCCTGCTCCTGCCAACCTAGCAGTTCGAAAGCACGTCAAAGTGCAAGTAGATAAATAGGTACCGCTCCGGCAGGAAGGTAAACGGAGTTTCCGTGCCCTGCTCTGGTTTGCCCGAAGTGGCTTAGTCATGCTGGCCACATGACCCGGAAGCTGTACGCCGGCTCCCTCGGCCAAGAAAGCGAGATGAGCGCCACAACCCCAGAGTCGACCACGACTGGACCTAATGGTCAGGGGTCCTTTTACCTTATATATATATACATATATATATATATATATATCCAAAATATAAGATAAAAAAACAAATAAAATAAAACCTACATACAGCAACAGTGTTTTGTGTTGTGTAGGCTCCTATGTGTTATGTGCAAATGGCTTTAGATACCTATTAGGTCCGTAAATTACCATACAGCATATATTCAACACAAAACACACACACACACACACACACACATATAGGCAACAACAAAAGCATTGAATATATATATCCAATGCAAAATTACAACAAATTTCAATGCAAATTACAACAAATTATATATATATATATATATATATATATATATATGTATAGGCAACTACAAAAGCATGGAATATATATATTCAATGCATAATTACAACAAATGTCAATGCAAATTACAAATTACAAATTATATACCATATATAGGCAACAACAAAAGCATTGAATATATATATTCAATGCAAAATTACAACAAATTTCAGTGCAAATTACAACAAAGTACAAATTATATATATATATAGGCAACAACAAAAGCCTTGAATATATATATTCAATGCAAAATTACAACAATGCAAATTACAATACAATGCAAATTACAACAAATATATAAAAAAGCAACACCTCTGACAACCACCGGCAACTCTCTTTGCATCCAGCCTGCGCCCGGAACCCCCCTGGTTCCCCCAGGTGGGGCAGGACCCGCCCTTCCTCTGCTCCACCCACTGCGCCTTCCCACCGCCCGCCCGCCAGCCGAGAAGGGAGGGACGCGGCTCCTCCCCCCGGCCAGGCGGAGGCAGCGCCCCGGGCATCTCGGGCGCCTCCTTCGGCGCTGGGCGCCCGGGCGCGCGGCGAGGTGCGGAGCTGTGCGCGCCCGGGACTGCGCTCTGCCATGGAGCCGGCGCCGCCGCCGCTGTTGCTGCTGCTGCTGCTGGGTGAGGATGGGGGGCTCTGGGGGTCCGCGGTGGGGCTGGAGGGGGGTCTTTCCCAGCGTGGTCCCTCTCCTCTCTTCCCGGCCCTTTAAGAGCTTCGCGGCAGGCAGGTGTCCAACAGGTGCAGCCGCAAAGTTTCTGCCTGTGTTGCCAAACTGCTATCTGCACCTGGGAAGAAAAAGGGACAAGGGCAGATCCATTCCTTGCTTTCCTTTTCATGGAGGGGCCATAGAATTGTAGATGGGGCCATCTAGCCCAACCCTGTAATATTTTGCCCGAGGTGGTTCTCGAACCCAGGACCCTGAGATTAATAATAATAATAATATTTTTTATTTATACCCCACCCTCCCCAGCCAAGGCCGGGCTCAGGGCGACTAACAAGCAATAATAAAAACGAGTTGAATGAATACAACTTAAGATTAAAATACAACATTAAAATATTAAAATGCAGCCTCGTCACAGGAGGAGAAAGGAAAAAGAAAAAAGGAAGAGGCTAGTCTATATAATATCAGTCTCCCTGTCTGGGAATCAGACCCTGGTCTGGTGTGTGACAGGCAGCGATACCACCAGTGTTTTATTTCTTTAAAAAAATGTTTAGGGGTACTCTCATTTTCCTACTCATTTTGAAATACTGCCCCTCAATGAGGCCAAACTTAGATTCACAAAAGGTTTAGGGGTATGCGTCTCCCCCCCAGGAAAAAAACACTGCTTGCCACTAGCAGGAGTACCTTTTAGTCTTACCTCCCCACCTCCTTGCAAGGGGTTCCTGAGCCTCTATGGTACCTATCAGGCAGAAATTCAGCAGGTGCAGTTTCCCTTGATCCATTTCTGCTTGTGGTGTCAGCAGCAGCACTGAAGGGTTTGTGGGAAGGACCAGGGGGAAAAGCAGCGGTTGTGAAGTCTCTGGATGAAAGAGGTTAGTTGCATCAATCTGAGAACTTGTAGATGGGCTGGCAGAGCTGTGCGGAATGGAAAAGTGTGGTTGGCCGGAGTTGACATCTTCTTTCTTAATATATATGACCATTGCTTCACTTCTTCTTCTTAAAAATATACATATTCCAGGGCTCATTTTGTATGCTAAAAAGTCTGGCTGCTTGATCTTTGAGGCAAGCTGTGTTCACTTAATGACAAGGAGGAAAGCACTCTGTGTATACTCAGATGCAGCTTTTAATTTAGTTCATTCTGGGACTCAGCCCTAATACTAAAAGCGCATTATAGTTCTGAACTTACTTAAAGCACAAATCAACCCCAAATGGCTTGTTTAAGGAGAGGGGGAATAAGCAGCACTAGCAGGAGAGATTTGATTTTATATATTATTATTTTTTGATGTATCAAGCTATGCCAGGCCAGCAGGGTTTGTTGCCCATGCTATGGCCGTGTCCATCAGGGTACCTACTGAACGGGGCCAGTTCTCTATATTTAGCTCTGTGTGTTTATTTTAGGATGCTTTAGAATCAACGGTAGTTCAGGGAATTTAAAAACAGACTGAGCCCCGGAGTGCTGGTGTTGTATATCACATGCAGTTTTAAATGGTTTTACAACCTTTCTCGCTTGAGAATGTTGCTGGATATATTATGTTTCTTTGCTGTGACGTGCAGGTGTACATTAACCTAGCTCTGTAATGTTAAACAAACTTATATCAAAACCCACCAGCATTAAATAACGCAGCAAATGATTCCAAAGTTAATTGTGTTCTTTGCAGACTCATGGAACAGTTGCTTCCTAGAAACTAGTGCGGTTTACAATCCACAGAGGCTTAGCTCTCTATTTCCCTATCTTACCTGTTGGAGAAGACTTGCAACATAAGCAGAATAACATGGGTAGGCAAACTAAGGCCCGGGGGCCGGATCTGGCCCAATCACCTTCTAAATCCAGCCCGCGGACGGTCCGGGAATCAGCGTGTTTTTACATAAAATGTGTCCTTTTATTTAAAATGCATCTCTGGGTTATTTGTGGGGCCTGTCTGGTGTTTTTACATAAGTAGAATGTGGACTTTTATTTAAAATGCATCTCTGGGTTATTTGTGGGGCACAGGAATTCGTTCATTTCCCTCCCAAAAAAATATATTCCAGCCCCCCGCAAGGGACAGTGGACCGGCCCCCTGCTGAAAAAGTTTGCTGACCCCTGCAGAATAATCTTGAAGAACAACTATTCAGACAGAAGAATATTATTCACTTCTGGATTTTGACAGTGAAGAGGGGTGAAAGGTGTGGAAAAAACCCATAACCCAAGTCCCAGAGAAGAAAGGGTGACATAAACTGGAAACATAAATAGGATGGGGTCTAGTGTCCAGTTACACCGGTCATTCTCACACACGTCCCAAGGACAATAGCACAGGGAATTTTGCTGAACTGGTGTCAACGTGAGCTGTGCCTCACACTCCATAACGTACAGCCTTCACGATGTCGCTGGTGTCAAAAGAACCACTGAGCTTCTGAGAACATAGTTTTACCCCGCCAAAGGCTGGCTCATCATGTGTCTTGGATTGTGAGGAGCTCTGGGAGATGCGCTCTGGGCAAAACTATATCCCATGAAGCAGCCGTGCTTCCAAGAAAGAGTCATTGGATAAGTCTGCCTTTTCATTTCATTTTCATTTCACTTTTGATTTGTATACAGTGGTACCTCTGCTTATGCACGCTTCGGGTTACGAGCTCCGCTAACCGGGAAGTAACTGCTTCTGGTTGCAAACTTTGCCCCAGGATGCGAACAGAAATCGCACACCAGAGGCAGACCCCATTAGCGAAAGCGCGCCTCAGGATTAGAACGGTTTCAGCTTAAGAACGGACCTCCGGAACGAATTAAGTTGATAACCAGAGGTACCACTGTACCGTCTTTCTATTTTACAGGTGAAACTTGAAAAATTAGAATATTGTGGAAAAGTTCATTTATTTCAGTAATTCAACTTAAAAGGTGAAACTAATACATGAATGAGATAGACTCATGACATGCAAAGTGAGATATGTCAAACCTTTATTTGTTATAATTGTGATGATTATGGCTTTGCATGTCATGAGTCTATCTCATATATTAGTTTCACCTTTTAAGTTGAATTACTGAAATAAATGAACTTTTCCACAATATTCTAATTTTTCAAGTTTAACCTGTACAATACGCAAGGCGGTTTGCAAGCTGAAGAATCAAAGAATGTACACCTTTTAATAATCTAATCCAATACAAAAATGTGATAATAAAGCATAACTTTAAAATAAGGAACTTATATTAAATAAGTAATATTCAACAATCCATTAGAACAGTAAAGGTAAAGGGGCCCCTGACCATTAGGTCCAGTTGCGGACGACTCTGGGGTTGCGGCGCTCATCTCTCTTTATTGGCCGAAGGAGCCGGCGTACAGCTTCTGGGTCATGTGGCCAGCATGACTAAGCCGTTTCTGGCGAACCCGAGCAGCGCACGGAAACGCCATTTTACCTTCCCGCTGGAGTGGTACCTATTTATCTACTTGCACTTTGACGTGCTTTCAAACTGCTAGGTTGGCAGGAGCAGGGACTGAGCAACGGGAGCTCACCCCGTCACGGGGATTCGAACCGCCAACCTTCTGATCGGCAAGTCCTAGGCTCTGTGGTTTAACCCACAGCGCCACCCGCGTCCCTTAAAGAAGATAAACAGGTCATAAAACCAAATTTAGACTTGAAATGTGGTTTGCACACTTGAGAGTAGCAAAGCGTCAAATACAGTAGGCATGTCCAAAGTCTGTTTCAGGGGCCTAATCCGGCCAGGGATGATTTAATCCAGTTCCCATGGCAGTATATGTCCTGGGGTAAAATCCTAAAAAAAGCTTAGCAACTTCAATCCAAAAAAAAAGCTCAGAAACTTTGGCGGGCTCTCAGGCTTGTTCACTTCATCAAATCTGGCCCTCTTTGAAAAAAAGTTTGGGCACCCCTGACTAGGTATCAGCATGGCTGCTAATATCAGTGCAAATAAATTTGTTTAACCTGCCTTTTAATTAATTAAATAACTGCCCACATCATTAAAAAAAACAACACCTTCAAAAGAGATGCCTTTTTTCAGATTTCGAAGGAAGCCTAAGACTACTACTGACAATAAATTAATGCTAAAAAAGGGGGTTGTTCTTCTTTCAGAGGAACTTAAGAGTACCAAAACAGCTCCGTCGCTGGGCCATACTAAACAAGCAGCTAAAGCTCTTCCGGATTAATCTATCAATGAAGAGCCATGCTGGAACAAGACCGTAGCCCATCCAGTTCCCATCAGATGCCTATGGGAAATCTGTGGGCAGGAGCAGAAAGCAGTGGCATGTATCCCACCTGATCACTACAGTGGCACTCTCCCTACCTGTGAATTTTTCAGCAACTGGTATTCAGAGACACCTTGCCTCCAGCAGGGAAGGGAGAACACTGCCATAGCCTGTTGGAAGTTTGCATTCCTACCATTTCTACCTCGGAGCACTTGCAATCTAGAGGCTATTCATCAGAAGCAGGGAAGAACCTGTAGAAAGGAAAGCACACTTTATTTCTATTGAGGCAGGCGCACACTGGCAGCATCCCGCAGGGAAAGTGAGCAGAGCAGAGCAGAAAGGTATGTTTCGGTGCTAAGCTTAGAGTGCTGGTATCAGAACATTCCAGGAATTCTTCCGCCTCCAAAAAAATGTGATGCAGGTTCACCATTCAAAGTACAGTAAATGGCACAGAACTGGAAGATGTTCCAACTTTTAAATATGCCACCAATGTAATAATTTGGTAGGCAGTTAAAATTGTTTGCAGGATCTCTCAGTTGGTCATTCTTGATCAGTTAAACAAGAGCTCCAGCAAAGAAAATAAATAGCAGAGTGTGCTATGGCGCTTGCAATTTATTTTTCTAAATCGCCCTTAGATATATAACCCTTTTTTCTCTCAGGCGTGCGTTATGGCTTTTTCGGTATTAATCCCTTTCCCTCCAGCTGTCAAAACCCAGAACTGAATGCTCTTCTTCTTCCTCTCTGATTCGGAGTATTTTTTTTATAAAAAAACTTCTTTTATTTCAAATTCCCTCCAACATGGAAAACTGGCCCATGTCAACTACAAATCAAAATGCTATCTAATGCATGTCATAAATGGAAAAAAACTAAGCAAAAATTGCATTGCATTTTAAAAAGTGAAATTACAAACTCAATTAACACTTGAGTTGGCTTACAGAACTATTAGGTCTCTAAATTTTCCTAATGGCGCAATCGCATTTCCATTTTGAACGCTGATGTTCTCATGAGCGACTACTGTATATCTGTAGGTACACCAGCCTCATCGCAGGAAAACCTGACAATAGGTTTTTTAAAGCCTTTCTGTCCTGCAAATATTGTCAGTTTGCATGATGTTTCTCTCCAAGTATCAAATAAGGTAAATTTCTGCTCAGTGCTCATTCCTATCTCTCAGTTCCTAAGAATCAGATGTAGGTTCAGGGACTAATGGCACACTGTCTCAAACAGGAGGTCCTTTGGGTTCCTTTTTCCAGATAAACAAGATGGGATAGCCTTTGCAAACTGTCTTACCAGTTCAATAGGATTGACTCCCATATATTGATGGGTGGATATTGCAAAATTCTTTCTCAGGATCACTATGATCTTTGCATCAAACAAGTAAATTTACTGAATATAAAGAGATGAGCAGGAAGGTAAACAGTGTTTCTGTGCGCTGCTCTGGTTCGCCAGAAGCGGCTTAGTCATGCTGGCCACATGACCCGGAAGCTGCCTGCGGACAAACGCCGGCTCCCTCGGCCAGTAAAGCGAGATGAGCTCCGCAACCCCAGAGTCGGTCACGACTGGACCTGATGCTCAGGGGTCCCTTTACCTGTACTGTATTTGAAGCTTTGCTACTCTCAGGTGTGCAAACCACATTTCAAGTCTAAATTTGGTTTTACGACCTGTTTATCTTCTTTAAAAAGCTGTCAGGTAATTTTTTTGCCAGGAGGAATGTCTGTGTCTGTGTGTGTCTATGTGTGTGTGTGTGTGTGTGTGTGTGTGCGTGTGCATGCATGCCTGTTGGGTACTTTTTAAATCAAATAAACCATCTGTATTTCATTCTTGATATAATCTAATTTCACAGACTTCTGGGTCTCTGAGCAAATGGATTGAATCATGGCTGCAGAAATAAATCCCATTGAAGTCCATTGAAGCAGGCCCCGGTGAAGGCCTCCCAGTCTGAGCTGGGAGGATGAAGTGTTTCCTTGAAGGCTTGAAAGTGCAAAGAGCCTTCCCCGCTTTTGTGTTCACCAACAATTGCTTTATTATTCTGGCTGCTGGTTAGCCGTCAAATCCATCCATTCTCTTGCTGCTGCACAGCCAAGTTTTCTATCGGTAGATTCCGTCTCAGGTTGAGCTTACCCGGTGTGTCAGAGAGCCCGGGATTAGATCATATCAGAAAGCTACCGTATTTTTCGCACGATAGGACGCACCGGACAATAGGATGCACCTTGTTTTAGAGGGGGGAGAACAAGGGAAAAAAAATCTCCCCCTCTCTGCCCAGCGCCCCTTCAGCGAAGCGGCAGGAGGCGCTGCGCAGAGAGGGAGAGAATTTCCCCCCTCTTGTTTTCCCCCTCTAAAACAAGGTGGCTACCTTGGAAGCCTGGAGAGCGAGCGGGGTTGGTGCGCACCAACCCCTCTCGCTCTCCAGGCTTCAGGTTCCTTTCGACCTGCTCTTTGGGGCTGGCGGGGGTAGCCCACCACCAGCCCCAAAGAGCAGGTGGGGAGCAGCGGAAAGGCGTGCAGCGAAGAAGCTCCTGCCATAGCCGCGCGTCACCTCTCAAGCTGGGAGAGGGTCGTGGGGGGCTTCTTTAGCCCCACGCGCGCTCTCCTGGCTGGAGTGGTGGCGCGCGGCTAAAGAGGCTCCTGCCATAGCCGCGCGTCACCTCTCCAGCCGGGAGAGGGTCGCGGGGCTATGACTTCTTTGCTCCATAGGACGCACACACATTTCCCCTTCATTTTTGAAGGGGAAAAAGTGCGTCCTATAGAGCGAAAAATACGGTAAACTGAAGTGGTGATAGCTCAGTCAGTAGAGCATGAGACTCATGATCTCGGGGGTCATGGGTTCAAGCCTAAGGTTGGGCAAAAAGATTCCTGCATTGCAGGGGGTTGGACTAGATGACCCGTGTGGCCCCTTCCAACTCTACCCTTCTGCGATTCTGAGATAAGTCGTCATCAGTTTTCTCCTCTGTTGGGGGAGTGCATTTGGGCTGCTCTCCTGTTCTTCCATAGCCCTGGAGCTTTGGTTGATTTAAAAACCTTGGCCTCAGTTTGTTCTCGTTGATTGCTGGTGGAAAAGTACTGAATTAAAGGGGGAGAAACTGAAAGATGGGAAACGGGTATTATGATGGGATTAGAGTAAAGACTGTCCATTGGAATTGGTGGCTGGAGGCTGTCTTACTGTCACATAGCTTTTCCTGGGTCTAATGGATTCTACGGTCAAACCTCGGTTGTCGAACATACAGTGGTACCTCGGGTTACAGACGCTTCAGGTTACAGACTCCGCTAACCCAGAAATAGTAGTTGTTGTTTAGTCGTTTAGTCGTGTCCGACTCTTCGTGATCCCATGGACCAGAGCACGCCAGGCACTCCTGTCTTCCACTGTTTGCCCAGTTTGGTCAAACTTGTGCTGATAGCTTCGAGAACACTATCCAACCATCTCGTCCTCTGTCGTCCCCTTCTCCTTGTGCCCTCCATCTTTCCCAACATCAGGGTCTTTTCCAGGGAGTCTTCTCTTCTCATGAGGTGGCCAAAGTATTGGAGCCTCAGCTTCAGGATCTGTCCTTCCAGTGAGCACTCAGGGCTGATTTCCTTCAGAATGGAGAGGTTTGATCTTCTTGCAGTCCATGGGACTCTCAAGAGTTTCCTCCAGCACCAGAATTCAAAAGCATCCATTCTTCGGCGATCCATTCTTCTTTATGGTCCAGCTCTCACTTCCATACATCACTACTGGGAAAACCATAGCTTTAACTATACGGACTTTTGTTGGCAAGGTGATGTCTCTGCTTTTTAAGATGCTGTATAGTACCTCGGGTTAAAAACTTTGCTTCAGGATGAGAACAGAAATCGTGCTGCCGCAGTGCGGTGGCAGCGGGCAGTGGTGGCAGTGGTGCTTCAGGTTAAGAACAGTTTCAGGTTAAGAACGGATCTCCAGAATGAATTATGTTCTTTTCCCGAGATTCCACTGTAATCTGTTCCGGAAGACCGTTGACTTCCAAAACGTTTGACAACCAAAAACTGAAAGTGGAAGCCTCAATGCAATAGGGAAACTCAAAACAGAAACCATGTTGAACGTTTGCCTTCTGAAAATCGTTCGAAAACCAGACCAGTTACTTCCAGGTTTTAAGTGTTCGGTAGCCAAAACGTACGATAACGGAGGCATTCGGGAACCGAGGTTTGACTGTAGCAACTACCGTGGTACCTCGGGTTACAGGCGCTTCAGGTTACAGACTCCACTAATCCAGAAATAGTACCTTCGGTTAAGAATTTTGCTTCAGGATGAGAACAGAAATTGTATGGCGGCGGCGCGGTGGCAACGGGAGGCCCCATTAGCTAAAGTGGTACCTCAGGTTAAGAACAGTTGCAGGTTAAGAATGGACCTCCAGAACGAATTAAGTTCTTAACCCGAAGTACCACTGTACAGTCTGGGCTGCAAATTCTTCATTTCTGAGCTAGGTGATGAAGTGGATTGTGGTGGAACAACTGTAGATGTTCCCAGACGGGACTGATAACCTGGATCCATGCTTGCTTGGGTTTGGAGATTGAATTAGCCTTGGCCGCCCTGATGGATTTTCTTAATAAAGAGAAGGACAAGGGTTGTATGGCCCTGATCTTTCTGGTCTATCTCTTGGTTTCCTTCTGGGCAGACTCTGCAGGATGAATATTGATGGCTTGGTTCCTACATGCAGGGTTGTGACTGGAGAGTAGCGCTAGAGAGTGCTCTTCAGTCTCCTGTGTTTACACTATGGGATGTCTAACACGGGTGGCTCTGTGGTCTAAACCACTGACCCTCTTGGGCTTGCCGATCAGAAGGTTGGCGGTTTGAATCCCCGCCACGGGGTGAGCTTCCGTTGCTCTATCCCAGCTCCTGCCAACTTAGCAGTTTGAAAGCACACCAATGCAAGTAGATAAATAGGTACCACTGTGGTGGGAAGGTAAATGCTGTTTCCGTGTCCTCTGGTTTCCGTCACTGTGTCCCGTTGCGCCAGAAGCGGTTTAGTCATGCTGGCCACATGTCCTGGAAAACTGTCTGCGGACAAACGCTGGCTCCCTTGGCCTGAAAGCGAGATGAGCGCCGCAACCCCATAGTCACCTTTGACTGGACTTAACCATCCAGGGGTCCTTTACTTTTACTATTTGACTCCAATGCATGGTGGTGCCTGGCAAAACAAACATCATGGGTGTAAAGAGGTCCTTGAAATATATGTGTGTAATGTTTTTGCTTTCTCTCTCCCCACCCCCTCTGAAGGCTTTGCCATTTTCGACTGTGTGACTGGCGATGGCAATGGAACCGCTGAACAGGAAACAAAGAGGCTGTCGTGCGGCTACCCAAATGGAAATTGCACAGGTAACAATATGGATTATATGTGATGGTGCTATTCTAAACCCAGATCTACAGTACATTGCATGGTTAGCCACTCCCAGTCAATTGTCTCCTCCCACTCTCCCCAGCTAAGGGAAATCTCTGCTGGCATAAGTTATTTTATTTACTTGTTGTTGTTGTTGTTTAGTCGTTTAGTCATGTCCGACTCTTCATGACCCCATGGACCAGAGCACGCCAGGCACTCCTGTCTTCCACTGCCTCCCACCGTTTAGTTAAACTCATGCTGGTAGCTTCGCAAACACTGTCCCACCATCTCGTCCTCTGTCGTCCCCTTCTCCTTGTGCCCTCCATCTTTCCCAACATCAGGGTCTTTTCCAGGGAGTCTTGTCTTCTCATGAGGTGGCCAAAGTATTGGAGCCTCAGCTTCAGGATGTGTCCTTCCAGTGAGCACTCAGGGCTGATTTCCTTCAGAATGGAGAGGTTTGATCTTCTTGCAGTCCATGGGACTCTCAAGAGTCTCCTCCAGCACCATAATTCAAAAGTATCAATTCTTCGGCGATCAGCCTTCTTTATGGTCCAGCTCTCACTTCCGTACATCACTACTGGGAAAACCATTTTATTTACTTATTACATGTAAATACCACTATTATCTTCAAAGCAGTTCAAGGTTGCCTGCATGGTTCTCCTCCTCTCCATTTCATCCTCACACAACCCTTTGAGGTAGTTTAGGCTAACAGATGGCAACTGGCCCAAGCTCACCCAGTGATCTTCATGGCTGAGTGGGGATTCGAACCATCGTTTCCAAGGCCATAGTCTGACACTCTTGCCATCATGCCACCCTGGCTATATCTGTGTAAAGGGTTTAAAAAGGAGAGAGGTGTGTGGAGAGCAAGGAATGAGTATACAGTGGTACCTCGGGTTACATACGCTTCAGGTTACATACACTTCAGGTTACAGACTCCGCTAACCCAGAAATAGTGCTTCAGGTTAAGAACTTTGCTTCAGGATGAGAACAGAAATCGTGTTCTGGCGGCACGGCGGCAACAGGAGGCCCCATTAGCTAAAGCGGTGCTTCAGGTTAAGAACAGTTTCAGGTTAAGTACGGACTTCCAGAACGAATTAAGTAATTAACCCGAGGTACCACTGTATTAAGGGCAGGGAGTTATAAGTATAAATCATGGGTAGGCAAACTAAGGCCCGGGGGCCAGATCCGGCCCAATCGCCTTCTAAATCCGGCCTGCAGACGGTCCGGGAATCAGCGTGTTTTTACATGAGTAGAATGTGTCCTTTTATTTAAAATGCATCTCTGGGTTATTTGTGGGGCATACGAATTCATTTATTTTTCCCCTTCAAAATATAGTCCAGCCCCCCCCCAAGGTCTGAGGGACAGTGGACCGGCCCCCTGCTGAAAAGGTTTGCTGACCCCTGGTATAAATAATAACTATATGCAGGCTGCTTTCCTTATATCTTCTTGCTACTCTGTTACATCCCACCTGAGTTATGCAAGTCTCATTTTAGTTTGGGATACCACTGCAAACTGACAGCTTATTACTCATTCAAATGTCAACTGGAGATTAAAATGTTTAGAATTGTTTGGGGCCAAGATTGAGTTTGCTCTACTTTCTGCCCATGTCCAAATATAGCATTTTTTGTAGAATATATTCAAGGCCAGCAGGTATTTTTTCAGTTCAGGCTGAAATCACTCTAGTCTTCCTAGCAGCAAGAGTTATGGGCATCTGAAGTGAAGAGTCTTCATCTGAAATCACTGACAATATGAACCTTCCACAAGACCAAAGAGAGCCGATCTTGCTCGTTTTGAAGCCATTTAGGTCAGCGGGTAGAGACTGTGCTAGATCTCAGACTCCCAAATTGATTAAAATGTTGGTTCGCCTTTCCCACTAACGGTGAGCTCTTAATCAGTGGTTTTAATTTAGTTAAGGCACATAGCCCCCCACCATCTCTTTGTCGTGAATGTCTGGATGGGAGTCCCCTTTTCCCATTCTTCGGAAGTACAATCACAGTGCGGGGGCTGCCCTTGAGACTGACCCAGAAACTCCAGCGGGTGCAGAATGCCGCGGCGAGACTCCTTACAGGGTCTTTGCTGCGAGATCACATTCATCCGGTGCTATACCAGCTGCACTGGCTCCCGGTAGAGTACAGGATCAGGTTTAAGGTGCTGGTTTTAAGCTTCAAAGCCCTATACGGCCTAGGACCCTCGTACCTACGGGACCGCCTCTCCTGTTATGTCCCACGGAGAACCTTACGGTCTTCAAACAAAAACATTTTGGAGGTCCTGGGCCACAGGGAGGTTAGGCTGGCTTCAACCGGAGCCAGGGCTTTTTTGGCTGTGGCCCCGATCTGGTGGAACACTCTGTCACAAGAGACTAGGGCTCTGTGAGACTTGATAACTTTCCACAGGGCCTGCAAGACAGAGCTGTTCCACCAGGCCTTTGGCCAAGGCACAGTCTGACCCCCTCCTTTGGCAATCCTCACAGAACTCTAGCCCAATGGTTGCCATTAATTTGATTTGAACTGATTTAATAATGAACTGATTTTAGAATGTTGTATCATTTTACTGTTAGCCGCTCTGAGCCCGGCTTTGGCTGGGGAGGGTGGGATATAAATAAAATCATTTTATTATTAAACCACAGAGCCTAGGACTTGCTGATCAGATGGTCGGCGGTTCAAATCCCCGTGACGGGGTGAGCTCCTGTTGCTCGGTCCCTGCTCCTGCCAACCTAGCAGTTTGAAAGCACGTCAAAGTGCAAGTAGATAAATAGGTACCACTCCGGCGGGAAGGTAAACGGCGTTTCCGTGCGCTGCTCTGGTTCGCCAGAAGTGGCTTAGTCCTGCTGGCCACATGACCCGGAAGCTGTACGCCGGCTCCCTCGGCCAATAAAGCGAGATGAGCGCCGCAACCCCAGAGTCAGTCACGACTGGACCTAATGGTCAGGGGTCCCTTTACCTTTTACTCTTAAGGATCCCCCAGACTTCTAACCCAGACCTATCTCTTCTCTTCCCTAACGTGTGTATTGCTATGATTCCTCCAGATGTCTAGAATAGGAGTCAATGCACAACATAAGAAGAGTCTGCAGGATCAGGCCAATGGGCCACCTAGTTCAGCACCCCGTTCTCACAGTAGCCTGTGGGAAACCAGCAAGCAGAATACGAACGCAAGAGCCCTTTTCCTCCTGTTGTTTCCAGCAACCAATATTCAGAAAGACTATTGCCTCCAAGCGTGGAAGCAGGGGACGGCCATCATGGCTCCCAGTACGTTTCCGAGCACAATTCAAAGTGTTGGTGCTGACCTTTAAAGCCCTAAACGGCCCAGTATATCTGAAGGAGCGTCTCCACCCCCATCGTTCAGCCTGGACACTGAGGTCCAGCTCTGAGGACCTTCTGGCAGTTCCCTCACTTCGAGTAGTGGGGTTACAGGGAACCAGGCACAGGGCCTTCTCGGTGGTGGCACCCACCCTGTGGAATGCCCTCCCATCAGATGTCAAGGAAATAAACAACTATCTGACTTTTAGTAGACATCTGAAGGCAGCCCTGTTTGGGGAAGTTTTTAACATTTGATGTTTTATCGTGTTTTTAATAATCTGTTGGGAGCCACCCAGAGTTTCCTGTTGAGATGTGAACCCCTGGTGACCTGTTTCCCTTGCCTTTGCACCGTCTCTTTGAAAATGCCCACTGTGAGAGATCTCCTCTGTCGAGAGTGGAGACTGTGTAATCTGCCACGGTACGGACTGCATTCTTCGCAGAGCGTCATTTAGTATTCAGCCTGGTAACACAATCCGCACAGCTAATCATTCTTTTGTAGCAGCATTAACTTTTAACCCCTGTGATGATAGTTCCCGGAGTGGAACGGAGCAGTTTTCTGTTCTCTTGTGCTGTTGGGTTTCCAAAGAGTCTGGCGCAGAGCATTCAAGGCTTCGTAGTTCAATTTTCTGGTGCCGCAGCCTTCATGAATAGTAGATGGAGCTGATACTTTACATGTGGCAAGCACAAAGGGGTATCCTCAAGCAGATGTAGATAGTGGCAGCGGGGCCTGCTCCACTGGGATGAATGGGGCACTGCCCCACCTACCCCTTGCGTGCCTCCTTGTCAGGTGTGCGTGCTGGAGCCAGGCCCTGTGACCAATAGGACTTTGCAGGACTGGGGCCTTCCTAAGTTTGTTCTGGAGAGGCAAGGCACGGCCGCACAGGTGAGGCCGATTAGTAACTCACAGCACCTGGTGGCAAGAGCCGGGAAGGGATATAAGGTCAGCATTTTCCCTTTGGCTCTTTGCCACAGCAACACGTTCCCTGCCTTGCTGTGTTTGACTCCTTGCTTCCTGACCCTCGGACCCTTGACTTCTTGACTCCCGGCCCTCTAACCCTCAGACTCTTGGCTTCCTGACTCCTGGTTTCTGGACTCTTGTTCCCAGCGGCGTAGTGTGGGTTGTCAGCACCCGGGGCAAGGCAAGTAATTTGCGCCCCCTAACCCGGGGCAAGGCAAGTAATTTGTGCCCCCTAACCCCTAACCTGCCGCCGCTGCCAGCTTCTTCTTGCTGCTGCCTGGTCTGGTCTGGTGTGGTTCTCTCCCGCGCTCAGCGCTGCGCTGGGCGGCCGCTGCACTGTCCCTCCCCCAGATAGTCCCTCTCTCTCTCTCTCCGCACCGCACGCCTGGCACCCACCCCCTCCACAGTGGGCGGCGACCCAGCGGCTCGGATCGGATTCGCACAGCCAGCACTGCAGTGAGAGAGTGAGTGAGCCAGGTAGGGGCAGAGAGCTGCGAGTGCGAGTGCGCCCCCCCAGATGTTGCGCCCGGTGCGGCCGCCCCCCCTGCACCCCCCACGCTACGCCACTGCTTGTTCCTTCTCCCACCCTGCCATCTTGCCCCCAGGCCCGACGTCCCCAGCCGGGACTTCGATCACCCATGAACCGGACCGTGACACTCCTGTTCTTAGTAAGAACAGCTAGTCTAGGGTGGTGGCACGGGTGGCCAGCTTCTTCCTCCTTACTCTCAATGTTGTCCTTGGGAAATCAGCAGGGGAGAGGGTGGGGATGGACCTAGATAGCTCACTCAGTAAAGCATGAGATTCTCAATTCCAGGGTCGTGGGTTTCAGCCCCACATTGCCCTAAAAGATCCCTGCATTGTGGGTGGTTGGGCTAGATGACCCCTGGGGTCCCTTCCAACTCTACAATTCTATGATTCCTAGAGTGACAAGCTCTGCCTGTCATTGGCTCTGGCGCCACCTACTGTTGGCCACCATGCCTTGCACCTCACCTGTGCCAGGAGCACCAGCTGTCGCCACTGGCTAACACCACTCTTCAGGTTGTTGTTTTTTAAAAATTATTTATAGTTTTCATTTCTATACATTATATAATTGGGGTGTCTAAGTTCTTATGTTGGGGGAGAAACCGGAAGGGGCCACTCCCGGAATCTGCAAGTGACTAAGACGGACATGAACTTTGGGGTTCTGCACTGTAAATAGTTTGCACCAATAAAACCTGTAAAAGACAGGTCGGAGTCCTGCCTGGTTACTCGTGAGCAATCACCTCCTCACCTGACAGGTGCCCTCCCAGGGGCGGGTTAGCCGCTCGGGTGCACGGAGTGGCCCGTGTGTCCTGCAGCCGGGAGCAGAGTGAGCCGACGATAGCGGACATTCGGCGCATTGCCCGCTGGTGACTCCCAAGCCTCCCCCAGCTGTCAAAACGAAGGGGGAAGGGGAGAATGCCCCTGGCAAAGTGGCGCAGCTCCCCCCTTGCCTGACGGCTCAGGGTAGGCTTTTGAATCACGGGTGAGCGGCGCACAAATGTCACCCCCCTCAGCGAAGACACCCGGGGTGGACCGCCCCTTCCTCCGCCCCGGTATGTTGTTGTTGTTTAGTCGGTTAGTCGTGTCCGACTCTTCGTGACCCCATAGACCAGAGCACGCCAGGCACTCCTGTCTTCCACTGCCTCCCGCAGTTTGGTCAAACTCATGCTGGTAGCTTCGAGAACACTGTCCAACCATCTCGTCCTTTGTCGTCCCCTTCTCCTTGTGCCCTCCATCTTTCCCCAAATCAGGGTCTTTTCCAGGGAGTCTTCTCTTCTCATGAGGTGGCCAAAGTATTGGAGCCTCAGCTTCAGGATCTGTCCTTCCAGTGAGCACCCAGGGCTGATTTCCTTCAGAATGGATCAGTTTGATCTTCTTGCAGTCCATGGGACTCTCAAGAGTCTCCTCCAGCACCATAATTCAAAAGCATCCATTCTTTGGCGATCAGCCTTCTTTATGGTCCAGCTCTCACTTCCATACATCACTACTGGGAAAACCATAGCTTTAACTATACGGACCTTTGTTGGCAAGGTGATGTCTCTGCTTTTTAAGAGACCGCCCCCTATAAAGCATATAGCTTTTTGCCTCCTTTCCAAAGCCCAGCACCTCACTTAACCTGGCTTTGAGGACTGCACAAAAAGACCCTGAAGTGTTGGACTTCCCTGCCCTAATTTATCTCCCTTTTTTTATTTCCAGGCGGCACCACAGGACTGAGGTGGAGAGGACATTTTTCGAAATGTCCTGAGGAGTACAAGCACTACTGTATCAAGGGAAGATGCCGTTACGTTGCGGCAGAACAGATTCCGGCATGCGTGTACGTCGACTTTCCGAAGTAGAGAGAAAGGCGTCACTTGTCCGCTGTTGAATTCTGGCGTGACAGGCTCTCTGGAAATGGAGTAGTTGCTAACTGAGCCTGTTTTTCGTCAGCTTGCCTTTCAGTTCTGGGGCTTATTCCAGAGCATGGGTAGGCAACCTAAGGCCCGCGGGCCGGATGCGGCCCAATCACCTTCTCAATCCGGCCCACGGATGGTCCGGGAATCAGCATGTTTTTACATGAGTAGAATGTGTCCTTTTATTTAAAATGCATCTCTGGGTTATTTGTGGGGCATAGGAATTCGTTCATTTTCCCCCTTCAAAATATAGTCCGGCCCACCACATGGTCTGAGGGATGGTGGACTGGCCCACAGCTGAAAAAGGTTGCTGACCCCTGTTCCAGAGCATCAGAATATTTTGAAAAGCATATTGCCACCACGGCTGTTGAAATGCAGAGGTGAAGATGTCAAGTCTCCCCCCAGTTTAATATCAGTCAGTGACCAGAATTTTTGTAGTCAGATGAGGATCCCTGTTTCTGCCAGGGTGGATTTGATTTGAATCAAATTGATTTAAATCACTCGTCAGTAAGACTTGATTTAAATAATATTTTTTACAAAAAGACTCGTTCTTGCTGGTATAATCTTAATATTTACAACCAGATGAAGTGTCATTTTTGGAATAATGAATTTTCAGAGTGGCTTATACAGTTATATAAAAATTACTGATTTGATTATACAGTTATATAAAAATTACTGATATACTATTAGAAATACAATAATTATGAAATTATTGTGAGGTTTAATAAGTTAACTGTTTATATTTTGACCTAATAGGTATCGAAATTTGCACTTAACAAAATATGTATTTTTATCAAAGTAATTGTTGAACTGAAACACAGTTAAGAAGTCCATGCAGAATGTAGGCACGCTATATATAGAACTGAGCAAACCAGTGATATTTTAGGGAGCAGGCTAGCAATTGGGGCCCATTACTTACATCATAGGGACGCGGGTGGTGCTGTGGGTTAAACCACAGAGCCTAGGACTTGCCGATCAGAAGGTTGACGGTTCGAATCCCAGCGACGGGGTGAGCTCCCGTTGTTCGGTCTCTGCTCCTGCCAACCTAGCAGTTCGAAAGCACGTCCAAGTGCAAGTAGATAAATAGGTACCGCTCTGGTGGGAAGGTAAATGGTGTTTCCGTGCGCTGCTCTGGTTCGCCAGAAGCGGCTTCGTCATGCTGGCCACATGACCTGGAAGCTGTACGCCGGCTCCCTCGGCCAATAAAGCGAGATGAGTGCCGCAACCCCAGAGTCAGCCACGACTGGACCTAATGGTCAGGGGTCCCTTTACCCTTTACTTACTTACATCATAGGAGCCTACACAACACAAAACACTGTTGCTGTGTGTAGGTTTTATTTTATTTGTTTTTTATCTTATATTTTGGTAATGAACATCAGATTTTTTTCCCTTTACATTTTTTGGGGGCCCCCAAGAGAGTGGGGCCATAAGCTATAGCTTGTTTAGCTTATATGTAAATCCGGCACTGATGGGGCCCATTGGTGTGCATTGACACAATGCCCTTTGCGTCTCACAACCCTCACTTCTCCTTTCCCTCCTTTACAGCTGCGAGAAAGGCTACACCGGCGCAAGGTGTGAGAGGTTGGATCTGTTTTATTTGAGAGGGGATGAAGGTCAGATTGTGGTGATGTCTTTGATAGGTGTGATGGTGACGCTCATTGTCCTGACTGCCTGTATATGCACCTGCGCTCAGTAAGTATGCCGACTCGAAAGCACAGAGAGTCGATTCTGGTGTTTTGGGTCTTTTACACGAATAGCAGTATAGTGGACGCTCGGGTTGCAAATGTGATCCGTGTGGGATGCATGTTCGCAACCCGCAGCGTTCGCAACCCGCGTCTGCGCACGCACGGGTTGCGATTCGGCGCTTCTGCACATGCACAAAGTGCAATTTAGCACCTCTGCACCTCCGCAACCGCCGAAACCTGGAAGTAACCCGTTCCGGTACTTCTGGGTTTCGGCAGTCTACAACCTGAAAAAACGCAACCTGAAGCTGCTGTAAGCCGAGGTACAGTCGTGCCTTGGAAGTCAATCGGAATCCGTTCCCGGAAGTCCGTTCGACTTCGCAAATGTTTGGAAACCAAGGTGCGGCTTCCGATTGGCTGCAGGAACTTCCTGCAACCAATCGGAACCCGCGTCGGATGTTCGGGTCCCAAAGAGCATTCGCAAGCTGGAACACTCACTTCCAGGTTTGGGGTGTTTTGGGGGCCAAAACGTTCGATTTGCAAGGCGTTCGACTTCTGAGGTACAACTGTAAACGGTTCCTAATGCTCCAAATGTAGTTATATAATATTATTTCTAAAAGGGGAAATGTTGCTTGTCTCTTTTCAAGTTAGCTGTCTGGGTCTTGGTTTCGAAACCCAGGACCAACAAGTCACCCCAATCTGAAACCCACTTTTAATTTTTGGCTTCTCTCCCCGCCCCCCAGCTAAAGGTAAAGGGACCCCTGACCATTAGGTCCAGTCGTGACCGACTCTGGGGTTGCGGCGCTCATCTCGCTTTATTGGTCGAGGGAGCCGGCGTACAGCTTCCAGGTCATGTGGCCAGCATGACTAAGCCGCTTCTGGCGAACCAGAGCAGCGCACGGAAACGCCGTTTACCTTCCCGCCAGAGCGGTATCTATTTATCTACTTGCACTTTGATGTGCTTTCAAACTGCTAGGTTGGCAGGAGCAGGGACTGAACAACAGAGTTCACCCCATCGCAGGGATTCGAACTGCCGACCTTCTGATCTGCAAGCTCCCCTACTGTACCCTAAATCTGAGGGGGTAGTTTATGCCTTCTTCAGGCAGATCCCTCTCTAGGAAGCCACATTTCAAACTACCTGAATAAAGCAAAGATTGCAACTTGCTCTTAGGCCTCATCCCGACTTCCTTTTGTGCCATGTTTCTAGCTACGTGTTTCTGTGTTTGTTTGCTTGCTTGTTTTGTCTCTGTGCTTTTCCCAGAAAAACCCATGTTTTACCCTTGAATCAGTGCAAATATCAGTCGGATTTTCTGCAGATTGCTGTTTGCTTCAATTCGGTGGTAAAGTGTGGGTTTTCCTGGGAAAAGTGCTGGGACAAAACAAAAAAAACACCTCAGACATGGAGCTTTACACAGGCTGAGACCCTACCTGCCCGCGGACTGTCTCGCCTGAGTGGTGCATGCTCTAGTTATCTTCTGCTTGGACTACTGCAATGCGCTCTACGAGGGGCTACCTTTGAAGATAATCTTTACAGCTAATCCAAAATGCGGCAGCTAGACTGGTGACTGGGAGCAGCCACCCAGACCATATAACACTGGTCCTGAAAGACCTCCACTGGCTCCCAGTACGTTTCCGAGCACAATTCAAAGTGTTGGTGCTGACCTTTAAATCCCTAAATGGCCTCGACCCAGTATACCTAAAGGAGCGTCTCTACCCCCATCGTTCTGCCCGGACACTGAGGTCCAGTGCCGAGGGCCTTCTGGTGGTTCACTCACTGCGAGAAGCAAAGCTACAGGGAACCAGGCAGAGGGCCTTCTCGGCAGTGGCGCCCGCCCTGTGGAACACCCTCCCACCAGATGTCAAGGAGATAAACAACTATCTGACTTTTAGAAGATATCTGAAAGCAGCCCTGTTTAGGGAAGCTTTTAATGTTTGATGTTTTTTCGTGTTTTTAATATTCTCTTGGGAGCCGCCCAAAGTGGCTGGGGAAACCCAGCCAGATGGGTGGGATACCAATAATAATAATAATAATAATAATAATAATAATAATAATAATATATTAAGTGTGGACCTTTGCCTGAAAAGTGCAGCTCAAAAGGAAGCTTGGATGAGCCCTTAGGCAGCCTTCTGATCCCTGACTGAACTCTTTTGTGTCTCTTGCCAGTACGCAAACAAAGCCCTCCTGAGGCTGGATTGGATAAGCTAACAGTCAGTGGTGTGAGGTCAGTAGACCGGAGAACTAGGCTAGTCTCTTAAATCTTCACCTGGCACCTCATCCCCAAAGCCCGAGAAGCTTCTGCCCAGCTTAGGGAGAGAGGTGTGATGCGACTCTGACCCTACCTGTCCTCCTAGGAAAAATGTCACCATAAGCCTCTGTTAATAGCGCCCTCTTGGGCTTGCTGGTCGGAAGGTCGGCGGTTCGAATCTCCATGACGGGGTGAGCTCCCGTTGCTCTGTCCCACCTAGCAGTTCAAAATCATGCCAGTGCAAGTAGATAAATAGGTACTACTGCGGCGGGAAGTTAAATGGCGTTTCCGTGCGCTCTGACACTCGCCCCAGTCCTCCGTGCACCAGTAGCGGTTTAGTCATGCTGGCCACATGACCCAGAAAACTGTCTGTGGACAAACGCCGGCTCCCTTGGCCTGAAAGCGAAATGAGTGCTGCAACCCCATAGTTGCCTTTGACTGGACTTAACCATCCAGGGGTCCTTTCCCTTTCCCTTTTATTCCTCTGAGTGGCTAATAACGATGGTTCCTTCCTCAAAGGTAAAGGGACCCCTGACCATTAGGTCCAGTCGTAGCCGACTCTGGGGTTGCAGCGCTCATCTCGCTTTATTGGCCGAGGGAGCTGGCGTACAGCTTCCGGGTCATGTGGCCAGCATGACAAAGCTGCTTCTGGCAAACCAGAGCAGCGCACGGAAATGCTGTTTACCTTCCCGCCGGAGCGGTACCTATTTATCTACTTGCACTTTGACGTGCTTTCGAACTGCTAGGTTGGCAGGAGCAGGGACCGAGCAACGGGAGCTCACCCCATTGCGGGGATTCAAACCGCCGACCTTCTGATCGGCAAGTCGTAGGCTCTGTGGTTTAACCCATAGCGCCACCCGTGTCCCATTCCTTCCTCAAAGTCTTCCACAGTTATGTGGCAAAATGAAGCATATAAGACTACTTTGGCCTAACTTGCGAGTCACCACATGACGGCTCATTGTATTCCTTTGACTTCTGTGGGGTTTGAATACTATGGCAATGGTCTGCTTAGTTGCCAAAGCACAACAGGTTTTGTCACTGATTTCATTTGGAGAAAGCACTTGCTTTCTTACTTGGGAATGTACTTGAAAAGATGATCTAGATTTATTAGAAATAAAATACGTTTAAGGTGCATGTGTTGCAGTGGTGCGTGTTTCTCTGTTCTAATTTTACGGACTAGATGTGCGCTTAATGACACATATTTGCAAATTGCTTTTCAAGTTACTGTAAAAAAAGGCGCAGGAAGAGGAGAGAGGAAGAAATGATGACATTTGAGAAGAGGCTGCCTATTAAAACAGATGATATTCTAGAGACAGACATTGCATGAAGGTATTTACTTCTTCGCTTGCTTTGCTTATTTGAGGCGACAGATAAAATGGTTGGGCTAGCTTGTTTGTCTTCAAACCAACTGAGCTCAGGCTAGTCAACGTTTTCCTAAAATACGAGCGGGGGCTCATTATGTTCTAGCTAACTCCAGATTTCTAACTATGGGAAGGCACAGTTAAGCATGTATTTTAGGAGATTCAGATTGTGTACACATTATGCTTTACTCTGACTCCAGTGCGCAGCCTTTGCTGGTGTTTGAAACTAGAGTACACAAGATGTTAGCCTCAATCCATCTGCATCCTGCCGTTTCTTGAGAAATACAGTGGTACCTCGGGTTACATACGCTTCAGGTTACATACGCTTCAGGTTACATACGCTTCAGGTTACAGACTCCGCTAACCCAGAAATACTGCTTCAGGTTAAGAAATTTGCTTCAGGATGAGAACAGAAATTGTGCTCCAGCGGCGCGGCAGCAGCAGGAGGCCCCATTAGCTAAAGTGGGGCTTCAGGTTAAGAACAGTTTCAGGTTAAGAACGGACCTCTGGAACGAATTAAGTACTTAACCCGAGGTACCACTGTACTGCTGATTGATTCACATTCGCTCAAACCAGCTTCCACCCAATTCAAAAACTTAAGCTGAGGTGTGTACAGTTTAGACATCCATTGCACATGTGCAGATGACAGCGTCATTGAATAGGAGTTGTGGGGGGTTGTGGAATTGCATGACTTGTGGGATAATGACCATTGGCATGATTCTGTAAAATGATGGGAGGAGGAAGGATGGGACCCAGATTTATTAAGAACACAGTCCTCCAAACCTGGAAATGACTGCAGTGAACACAGTGGAGCTTGTTTCTGCTTAGTGTTGTTCTGCACGGTAAAAAATCCTGACTGAATTACTTTCTCTTTTTTTAAAAAAAAAAGATATTTATTAAAATTTCAACATATTAGAAAAATGAGCGAAAAAAGAAAAAGGAAAGCAGATAAAAAAAAAGATATAAAAATGGAAAAGTACAAAATGCAAAATAAAAGCAGTTAAACAAACAGATTAGTCTTTCTATGTCTTATCTTTCATTTACTTGTTTCCCCGACCTCCTCGCGCCTCCCTTTTTTGTATTCCAGTTCACATATTTTGTTCAGCAGTTCCCTCCCCTCTTTTAAGTATCCTAATCATTAACCATAAAAATATTGTACTTTTAGATTTTTACATATTACATAATAAACCCTTTTTTCATCTTCCCTTGTAACATTTCAGCTAAGAACCACTTAGTTTTTATCGAACATCATTCTAACATTCAATAATTTTACAATATTTCTGTAGATAATCTTTGAATTTCTTCCAATCTTCTTCCACCGAATTACTTTCTCTTTTTACCCCGCAGGTTGTCAAAAGGTGCTTGCAGGCAGGTTCCATACTTTCCAGTGCCCTTTTCATCTTGACGGAGCTCATGAGGGCTAGTGACTTGAAAACCAATGTGGCTAAATGGATGCAGGTGTAATAATTGCTGTGCGTTTGTGACTTGATTCTGTGAAAAAAATCAGGAGGAATTGTCTACCATGGGAAAAACAGGAATTTCCAGAAGCACATAATGGATTTTCACAGGGCTGCTTTTCATATCCCCTTCAGTGCTTCAATAACCCACTTTGAATTTGCCAGCATGGAAGAGAAGCAGGAATTTTTTTATATATAAATATTACAGGAATTGATGTAATAATCTGTAGTATTTTTATGTACAGCAGAATTCGTGAACCAAAGTGTGCCTTTAGGAGCAAATGTAAATGCCGATGAGGTCTGGATGTTGTATTTATACAAATAGCTGTGGCTTTGATTGATGATATAATTTTTTTTGATTTTACGTGGCAAGGATGTTTTCTGTTGGCTGTTTTGAGCGCAGCTGACCCCTTGCTTTGCTTTAAAAAAGAGAGTTGCATTGTAACTGTAGTAATGAGAATTTGGAAAGTGTAAATTTCCCTGTTCTGTGTGTCTTGTCTCTTAGATATTTGAAAAACACAAAAGGTAGATGATTTTTTGCGGGCATCTTATGCTTCCATTATATCAGAGCAATACTAAACAGCAAAGGGTCTCCTGCACTTTAAAATATTTTTTTGAAGGACTCTTTGTTAAGATATAAAAGCAGGATATTTTATTATGAAACAGGACAAAGTTGTATTTAGGAACTTCCTATGCGCTGTGGGTTAAAACACAGAGTCTAGGGCTTGCTGATCAGAAGGTCGGTGGTTTGAATCCCCGCGACGGGGTGAGCTCCCGTTGCTCGGTCCCTGCTCCTGCCAACCTAGCAGTTCGAAAGCACGTCAAAGTGCAAGTAGATAAATAGGTAGCGCTCCGGCGGGAAGGTAAACGGAGTTTCTGTGCACTGCTCTGGTTCGCCGGAGGCGGCTTAGTCATGCTAGCCACATGACCCGGAAGCTGTACGCCGGCTCCCTCGGCCAATAAAGTGAGATGAGCGCTGCAACCCCATAGTCGGCCACGACTGGACCTAATGGTCAGGGGTCCCTTTACCTTTACCTATATGATCAGACAAAATCTGCTTTATACATTTGGGAGCTTCCCAAACTGTTGCAACTTCTCCACTGCATGTTTTGGCAGTGCAAAAAGCACGTTTTATCATAGACCAAATAAATAAAATAAAAAAATCAAAAAAAAATCAGCCCTCGGTGCCTTAACCTATGTGGTCACAATTTTTTCAAAAAACTTCCTAACCTGCTGGGTCACAATTTCACTAAAAATCTGACATTCTCCAATTCACTCAAAAATGGTGCCAAACTTGCAAATTTCCCCCTTAAAGGTTTGGCAGTGCAAAAAGAACATTTTATCATAGACTGAAAAAAATCAGCCCTCAGCGCCTTACCCTGCGGAGAAACATTTTTTCCAAAAAATCCCTAACCCGCGGAGTCACAATTTCACCAAAAATCTGACGTTATCCAATACACTCAAAAATCGTGCTATTCACTTCTTTAGTTCCTATGAATGGTGCTAACATGGTTCAAACATAACTGGCTGAGGTATAACCAGGCTGATAGTTCCACCTAAGAAAAGAAGAAGAAGAAACCTGTCTAGAAGTTGGCTGCAGTGCAGGAGAAGCAGAAAGCAAGACCACCACAGAAAGTTTGTGTTGTTGTTTCAAAATGGCGGTACACCTTGGAGAAGGGTGGATAACCTAGCTGTTGTTAATAATATTTAAAGGTGAACTCTCTTGTGCTGGTGATATATGGTGGGAGATGCATAACCCTAAAATAATTTAATACTTGTTTTCAGGTGTGGGGTGGAAGGGTCTGTGTTGCTCATTATCAAAAGTGGCTTGTGATAATCCGTACAGTAAGCGTTGTGCCCCACTACTTTCCCCCAGGTATAAGTTATTGTAATTTAATTTCTGGGGGGAAAGTGATCTCCTCAATGGAACTGTAACCTTGTGAGGAGACACTTTGACAGTATTTATTCCTTGTGTAAAGCTGCGAGGAGAGGCTTTCTTGAGTTCATTTTTGTAAGTGTCTTTTGTTGCTGTTTTTTGAATAAAGTGGTCTGGGCAGCTCAGGAAAGACACATGTAATTATAGTTCAAACGGCCCATGTCAAAACTCCAAGAATTTTAAAAATATTCCTGCCTGCCCCACCCCTTCCAATTTTCACCATTCTTTGTAGGGATATTGTGTCGTGTATTTCAACTTTGAGGAACACAAACTTAAGATTTCTCCCCAAATTCTGCAACGCATCTCTTCCCAGCTACACCTGGAGAAATTATTTGGGGGAAGTTAATGGATTTTCAATTAAACTTACATTGTGGGATTTCAAAACCACTTCCCAAAGCAAATGGGACTTCGCCCTCAAATTCCATTACTGGTAGGAAATCCATTTTTTATGTACTGATAACCAAACTGTACATTAGTTTGTTTGAGCCAGACTTAGTAACCACACTCTGAATTACCACTCACAATCACAGTGTCTGACCAGGCCACCTTTTCTGTCGTAATATGTCCGTGTTTTGGTGATATGAGATGCAACTGTCTCAGTGCTGAAACCCCAGTGGGAAAATCAGATGTGTTCCGTTCCAATTGGTATTTTGCAGCCTAACGCAGCTAATCGCGCCAGTTTTGATGGGGAAAAGGTTTTGTCTTCTCACCGGTGAATCTGTTGGACAGGCTGTTCCCCGTTCTATATGTCCGTATGTGTGAAGTAGAGATTCTGGCCTTCAGGAATGACGGGCTCTCCAAAACCAAATGCGTTTTAATCTTCCTCGATGAATAGCCACTACAGAGGAGGATTATCATCGCCTTTGTAGTCTATAATGCACCCACACTGTCCCTCTTATTGGCAGTTTTCTCACTCTTGGATTGTTCCAGTGAAGCAGGAAGTACCATATTTTTCTCTCCATAAGACGCAACCGACCATAAGATGCACCTAGTTTTTAGAGGAGGAAAAGAAAAAAAAATATTCTGAATATTCTGAATGCCTATTCATTTACATTAGTAAGACCAATATGCATCTCAGGACTCTAAGCTTATCTGATTTTTTTTGCAGCAGAAATCCCAGAAGTGTGCACCAGTATTTTAGACCCTAATGAGCAGGGCTCCAGTTAAAAAACCATATCTGGAAATAGAGAACCAGGAAACCCAAGGCAAAATCCTAAAGGTGCAGAAAAATGGGTTTTATAGATTAATCCTTCAATAAGAATATCACTTTCCTGTCAGGGAATTTTAAAAGATATTCTGCACCAACATATATTTTCTGCCCCTGCTCTTGCTAAAACCAACGGCTAACTATATTACCTTAGTTCTATGGGGCTACTTAAGGTCGTCACATTTAACTCCCTTCTTCCAAATCTTAGCTGAATTGGGGCCAATATTTTTATTTGTCAAATGCTAATTATTTGTACTGCAGAAGAGACCAAGCCAAATTAACCTTCCATGCCAATTAATGAAGCTCTAGGTGACAGTTTCCTGAATTGAGGCTGCCCAGTTTTTCACCACATGATGGGGCTATATTATCAACTTATGTCTAAGCTAAGAGAAGCCAGTCTTTTGAATGTTTGCAGCATTCTGGAACTAAAAAATCCCATCCAATGCGGTAGTCTCTGGCTTGTCTTGTGAAAGGAAGAATATCTGCTGGCATTGCTTGAACTGCTGGCTGCACATCAGCAAATTTCAACAAAGCATTTTATTGTTTCAACTTAGCTTTCTAATTGCAGTTCTGGGTATTACTCTGTTTGTTTGATTAATATACATTTACTGTTTGGACTAAGGGACGCTGGTGGCACTGTGGGTTAAACCACAGAGCCTAGGACTTGCCAATCAGAAGGTTGGCGGTTCGAATCCCCATGACGGGGTGAGCTCCCATCGCTCGGTACCAGCTCCTGCCAACCTAGCAGTTCGAAAGCACGTCAAAGTGCAAGTAGATAAATAGGTACCGCTCCAGCAGGAAGGTAAACGGTGTTTCCGTGCACTGCTCTGGTTCGCCAGAAGCGGCTTAGTCATGCTGGCCACATGACCCGGAAGCTGTATGCTGGCTCCCTCAGCCAGTAAAGCGAGATGAGCGCCACAACCCCAGAGTCGTCTGTGACTGGACCTAATGGTCAGGGGTCCCTTACCTTTTCACTGTTTGGACTACCTGTGTCCTGGTCTGTGTGTATTCTAAGGGTGGTATATCTCGCTCCACAAGTTGCTTGTAGATTCATTTGAATAAGATTATAGTGTCGCCGACAAAGGTCCATATAGTTAAAGCTATGGTTTTCCCAGTAGTGATGTATGGAAGTGAGAGCTGGACCATAAAGAAGGCTTGATCGCCGAAGAATGGATGCTTTTGAATTATGGTGCTGGAGGAGACTCTTGAGAGTCCCATGGACTGCAAGAAGATCAAACCTATCCATTCTGTAGGAAATCAGTCCTGAGCGCTCACTGGAAGGACAGATCCTGAACCTGAGGCTCCAATACTTTGGCCACCTCATGAGAAGAGAAGACTCCTTGGAAAAGACCCTGATTTTGGGAAAGATGGAGGGCACAAGGAGAAGGGGGTGACAGAGGATGAGATGGTGGGACAGTGTTCTCGAAGCTACCAGCATGAGTTTGAGCAAACTGCAGGAGGCAGTGGAAGACAGGAATGCCTGGCGTTCTCTGGTCCATGGGGTCACAAAGAGTCGGACACGGCTAAACGACTAAACAACAACATAGTGGTAGGGTCTTGCTGGTCTCTGTAGGTGTGGAAGCAGTCATTGTGTGTGAACCATTAAGAGAATTTTGCATTCAGCAGAGCAACTGGCAGGGATGTCTTACCCATAGACGTTAGTGGCACAGGACACCAGGGCGCCAGATTTTGGAGGGTGCCACAGGCTGAGTGTCTGGGAAGGAGAGTCAGGGCGCGCTCCCTTCCTCACTCTGGGGCAGCCCGCTCCTCTCCTCTCAGCCACCCATTGGAGCGCGCTGTGTCTGGCTCAGGGAGCCCCCTTTGCGTCCCCTCCTGCTGGGGCTGCCTGGGCACCTGGCGGGTACAATTGGGGGTGGGGGAAGGCCAGGGAGGGCGTGTCTCTTCTGCCCCTCTTTGGCTGCTTCGCTGCCTGCGTGCCTCCCTGCGGAGTCTGCGAACGGAGCAGGGACGCACCCTGTGCAATCCCAGCGTCGAGCAAGGATTGGACAGCCAGTGAGCCACCTGATCTGTTTGCTGGCCCTCTTGTCACGCGGACTTCCCCGGACGGGGGTAGCTAAGGGGCGCCAGGCGCTTACAGGGAGGCTTTGCAGGAGGGTGCGGGAGGGCGTCTGGGCTGCGACCTGTTGGACCGCGTGTTGGACCACGTGATGTAAACGAGATGGACCGATGTCAGCTTCGCCTATGAGACAGTGCCACCGACTGGGCTCAACCACTTCAGCCCCAACTGGGCGAGGCGAGCTGGGGTAGCACTTCCAGAGACCTTCTTCTGCAGGAACAGGTCCAAGTGCTGTGGACTCACAACTCAGAGCTGTGAGCACCGAACTCACTTCCAGAAGACAGCAGTGCACAGCAGAGTATAGCAGAGCATAAATCACTCAGACGACAGCGCTGAAGAATATCTTCTTTTATTCACTACAGCTACTGTACTATACAAACTATATACAAATGGAGACGCTGGACTGCACTGAGTGTTACAGCTGCTTTCTGCAGTGACCTTATCTACACAGAGATAACACTCAGTCTCCCCTTTGAAGTGAGGCTGGAGCGGAATAAGTAGCAAGCACAATCCGCCCCCTCCTCTCTGGAAAGTCAGCAGATTCTTGCAATGGGAGGGGTGAAATCTCCTCATCCCCCCCGCCCTTTAAAAGGTCGGCAACTTTGGGAAATGGGAGGCGCTGGAGAGATATTTGCACCACAGCGCTGGATATGCTTAAGATGGCCCTGGCAACTGGCCTAGTGACCTCCAGGAGTAAAGGCAATGCAAGGAACCCTGAGCCCTTGCCCCAGGATGAAAATACAATAAAAATACAGTGGTACCTCGGGTTACATACGCTTCAGGTTACAGACTTCGCTAACCCAGAAATAGTGCTTCAGGTTAAGAACTTTGCTTCAGGATGAGAAGAGAAATTGTGCTCCAGCAGTGCGGCAGCAGCAGGAGGCCCCATTAGCTAAAGTGGGGCTTCAGGTTAAGAACAGTTTCAGGTTAAGAACGGACCTCTGGAACGAATTAAGTACTTAACCCGAGGTACCACTGTACAGTTGTACCTTGGTTTTCGAATAGCTTAGTTTTCAAACGTTTTGGCTCCTGAACGACGCAAACTCGGAAGCGAGTGTTCTGGTTTGCAAACTTTCTTTGGAACCCAAATGTCTGACGCGGCTTCCAATAAGCCGTGCCTTGGTTTTCGAACATTTTTGGAAGTCGAACTGACTTCCGGAATGGATTCCGTTTGAGAACCAAGGTACGGCTGTAATATGAACAAATCCTACCTACATTTTTAACATCATGAAAGCAGTTTGGAAAGAAATGCTTTTTTTCAGAAACGAGCCAGCCCCCACCTAAACCTAATCTGAAACACCCTCCTAAGCTAACCCAATCTATCTGCTCTTTCCTCACTAACACCTCTAACTTTCCTTCCTCTCTCTCTTAATGCTTCTCTTCTGATTCCATCACTGGACACTTCTGGCAGCAAGAGATGTCACGAAGGAGGGCTGGCCACTGTTCCCTGGACAACCCACCATCGGAACTTGATGCTCCTTCAGAACTTTCAGACAGAAAGTTGGTCTGATGGTCTGCCAGGTTGCTTCAAAGTTCAACATTTCACTCCATTCCCCTATCTCTGTTTCGGGTTCCAAAGGCACTGGAACAGGCCCTATAGATGATTTCCCTTATGGCAGTGTAACACAAGGAAACTTAGTGAAATGGGCATAAAAGGCATATTTTCAGAGCCCAGCACAGTGGGCCGGGGGTGGGGGCACTTGGAGGAAGGGTTTAGAAGCAACCAAAATGTCACTACACTGGCTTGGGATAAAAAATGACCACAACTTTATTGATTCCAGATGTAAGCTGGTTTTGGCATAGGCATTAGGTATGTATCCTGAATCAGCCAACTCGATTGCTGAGTCATAACTCCGTCAGGGTTGATCCTGGGGTTAAGGATCCCTCCATGTCTCAGATCAAATAGGGCAATTCCACCAGGATGCCATCAATCTCCATCTGAGCTTTTGGACAGAACCCTACCCCTGGAGCCTTTTACCAGGGTGCCCCAAAGTTTGATCCCCTAGGTTTTTGACTAGATAGATAGATAGATAATCCAAAGACCAGCTCACGTAACATAACACAATAAAAACAGCGTTCATAAAGATAAAATATACAATCGGAGCAGATTGCAGCAATAGCTCATAAAATTGAGATATATACATACACCTATACAACTGAGATTTGGGCTACCATAAAAAAATTGACCTTGAGGTGCCTCAAAGAGCGACTTCAGCATTTACCTAGTGAGCTATTTTATTCTAGAGGGTGATATGTGTTAAGTTGTGGGTGAACATATCAGACAACACAGCGATTCTTCAAACAGCTCTTGTTTATTCACAGGCCAGAGCAGAACTGAACTGAGGGGTTCAGCCAGCCTGCTTATATAGAGCACCACTAGAACGCAACAGTAACCATTTTCTGTAACTATCCAATCACTGAACGTCACTTTCAATCCCTTATTTGCATATGTGGACCTGAGTGAAAACTATCTACAGTATCCCCCTGCTGGCCCAGGGTGAGAACTTCAGTACATAACAATCGGTGCCTCCAGATATGGGCGCAGAATCTGGCTACCAGCCAGGTCGTCTTGTGATCTTTGCCTAAGAGGAGAGAATTAAGTTTAGACTTGTCTGAAAGATCGGCGAGCCTCTTCAGCAAAGGATCAATGGTGTCTCTACAGATCTCAACATAAAAAGGACATCTAAAAAATATATGTTCAGGGCTTCCTATTTCCCCCAATGGGCAGGCGCAAAGTCTCTGTGCGTACAGGACTCTTCTATAGGAGCCTACCAGAACCGGTGAGGGCAAGGCTGAGCTTCTAAGCTAGAGTAAAAGCACTTCTTGCGTTTCTGGATGTGAGGAAATACAGATATGTTGCTGGAGCGGCTACGTATCTCCCATTTTCTATGATTTTATAATCGGGGACCCTTGTACAGTCCTGTTGTCTCTCTATGTCCATGATTCTTTGCCTAACCACAGATCTAGCTTGGCCCAGGCCCATAGTTATGAGGGTTTGGGGAGCAAGGCTCAGTTTCTGAAGAGTGTTTAGAACTGCTGTCTGCCTGTCAGACTGAAACTGGTCGCTCAGAATCAATGGGGCTATTCCCCGGGGAAGCAGTTTCAGAGTTGTTGTTGTTTAGTTGTTTAGTCGTGTCCGACTCTTCGTGACCCCATGGACCAGAGCATGCCAGGCACTTCTGTCTTCCATTGCCTCCTGCAGTTTGGTCAAACTCATGTTCGTAGCTTTGAGAACACTGTCCAACCATCTCGTCCTCTGTCGTCCCCTTCTCCTTGCGCCCTCCATCTTTCCCAACATCAGGGTCTTTTCCAGGGAGTCTTCTCTTCTCATGAGGTGGCCAAAGTATTGGAGCCTCAGCTTCACGATCTGTCCTTCCAGTGAGCACTCAGGGCTGATTTCCTTCAGAATGGAGAGGTTTGATCTTCTTGCAGTCCATGGGACTCTCAAGAGTCTCCTCCAGCACCACAATTCAAAAGCATCAATTCAGTTTCAGAGTTAGCCACTTATATATTGATGTGAGACTAATATGAGCTTCGACTTTCCTCATGCCTGTTTCTAGTCTGACCCATGCATCTGAAACGCATCTAGGAACTTGTAGAAGGGTTCTGAGGAGTTTGGATTACACTCTTTCAAGGGGAATGAACGAGGAGGGTAGGTTTTTGACTAAAGGATCCAACCCAATGTCTTTCTGCCAAAGTAGGGGCAGTTGCTATGAGGATAGCACACCCCCCAGACCGGTCCAATTTGTCTTCAGGCAAATTCCTCCCTGGCCCCGAATACAGCAACTGAGTAATTCCATAGCAAAGCCATACACATGCAATGCCTGCGTAACCCTTGGGCAGAGCCGCAGGATGACCAATTTCGGACGGCACTGCCTGATCACAGTGCAGCCAGTTTTTAGGCCCCGGCAGCGGACCTGACAGAAGACTGGCTCTGCCAGGTCCACTGCCAAAGGACCACCCCTGAGACCACTAGGGTCATGATTGGCCCAAAGGAGTTTAAATTTTGGCAGGCAATCCCACCAGCCCCCATGGAAGAACAAGGCCAACTGGGATGCTAGCTGGTTGCATGGACTAGAAAGTTGGCCTTGTTTGGCCATGGTAAAATACATCTTAGTGTGTTTTTGATCTTTGTGGAAGCCACCCAGAGTGGCTGGGGAAACCCAGCCAGATGGGCGAGGTACAAATAATAAATTATGATTATGATTATGATTATGATTATGATTATTATTCTCCTGTGGCTGTGTGGGGTCTCAACGGCCGCTGACGTCTGGATACAGAAAGTGGTCTTACTATTTTTGTGCCGTCCTCCAGAGACATACCAGACCTGCATACCAGACTGGTACATTAATACCACCCCCTTTCCTATCTCGAGCCAATATTTTTATCTCTCCTGTTATAAAAAGAAAACACCTTAAGTCTCTTCCGTCTTAATCAATCCACCTTTGTAGATTAGTTGAGTCAGTCATGTTCACAGCGAGTGCTATTTTTAACTTTGATGCTTTCTAGCCTCAGATATGAGTCACATTCTTGTACAATTTAGATTTTGATTGTATGTCTTTGTAACTTTTATCCAGTTGCTCTTTTTAAAAATACAAAAAGCCATTTGTATTTGTTGTACAGTGGTACCTCGGGTTACAGACACCTCAGGTTATAAACACTTCGGGTTACAGACTCCGCTAACCCAGAAGTAGTACCTCAGGTTAAGAACTTTACCTCAGGATGAGAACAGAAATCGCGCAGCGGCCTTATAATTGCACACATGTGCTTAAAGGTGTGTGGACAATGCCTGATGAAATCTCCAAAGACAGGAATTTCAGAAATAAGACTTCTACTATTCAGGTGTGGGGTTAATCTTCAGAATTCTGCTTAAGCTATTTGTTTTTCTCTGTGACTGAGCAGAAGTAGAATGAATTAAAAGCTACAATGTATGTTATGAACAGTTACAGTCACCATGCAAATGTGCTTAATTTGCACGTGGAACACATCTATTATATATCATAATCTGGTCTAATGTAGTGTGGGGTTTTTTGAAGGTATGTATATCTTGCCTAGGGATGTGGGTGGTGCTGTGGTCTAAACCACTGAACCTAGAGCTTGCCGATCAGAAGGTCAGCGGTTTGAATCCCCACGACAGGGTGAGCTCCCGCTGCTCAGTCCCAGCTCCTGGCAACCTAGCAGTTCGAAAGCACCTCAAAGTGCAAGTAGATAAATAGGCGGGAAGGTAAACGGCGTTTCCGTGCACTCTGGTTTCCGTCACGGTGTCCCGTTGTGCCATAAGTGGTTTAGTCATGCTGGCCACATGACCCAGAAAGCTGTCTGTGGACAAATGCTGGCTCCCTCGGCCTGAAAGTGAGATGAGCGCCGCAACCCCATAGTCACCTTTGACTGGATTTAACCATCTAGGGGTCCTTTACCTTTACTATTTGACTCCAATGTGATTTGAATCCCCGCAACAGGGTGAGCACCCGTTGTCCGGTCCCAGCTCCTGCCAACCTAGCAGTTCGAAAGCACGCCAGTGCAAGTAGATAAATAGGTACCACTCCGGCGGGTTTCTGTGCACTGCTGTGGTTTCGCCAGAAGCGGCTTAGTCATGCTGGCCACATGACCCGGAAAAAATGTCTGCGGACAAACGTCAGCTCCCTCGGCCAGTAAAGCGAGATGAGCGCTGCAACCCCAGAGTCGTTCGCGACTGGACTTAACTGTCAGGGGTCCTTTTCCTTTTCCTTTATATCTTGCCAACACTCCCAAGCAGGTTCATGTTTGTTGTTGTTGTTTAGTCGTTTAGTCGTGTCCGACTCTTCCTAACTCCATGGACCAGAGCACGCCAGGCACTCCTGTCTTCCACTGCCTCCCGCAGTTTGGTCAAACTCATGCTGGTAGCTTCGAGAACACTATCCAACCATCACAGGTATGAAGTTTACGGCATGTAATGCCCTAAGAGAGAATATTATGAAAATGATATACAGGTGGTACATGACCCCAGTCAAGCTTGCAAAAATCTATCACTTGCCCGATAATAAATGCTGGAAATGTAAAGAAACTGAAGGTACATTCTTTCACCTTTGGTGGACGTGCCCAAGGATTAAGGCTTTCTGGGAAATGATATATAATGAACTGAAAAAGGTATTTAAATATACCTTCCCGAAGAAACCAGAGGCCTTTCTTCTGGGCATTGTCGGCCAATTGGTGCCAAAGAAGGACAGAACTTTTTTTATGTATGCTACAACAGCAGCAAGAATACTTATTGCAAACTATTGGAAGACACAAGATCTACCCACTTTGGAAGAATGGCAGATGAAGGTGATGGACTATATGGAATTGGCAGAAATGACTGGCAGAATCCGAGACCAGGGGAAGAGTCGGTGGAAGAAGATTGGAAGAAATTTAAAGACTATTTACAGAAATATTGTAAAATTAATGAATGATAGAATGATGTTGGATAGTAATTAAGCGGTTTCTAGCTGTAATGCTTTAAGAGAATATGAAAAAAAGGGTTATAAATGGGTTAAAATCTAATGGTAAGGATTTGCTAAACCAATAAATCGAAGTGGAATACAAAAAAGGGAGGTACGAGGAGGTCCAGGAAACAAGCTAAAGGAAAATAAGTAACTGAAAATATGTGTGTTTTTAATTGTTTTTATTTTGTATTTTTCTCTTTTCTTTTTCATTTCTATTGTAATATTTTAAAAAAACCTTAATAAATATCTTATAAAAAAAAAGAAAAGAGAACACTATCCAACCATCAATGGTTCATGTTTACATGAGTATAATCTCATCTTCACCCAAGGGACAAGCAAAGATGTCATGTCTGCTTGGGAGAAGGGTGCTAGATTTCTGCAAGACCTTTGAGTGACTTCCAAGTGCAGGTTGCATGGCTAGTGCCCTCTGGGCAGCTTATGTGCTTAGGGGACATCTCTTCAGTGCACAGTCTTCAAATGCAGCCCCACATAACTCCGCCTGTGTGTCAAACAAAGGCAGCATTGTTTAATTTCTTTTTAAAACAGTGCAAACAGCGTTGAATGTTACTGGGCATTGCACGCAAGGCATGCTACTTAGCACTTTCACAGCTGTTGGCTCCTGACAGGCAGAAGCATGTGGTTTCTAAAAATACACACAAGAACACACATTATCTTTCCAGTAGGAGGGTGTAAAGTAAATGTTGTGGCTGTCGCAGGCACAATAATTTTCATTTTGGGGAAAAATAATATTGTGTTATTTCATTGGGCTAATGAAACAAACTGTGATCCTACAGGACCAAACTCTCCCCACCCATCCAAGGACACTTTGAAGCTGTTGTTGTGTCTCCCGCCCCCTTTGCTATGGAAATTTGGTGTTAGTTGGGAGGTGCCGAGGCAGACCATTTATAGGATTGGCCATCTGGAAGCTGGGAAGCCTTTAAAGAGCAGGAGTGATAAGAGATTTGAGTCACTTGGAAGCCCTCGTCTTACGAGCTTGGATGCTTTGATATAACAAGAGGGGGCATGGAGAACGTGGACGTGTTCACCTGTGAAGCCAAAGGCAGGGGGCTGAAGGCAGTGAAGGAATTTTGGGCAGGAGATGTCATTTTTGCAGAAAGAGCCTATGCTGCAGTTGTATTTGACAGGTAAGGAGGACCAAAATAAAATGGAAGTGTGTTCCTGAAAATTTGGACCTCACTGCTGACAGTGAATGGAAGAGGAAGCTGATGTGGAAACAGCTGGCTTTAATTCATCACAGTCTTAGCAGGGGGACTGCTGTGACTCCTTGTCTAATTTACTAATGAGAAGCATTTCAGGAAGAGAGATGCATTTGGCTGTTAGCTAGAAGGTTAGTGGTTCGAGCCCACCCAGGGACAGCTGTGGGCAGGATTCCCGTAAGGGGTTGGACTTGATGACTCTCGAGGTACCTTCCAGCTCTACAATTCTATGATTCTGGTGGCGCTGTGGGTTAAACCACTGAGCCTCTTGGGCTTGCCGATCAGAAGGTTGGCGGTTTGAATCCCCGTGACGGGGTGAACTCCTGTTTCTCGGTCCCTGCTCCTGCCAACCTAGCAGTTCGAAAGCACATCAAAGTGCAAGTAGATAAATAGGTATCACTCTGGCAGGAAGGTAAACGGCGTTTCCGTGCGCTGCTCCGGTTCGCCAGAAGCGGCTTAGTCATGCTGGCCACATGACCCGGAAGCTGTATGCCGGCTCCCTTGGCCAATAAAGCGAGATGAGCGCCGCAACCCCAGAGTCGGCCGCAACTGGACCTAATGGTCAGGGGTCCCTTTATCTTTACGACCCTATAGCCAGAATAGAGCTGGTGCACAGTGGCAGCTCAAAGACTGAGCTGCATCAGAAAGTTCCCAGTTAAATTCTCACCTCTGCTGTGATCTCACTGGGTGGCCTTAGACAGGTCACTCGTTCTCAGCCTCAGTCTCCCCCATCTGTGCCATGGGGATAATAATACTGATCTGCCTTACATGGCTATAGGAATTACTGAGATATGAAGATGCTTTAGCATTCAAAGCATTGCATGGTTGGCAAACATTTATCACCATGGTCACCTGCCACCAGCAGTGTCAAGCATATGAATGACTTGCTTGTACTATTCCTCTGAGGCTACCAGATTGCGTGCTACAGGGATATTTCCGCCCATAGCTGTCAATGTTTCCCCTTTTTTAAGGGAAATTCCCTTATTCCGAATAGGATTCCTCGCAAGAAAAGGGAAAAGTTGACAGCTATGTTTCCGCCTCTCTTTTATTAATACGTTTACTGTACTGAATTTTACAGAGATATGTCTCTCAAGGGGTGGGAGTAGGATTAATCGACCTTTTTATTTATTTTATTTTATTTTATTTAACAAGATTTATATAACAAGAAAACCTCTAAGCTGTTTACAGAAATATAAAACTTTAAAAATCTAAATTAAAAAGTCTAAAACAGGAACTTAAAATCATTCAAAATCAACAGCAGCTACAAAAATTAGAAAACACATGTAACTTCTGCATGTCTGGATAGGCTTTTTTAACCATTTGCCCAAAGACCCCCAATATGCAGTATACCAATGAATATTTCCTAGTTGAGTTCCTACTTTCCCTCTTATTCTCTCTTTTATTCCTTCTTCTCTGCTACTAAGTGGATGCTTAGTGTGATTGTTTTCACATAAATATATTATGTGATCAAGGATTCCCCCAAATTACTGGGAATTAATCAATTATTATTATTATTAATAATTTTTATTAATTTCCAAGGAAAAGGATATAAGCATAACATTGTCAAAACAATTGGTCCCCCCTCTCCCACCCTTCCTCTGGAACAGAAGACGAATGCAGCAAATTTGCACATAAACCTATATGTGTAGTTGGCAGATACCAGTCATTTGAATACTTTATAAAGGGATGCCATGTTCTAGCAAAATCATCCATATCAGTTGCATCATTCGGGGTGTGAACTCTTAGTGCGTTTCTCAGATACTTCCTGTTTCCATGGTGTGATATGAAACGACCAAGTCTTTCCCAATCTTTTGCTATGAGCAACCGTGTCGCTACAAGAAGAAAAATGATAAGTTCCTTGTGCAACAATTTACGTTGAGTATCTTAAAAAATTCTTGATAAACCCAAGCATGGGTTGCATTGTACTTCCTAATTCGCAATTTTGCTTGTTTCCGTAAATACCCTTTTCCAAAATGGTTGACCTATCAATTAACTGAAATGCTTTTTGAATCGAGCAGTTGTGATGTCCCAACTGGCTCCACTGACTCACTCCACCTTGAAACAAGGCACTTGCAAAGGTTTCTATAACTCCCTTCTTCCTGGTGTGAACACTATAACTCCTCTGTGCACTGTTGTCAGGAATGGTGAATTTGTAGTACATGTTCCCCTTAAGTAAAACCCAGCCTCAAGTGTCTTCCTTGAGACATTGATCTCCTGTTGCAGGCCTGTGTTAACAACCTCCCAGGGGGCTGCCTGTAAGTTAGTAAAGGTAAAGGTAAAGGGACCCCTGACCATTAGGTCCAGTCGTGACAGACTCTGGGGTTGCGGTGCTCATCTCGCTTTATTTGCTGAGGGAGCCGGCGTACAGCTTCCGGGTCATGTGGCCAGCATGACTAAGCCGCTTCTGGCAAACCAAAGCAGCGCACGGAAACGCCGTTTACCTTCCCGCCGGAACGGTACCTATTTACCTACTTGCACTTTGACGTGCTTTTGAACTGCTAGGTTGGCAGGAGCAACGGGAGCTCACCCCGTCATGGGGATTCGAACCGCCGACCTTCTGATCGGCAAGCCCTAGGCTCTGTGGTTTAACCCACAGCGCCACCAACCAAGTAAATTACTCTTCCATGTTTGGAGCCTGAAGTCCAGGTGCTAGGCCTCACCATGAACGTCTCCCTCATTCTCTTAAAATGGCAATGGTGCCCACCTGAGAGGTGCCAGAACTAAGTTCCGGTGAGTTCCAGCTGGAAAAAACCCCCCTCCTGAAGTCCATCTTCAAGGTTCAGCAGACAATGCACACCCCCTTTAGTATGCAGTTCAAATTCTTACTTCAATAAATAGGCAAAAGATCTTCCAACTCTCCCTTCCAATTCATCCCTGTTTGAAAAGTAGTAAGAGTTCTTTCTTTGGGTTATGTACTGAAGTTCTCACCCTGGGCCAGCAGGGGGTACTGTAGATAGTTTTTACTCAGGTCCGCTTATGCAAATAAGGAATTGAAAGTGACATTCAGTGATTGGATAGTTACAGAAAGTTGTTACTGTTGCTTTGTAGTTGAGCTCTATATAAGCAGGCTGGCTGAACCCTTCAGTTCAGTTCTGTTCTGGCCTGTGAATAAACAAGAGCTGTTTGAAGAATCGCTGTGTCGTCTGATATGTTCACCCACAACTTAACACGGGGCATAGCCTGGAACAAGGGTAGGCAACCTAAGACCCGTGGGCTGCATGCGGCCTAGTCACCTTCTAAATCCAGCCCACAACTTCTAAATCCATCCCACAACTTAACACTTTGCACACTTCATCTTCTGAATTCTGGGCCCCTTGTAGTACCCAAGTCACAAAATTTGGCAGAGGCACTGTTGTTGTTCACACTGGGGTGTGTGTGTGTGACTTAAAATGCACCCTGCCTGCATTTTGGCTCACACAGGAGAAAGTGGAACACATTCTGCAGACTATTGAGAGCCAGTGTGGTGTAGTGGTTAAGAGCGGTAGACTTGTAATCTGGTGAACCAGGTTCGCTTCCCCGCTCCTCCACATGCAGCTGCTGGGTGACCTTGGGCCAGTCACACTTCTCTGAAGTCTCTCAGCCCCACTCACCTCACAGAGTGTTTGTTGTGGGGGAGGAAGGGAAAGGAGAATGTTAGCCGCTTTGAGACTCCTTTGGGTAGTGATAAGGCAGGATATCAAATCCAAACTCCTCCTCCTATTGAGGGCAACTTTGGGATCAGAGGTTGTGCCCAAGGCTGGGTGAGATTGGAATAAAGCTGGTTGTAAATGAGAGTAAGATATTTCTTGTGAGGTGCGGAAGAGAGTCGTGAATTCTCGAATTGCTATGTGAAACAAGTTGATTGCTAGAAACCGAAAATTGCAGTGTTGCTTGTTTGGTTTTTATCTATGTGCTGCCTTCAACCATTTTGCACTTTTAACAGAACTGAAAAACGGCGGGAAATTGCTGTGCTTTATCTTTATCTTTTTAAGGATCTGGTGTACAAACTTTAAAACACTGAAGTTGGTACAGTTTTAAGACATGCAATGTCTTCCAAGCTCACTTGGGTTTGTTTGTTTTTAATTAACAGTTTTATTGGAGGCTTTCCACATAAATAGGCAAGGCATGAAAGATGTACAGGCCCATTCAACAATGTCTCATTGTGGAATTCTTGATCATTATGTACAGCTGTCTTCTGACAAAAGGGTTTATATGTGTAGAAGCAGGAACTGTTGATGTTACCCTTAAGCTTGTTCCATATCACCATTGCTTGGATAGTAGGTGGTGAACATGCCATTGCTAAATAAAAAGGTAAAGGTAAAGGGACCCCTGACCATTAGATCCAGTCGTGGCCGACTCTGGGGTTGCGACGCTCATCTCACTTTATTGGCCAAGGGAGCTGGCGTACAGCTTCCAGGTCATGTGGCCAGCATGACTGAGCCGCTTCTGGTGAATCAGAGCAGCGCACAGAAACGCCGTTTACCTTCCCGCCAGAGCGGTACCTATTTATCTACTTGCACTTTGACGTGTTTTCGAACTGCTAGGTTGGCAGGAGCAGGGACCAAGCAACAGGAGCTCACCCCGTTGCGGGGATTCGAACCGCCGACCTTCTGATCGGCAAGTCCTAGGCTCTGTGGTTTAACCCACAGCGCCACCCGGTCCCCTGCCATTGCTGACTACTGTATGCACAAACAGATGGTGGTAGTTTCCCCCCTGTGCTGTTGCACAACTTAGAAACCATGGCTGCTCGACTGAAGACTCATCTATACACTTTTGCTTTTTCCATGACTTTCCCCAGAACACAGGACATCCAGAATTGTGCGTGAGCCTTCTTTTGATGAACATTTAATCTGGCTCATTCACCCTGCATGGAAGAAACCAACCATGGCTGGGGATCTGACCATGTGGTCTTGGTCTGCTAGTTTTAATCACATGAGACGATTTTATTGGTCTGGCACATCACTGGGATGAATTCTGGTCTTCATTGTGAAGTGCATACAGCTTTTCTGTTAAGGAACAAACTCCTTAACAGAATTGCTCGCAAGTGTCAAAAAGAAGCCGAGGCTGTCTTGGTGTTTCTGGGTAATAATCCAACACAGATTTAAGAATATTCAATTCTGTACTGAATCAGTGAGTTCCAGTAGCTTCTGAGAACAGAGAAATACATTGCACTGGGCCCAATCCTTGGTGCTTGCAACATATCAGATGCACAACAGCAAAGAAAATCTAGGGCGCAAGAATGTCCAACATGTGAGTTGATTGCAAGGGATAGCCAGCCATGCATTCCCAAATCTTTTCTAATCACAGGGATCTAAAAGTTATTGGTGATATGTCCACATGCCTTAGGACTTCAGTCTCTCCACTGAATGTAGCTGGTAGTCTCCAGAATGCAATGTACTGGAAATCAAGGAGCACATTCTAGAGCTTGGCTCTGTCTCTAATGCGTTGACAGCTTATTCCAGTATCTCACGTTACACTCAAAGCATTCATGTTGGGAGGGAAGCTATGGCAGCTTGTCATAATGTAATGAGCTACTGTCCTGTATCCAATTAAAAGCTTGCATCATTGCTTCGGAGGATTATGATGAAGCAGTTTTTAACGGATGAGATATTGTTTGGTAAAATATAATTGAGGTAAAGGTAAAGGTAAAGGGACCCCTGACCATTAGGTCCAGTCGTGGCCGACTCTGGGGTTGCGGCGCTCATCTCGCTTTATTGGCCGAGGGAGCCGGCGTACAGCTTCCGGGTCATGTGGCCAGCATGACTAAGCCGCTTCTGGTGAACCAGAGCAGCGCACGGAAACGCCGTTTACCTTCCCGCCGGAGCAGTACCTATTTATCTACTTGCACTTTGATGTGCTTTTGAACTGCTAGGTTGGCAGGAGCAGGGACCGAGCAACTGGAGCTCACCCCGTCGCGGGGATTCGAACCGCCGACCTTCTGAGTCCTAGGCTCTGTGGTTTAACCCACAGCGCCACCCACGTTATGAGAAACCATATATAACTATATATGTGCCATATTTAACTATATATATATATATATATGTAAGGTTATGGGAAACCATATATAACTCTGAATATCAATGATCATACCCTTTAACCAAAGCACAACTATTTTGTGTAATGTCAACCCTGATATAGCCAAAGGTTAAGTATGCAGATTGAATAGCTCCACACTTAACAATGCTATCCTGTTTGCTTTTTGTGTGTGAAGATTGGGGCATTTGAGGGTTAGAGTGGTCTGATCTCCCCAGAGTCATGTGTTATGTCTTTGTCCAATTTGAAATGCACCACAAATTTTGAAACAAGGAAGCCTTGCTGCAGAACCTAGCAGTGGGGCATAGGGCGCAATTGTATCTGCATATCTACTCTGTAATAGGGGCAGATGAATGGGTCACTTTGGGTCATAGCTGTCAACCGTCCCTTATTTAGCGGGAAACTCCCTTATCCCAGCGCCGTGTCCCGCTGCTGTCCCTTATTGATGATGTCCCTTAAATTTCCCGGGTTTCATGCTCGCCCGGTTCGGGATCCTCCACCGCGCGAGACAGAGCGCACTGGCGCCGTCGTCCTGGCGCGAGGAGTTCCATCGGCCCATCCCTGCCCGAGGGGGGGGGGAGGGAGAGAGACTCTCGCCCACGCCGCCCACGAGCCTGGAGGCGGCAGCGGTGGTGGCAGCTGAGGAGGCGGCCTGAGGGAGGAGGAAGAGGAGGGGATGGGGAGGGAAGCAGAAGGGCGGCGCTTCAGCGGCCACGGCGGGAACCGTAACCGCCTCATGCCGGATTGACAGCATCTGTCAATCCTACCAATGTATGTAACTCTTTACAATAGCAAAATCCCTTATTTTGGCTGCTGATCCCTTATTTTCGAGGCTGCTGGTCCCTTATTTTCAAATCTGTAAGTTGACAGCTATGCTTTGGGTTTCTATCAGTTTCTCAGTTTTCCAGTTCTTCACATTTCTGAATTACCGGTAGTTGGCCAGTTCTTTTTAATGAGTCCTTGTGGAAATTTGTGAGTATTTCAGTGGCAATTTCTCTTAATGCACACCTTTCTTTGCAAGCAATTTCCCTTAATATAATTCATTTTATAGACTTTCCCCACTAATAAATGCCTTCCAATAACAGACCAATCTTTGGACACTTTATTTGGTTGGAGCACTGCACCACAAAATTCAGAGAAGCATGAATTTCAAAGGATCGCTGTGTTTCGGTTTACATATTGTTTTTCAAATTACAAATTGGGTAGGGTTTGCATTAAGATCCTAACCATATGGAATTCCCCCACCATCCCTACTTGGTAGTAACAACTGGTGCACATCTGGGAAATGAACATTTTAAAAGCTTCGAAAATAAAATGTTAAATGTTAAAAAATAAATGTTCACTAGATGGTGAGGCACTACTCTGTGAGAGGGAAGGTCTTACTGTTTTGTTTTGTTCTCTCCCCTGCCCTCAGTTCTGTAAAAGTCTACATGAACACTCCTGCCAGGAGATGTCATTTCAATATTCTATATATCTTTAACTGGATACCTCAGGTTACAGACGCTTCAGGTTACAGACGCCTCAGGTTACAGACTCCGCTAACCCAGAAATAGTACCTCGGGTTAAGAACTTTGCTTCAGGATGAGAACAGAAATCGTGTGGCGGCAGCGAGAGGCCCCATTAGCTAAAGTGGTGCTTCAGGTTAAGAGCAGTTTCAGGTTAAGAATGGACCTCCAGAACGAATTAAGTTCTTAACCTGAGGTACCCCTGGGATGCACGTGGTGCTGTGGGTTAAACCACAGAGCCTAGGACTTGCCGATCAGAAGGTAGGCGGTTCGAATGCCTGTGACGGTGTGAGCTCCCGTTGTTCGGTCCCAGTTCCTGGCAACCTAGCAGTTCAAAAGCATGTCAAAGTGCAAGTAGATAAATAGGTACCACTCTGGCGGGAAGGTAAACGGCGTTTCCGTGTGCTGCTCTGGTTCGCCAGAAGCGGCTTAGTCATGCTGGCCACATGACCTGGAAGCTGTACGCCGGCTCCCTCAGCCAGTAAAGCAAGATGAGTGCCGCAACCCCAAAGTCGGTCACGACTGGACCTAATGGTCAGGGGTCCCTTTACCTTTACTACTGTAAAACCCTTTTTCTATATTTTGTTGATCTGAAATTATTTGCCAAAGGGGGTTGAAGAGGCATGGATAGAAGCGGAAAGGAGGGGGAAAGTGTAAGTGGGGCCTTCCCAGCTGATCTTGGGGGGCTGGGGGCTGAGTGAAGGCTGCTTGGCATATTCCTCACCTGGGTGGCTACCTGGAAGTTCCACCATCTTGCTGGAGGTCTCCCTTGCTTCGAAGTGGCACCGCAGAGGGATAGTTTCCTGTGTGGGGTCTGAAGTCTGGCACCTATGAAGACTGAAAAATGAGTGAATAATAATAATAATAATAATAATAATAATAATAATAATTTATTATTGTACCCCGCCCATCTGGCTGGGTTTCCCCAGCCACTCTGGGCGGCTTCCAACAAAGATTAAAAATACATTAAAATGTCACACATTAAAAACTTCCCTGAACAGGGCTGCCTTAAGATGTCTTCTGAATGTCAGGTAGTTGTTTATCTCTTTGACATCTGATGGGAGGGTGTTCCACAGGGTGGGTGCCACTACCGAGAAGGCCCTCTGCCTGGTTCCCTGTAGCTTTGCTTCTCGCAATGAGGGAACTGCTAGAAGGCCCTCGGTGCTGGACCTCAGTGTCCGGGCAGAATGATGGGGGTGGAGACGCTTCTTCAGGTATACTGTGGTATACTGTGGCTGTGGGTCCCAGGAGTCAAGTTGTTGTTACTGGCATCCATCTGTCTTGAGAGACAATGGAGTGGGCCACCAGGGGAGAAGTCAAACCTTAGAGACTTACTTCTCTGTGGCACAAGCCTGGGCAGCGTGGATGGAGGTCCTGAGCTGCTCCGACGACAGGACCCCTCCTCTCAGCCTCGCTGATGTGGTCCAAAGGAAAGCAGAGCAAAACGTTTGGCCCCAGTTTAGCTGCATGAGTTGCTGGAAGGAGGCGTACAAGGCTCCCTCAGGTTTCCATGCCCTGACAGGTTCTGCTGCCAAGTCAGAACTCAAGCAGAGTGTGATGGCCTGCGATACGGACTCAGAGGTTGAACCTGAGGAATCCCAGCCTGCACAGGAGTCCCCGCCTCCAGAACCAGCTGAGCCAGGGCTGGGGCCTGAGCCTGAAGGGTCCTCACCTGTGCTGGATCCTCAGGTGCAGGCACCAGCTGAGTCTGCTCTGGCTCCTGAGGTGATGGAGGACCCATTGCCTGCAGGTGCTCCACTCTCAGCCCTGTCAGGTGAGGAGGAGGTTGCCTCTGGGTCCGGTAACCCTCCAGCCTCTCTTGAGCTGCAGAGGCTCAGGGCAGAGGGAACTAAGTTCCCGCAGGAGGAGTGCTCGCCTCCAGGCCAGGAGAGGCGAGTCACCTGTGAACCGGGGCCGCCCTATGCCTCGGGGCAGATAAAAGCCGGCCAGCCCCAGTCCCAGGTTGTGGGAGCAACATTGTTGGTAACCTGTTCCTGCCAGCACCCTGTCCTGCTGTGGCTCCTGCCTTGCCTTGCCGCTTCTGCCTTGCCTTGACGGACAGCCTACACACCACACCCTTGACCCCGGACTGGACACAGACCTCGCCGCACGGTAACCCCTCCGGGACCAGCACACAGAGACAGGTAGACTCAGAAAAAGCTTCTTTAAGAAACACACACAAAAAACGGACATAAATTTATTGCAGATAAGTTGAGCAACCCACACAACGTTCCATTTCCCCCTGTAGGATTAAACCAGGCAAGGGTTAGAGGGGGAACCAGACTGTTCCATTAATACAGTTTCCCCTTAAGATACGTTCAGTAGACACACTGCCTTCCACAGAACTCAAGAAACTCGGCCACGGTGAAGTGATGCAAACCCTGTACCTCAGGGTAGCTAATGTTGTGTTTACTTTTGGTGTGGTGGTGACAAGATGTCCTGCTCTTGGCCTCAGGTGATCTGGGGAACTCTGCTGTGACAAGTAGCTCCCACTCACAAATGCGCTAAAAGACTAGAGTCACATCAACAGGGATGCAAAGGGTCGCTGGGCCATTCCTCAAAGGACAGAGGAGGGCTATTAATAAAGTTGTAGGGCAGGGGTGAGACGTGACTGACCCACAGCTCCTTGTCAGGAAACGGATGCTCTGCGGACGCAACCCTGTATCTGTGTGATGGTTGCGTCTAAAACTCTGCCACAGCGAATGCTTTTAGAATACACCTGAAGGCATCCCTGTTTAGGGAAGCTTTTAATGTTTGATGCATTACTATATTTTAATATTTTGTTGGAAGCTGCCCACAGTGGCTGGGGAAGCCCAGCCAGATGGGCGGGGTATAAATAATAAATTATTACAGTGGTACCTCGGGTTAAGTACTTAATTCGTTCCGGAGGTCCGTTCTTAACTTAAAACTGTTCTTAACCTGAAGCACCACTTTAGCTAATGGGGCCTCCTGCTGCCGCCACTCCGCCAGAGCACGATTTATGTTCTCATCCTGAAGCAAAGTTCTTAACCTGAAACACTATTTCTGGGTTAGCGGAGTCTGTAACCTGAAGCGTATGTAACCTGAAGCGTATGTAACCCGAGGTACCACTGTATTATTATTATTATTATTATTATTATTATTATTAAGCGAAGCACCCACGCTACACTAGCACTGCATTTATGATGAAGGAAGAATCCTCTTTCAAACCCTCTCCTTTCCCCTTCGTCTTCCCAATTTTCTTATTTTCCCTCACAGTCCCCAGCACACCCTGTTCCCTGTGACTGGAACTTGCCCTTATCAAAGATGGCAGCATGCCAGGCAGTTGTCCATCCTTGACCCCCCTTCACGTGTTGCTCATAAGAAAAGGGGGGGGGCACCACACGAATACTAACATAACACCGGTCTTGAAAGACCTACATTGGCTCCCAGTACGTTTCCGAGTACAAGTCAAAGTGTTTGTGCTGACCTTTAAAGCCCTAAATGGCCTCGGCCCAGTATATCTGAAGGAGCATCTCCACCCCCATCGTTCTACCCGGACACTGACGTCCAGCTACGAGGTCCTTCTGGCGGTTCCCTCACTGCGAGAAGCCAAGCTACAGGGAACCAGGCAGAGGGCCTTCTCGGTGGTGGCACCCGCCCTGTGGAACGCCCTCCCACCAGATGTCAAAGAGAACAACAACTACTAGACTTTTAGCAGACATCTGAAGGCAGCCCTGTTTAGGGAAGCTTTTAATGTTTGATGCATTACTGTATTTTAATATTTTGTTGGAAGATGCCCAGAGTGGCTGGGGAAGCCCAGCCAGATGGGCGGGGTATAAATAATAAATAATAATAATAATTATTATTATTATTATTATTATTATTATTATTATTATTATTATTAGGATGGGCATGTAGCCATTATCTCTGGGATGAGAAGCATAACCTCATGCATTAGCATAGTTGTCTGCAAAGCAAAAAACCTACATGTGAATAGCTGCTTGCCCATAGGTTTCCATGCAGCCTGCCAGGGCCGGCTCACCCACGAGGCAACATGAGGTGACTTCTTCAGGTGGCAGGAGCAACCGGGGCAGCAGATCCTGGTGTAGATCTTTATCCCCCCGTGTTCTTGATGTTCTTTCCTGGTGGGGAGTTGGACACTATTTTGTGGTTCACCTCAGGTTTCTTTTCCTGATTTAGGTTCTGTTCCAGCCTTTTGCTCGACTATGGAACCAGCAGAAAATAAGCTACAGAACTGATGAGAGATGATAGTTAATGATATTTTAATACAGGTCTTTGAAATGAAGATGTCGCACCTTTGCTCTCAGAAGTCACTGAAACCTTGTTTGTTAGGCAGGCTCCACTACCTTGCGTGCTGACAAGGTCGACAGATTTATATGGTCTATTTTTTTCTCCCTGGCAAGCTGTCGCAGCCAAGACTTGGAGAAGGGCAAGTGCAGTCGCCGTGGGTTTCGTTTCAGGGACTTGAGAAGTTCATGTCCAGTGAACTTTCTGAGGAGGGGAGCTTCTGCATCCTCTGAGTCAGATGACATAGGGAAGCTGTAGCCCTCCCAGGGTTGTAGGACTTCAGCTTCTATGTCTGTGGCTCTTGTGATGGAATCCAACAACATGTGGAGAACTGCAGATTCCTCCTCTCTAGAGACGAAACACTTGCAGGAATGGTCATCTTCAGCATACCTGCCTTATGTGATAGAGCTCTGGCCCAGCTTCCCATCCATGCACCAATCCATCTATCCATCTGTCCATCTGTCCATCTGTCCATCTGTCCATCTATCCAACACACGGAGGCACAGAACATGCCCATGCCCACCAGGCCTGCCACAGCATCACATATCCCAAATGCCTGCACATTGAGCGCCAATGTTGAAATATATTTGCGAACCGCTGCATATGAATGGGCTCTCCACTCAGTCAGGAACCTTGTGCAGTCAATGCTTTCAAAAGCTGTATCTTTACAAAGTCCACCTTGCAGCCACCCCCCTTTGATCAAGGCTAGCCCTCTTATGGTGGTGCGGGTGGCGCTGTGGGTTAAACCACAGAGCCTAGGTTGGCGGTTCGAATCCCGACGGGGTGAGCTCCCGTTTCTCGGTCCCTGCTCCTGCCAATCTAGTAGTTTGAAAGCACGCCCAAAAGTGCAAGCAGATAAATAGGTACCACTCCAGTGGGAAGGTAAACGGCGTTTCCATGAGCTGCTCTGGTTCACCAGAAGCGGCTTAGTCATGCTGGCCACGTGACCCGGAAGCTGTACGCCAGCTCCCTCGGCCAATAAAGCGAGATGAGCGCCGCAACCCCAGAGTCATCCGCAACTGGACCTAATGGTCAGGGGTCCCTTTACCTTTACCTTTACATAACATAAATGTTCTGTGGGGAGGTTACACTCAAAGTCATTTTGCAGTGCCAAATTGATTATCTCTGAGCAGAGATGGAAGGATCGGTTGGATATTCTCGGTTTCTCGTACAGTTCTTCATGTCCCTGCAGCAATCTGCAAATTCTCTTTTTAAAAATCCCCACGGAAATTTGGTTTGGGGTGGGAACTGCTTTTGGGAATGAGGGTTGGTACAGGAGATAACGTTTGTCATTTGTCCAAGCTGATGGGCTCAGAAAAATGACCTAGGTTCTTCAAAGATTTAAGAGCTCATGTAATTTTCTACTTAACCTAAGGTGAGCTTAGGGGAGCTCATCCACCATTACTCTTCTCCAAAAGTAAACTATTTTGTGATTAAACATTTTTGATGCTCTGCACTGAGGAAGGCAGGAAGAAGTTTCAAAACCACTGGGTGAAATGTTGCAGAAGTGCACCCTCTACTTCTGCAGCTGCCTTGCTGCCTATCTAGTAGGTTTTATTACCGGTATGTATGCCGGTGCTTTTATCTTATGCTGGTCTGTGACCGTATTAAAGATTTGGATTGGACTGGAAGTGCTTATGTATCTCAGTCGAGGGCTGACTTACATGGCCTGCAATGCACTTGCAACAACATGGTAATGTGATATATAGTATCTCGGACAAGTGAAGTAGTGATCTAATAATTCCTTGCATTAATCCTAGCAACAATGCAGTGAGTCGTGTGACTTATTTTCAGGGAGATGTGAAACAGAAGTGCAGTCATGCAGCTCATTTCTATGTATGTTTGCTCACAAGTAAGTCCTAAGGAGTAAAATGGGATGCAAGTGTCCCTCCTGCATTACAACTTGTGTTTATCATAGCCTCCTCTAAGACGGTTTATTTCTTCGGGCAGCAGTTGCAGTTGTTTTTATCCCAAGCCTTTGTCTCCTTGCTGCCATATATGGAGACAAGCTCTGCTGCCCCTTTTCACCCTACTGACTTGGCAGCTGATGGAAACCAGAACTTCTTGAAGTGGCCGAATCTCAGTTTCTTGTTTACCCAGTCCAAAGTTCACTTTCTCACCGTTTCACATCAGTCTGACTTTTTTGAGAGTCCTCTTGAAAATTCACCCGCATTTTTAGTTCCCATTTCGTTTGCAATTTTGCCAAATACACACATAAGGTAAAGGTAAAGGGACCCCTGACCATTAGGTCCAGTCGTGACCGACTCTGGGGTTGTGGCGCTCATCTCGCTTTATTGGCTGAGGGAGCCGGCGTACAGCTTCCAGGTCATGTGGCCAGCATGACTAAGCCGCTTCTGGCGAACCAGAGCAGCGCACGGAAACGCCGTTTACCTTGCCACCAGAGCAATACCTATTTATCTACTTGCACTTTGACGTGCTTTTGAACTGCTAGGTTGGCGGGAGCAGGGACCGAGCAACGGGAGCTCACCCCGTTGCGGGGATTTGAACCGCTGACCTTCTGATCAGCAAGTCCTAGGCTCTGTGGTTTAACCCACAGCGCCACCCACATCCCTTAAATACACACATGCTTGCAAGCAATTTCCCAGAACACAATGCATCATTGTATGTTATTTTTTACTTTAGTATGCCTTTTGATAACTACATCACAGCATTTGGAGAAGTGCTGGAAAACAGAGGGGTGGACTTGGTTAGGGGGCAGAACAGAACAAGATAAACTTATTATTTATTTACCCTTTCTAATACACTGGAACTTCAGTTTTTGAATGTAATCCATTCTGGAAGACTGATCAACTTCCGAAATGTTCAAAAAATGAGGATCAATGGGCGGTCGGCAAAATCCATTGAAAAATTGAAAAACATGCAGTGCAAGCCTTTGACTTCTGAGGCACTTTCGAAAACAGAAGCAATTATTTCCAGGTTTTCTGCATTTGGGCTCCAAATCGTTTGGCTTCTGAGATTTACGATAATTTTTATTGTCATTGTCCCATACAGAACAACAAAATTGAAAAAATCTACATCAGACATTAAAAAACCAAGAAGCCTGCTATCCCAGCCTGGTTAACCCCCTAAAAACTCCGACACCCCATAATTAAATACAATATACTCCCACAGAGACTACCTTACACTGCGTTTAAAACCAAAATCACATTTGGATAAAAACTGTTTCTCAGGCGGCTAGTCCTAGTCTTTACAACCCTGTACCTTCTTCCAGAAGGCAGAAGCTGAAAGAGATCATTTCTGGGGTGCGCACTATCCTGCACTATCTCTGCAGCTTTCTTGTGACACCTGGAAGCATAGATTTGATCCAGAGTGGGAAGAGTGCACCCAATTATTCCCTCCGCAGTCTTTACAACCCTGGACAGCATTGTTTTTTTCCCTGACTGTGCAACTCCCAAACCACACACACAGACCATAAGTTAATACACTCTCAACAGTACAATGGTAAAATGGCATCAAGAGGTCCTTTGAGACCTTTGAGATGCTCAAAAACCGAGGTTTCACTGCATGTCTTTTCCTGTTTTGACCTACATATCTCCTTCCCCAATTCTTTAAGCATGCTGGAGCAACTCCAGAAAGTTGTCTGTTAAGTCTGATTATGAAGATAGTTTTGCCTGTTTGTACAACATGAAGCGTAAGGGACACGGGTGGCGCTGTGGGTAAAACCTCAGTGCCTAGGACTTGCTGATCGTAAGGTCGGCGGTTCGAATCCCCGCGGCGGGGTGAGCTCCTGTCGTTTGGTCCCAGTTCCTGCCCACCTAGCAGTTCGAAAGCACCCTTAAGTGCAAGTAGGTAAATAGGTACCACTTTATAGTGGGAAGGTAAACGGCGTTTCCGTGCGCTGCGCTGGTGCTGGCTCACCAGTTGCAGCTTCGTCACGTTGGCCACGTGACCCGGAAGTGTCTTCGGACAGCGACGGCTCCCGGCCTCTTGAGCGAGATGAGCGCGCAACCCTAGAGTCGGACACGACTGGCCCGTACGGGCAGGGGTACCTTTACCTTTACCTTTACAACATGAAGCAGCTGTGTGAAGTTGTGGCTTGCATACAGAATTTGAACACACTGCTACTGAAGAATGGAGCCTCTCAGAATGTGGCCTGACGAAAGGAGCCCTTGACGGAAGCATCCCAAACACCTCACCACAAGACAAGGTCAAAATGTAATTTGGGAGGAAAACAACAGAAGTGCCCAAGCAAACACACACAGAGCAGGGAGTGCCAGCAGTGACTGGAAGGATGTTTGGTTCTTTTAAAAGTGCAACCACAGGGAAGTGTGTGGCAGTAACAAGAGTCTATTGTAGTTTATTCCCCTTGGGTTTTTCATGTTCCCATCCAAACGGAAAGCTACACTATAGCTGTAGGTTATGAGAAAGCTAGAGCAATAATTCGCCAACGAATTTGGGATGTGGAACTGCAGTGCCACTTGAGCGAGATGAATAAACACCTAGCAATAAAAGATAATGGGAGAGGATTTACCCCAGCAAATTATTTGTCAAAATTACAAATACAGTGGTACCTCGGGTTAAGTACTTAATTCATTCCGGAGGTCCGTTCTTAACCTGAAACTGTTCTTAACCTGAAGCACCACTTTAGCTAATGGGGCCTCCTTGCTGCCGCCGGGCCGCCGGAGCACGATTTCTGTTCTTATCCTGAAGCAAAGTTCTTAACCCGAGGTACTATTTCTGGGTTAGCGGAGTCTGTAACCTGAAGCGTATGTAACCTGAAGCGTATGTAACCTGAGGTACCACTGTACCCAAATACAGACGGTCATTTACCCTCACTGCCATCTGCCTTATTGCAGGGCAGATTCGAGGGTAAACCATACGTTGAACGAGTCTGCCCCTGCGGCTATATCTGTATTGTCTCTTGTTACACCCAATTGCAATTCAATGTATTCCTGTTGTGTTTTATGATTTTCCTGATATTGTAAGTGAGTCTGTGACCGTAATAATAAAATTCATTCATGTTACCATTAAGTTCTGTAGGGCAAAAGCCTCGCTTCTTGACACTGGGCCTCATCCTGAATTCTTTCCTCATCCACAGCAGTTATTAACCGACACCAGAAGCTCTGTCCATTTCAGCTTCCAAGTCCCTGCCCTGTGATCTATTAAAACATGCATCTTTAAAACCCACATTGCTCTCTTGTCTGAAGCCCAAATTATGCTTGGCACAGGGCCAGTTTAAGCTGGCCAGTATGTGCACACTGAGTGGTATTTCTGAAGACCAGCAATGCCCACAGAGGTTTTATCACTGTTCCAACTTCTCTGCTGTCTGGTAGGTTCCCTATTTCTCTCAAGCCAAGGAACCATTTCATCATCTCTTAAAAAGTGTTTATAAGTTAACGCTTTAAAACTCAAATGCCCACATTTCCACGTGCAAACCGTGATCTATAATGGAATCTGAAAGGCAGAGAGAGGCTGGTTTGCAGCTGTTGTGTCACCTTTGACTAAATGTCCCCTACATTTGAAATGGAATTTATGGAGACAGCTGGTTCTTGTGCAAAGAGCAGCTGCAGCCAAACCGTTTGCCATGGCCTGAGAGGTGACAAAGGTGTTCTACAAACCGTTAAACAAGCACCAAGTTTACAGACACAGAAGTGCAGCTCATTATTCCATATACAGTGGTACCTCTGGTTACGAACTTAATTCATTCTGGAGGTCCGTTCTTAACCTGAAACCATTCTTAACCTGAAGCTCCACTTTAGCTAATGGGGCCTCCCGCTGCCGCCGTGCGATTTCTGTTCTCATCCTGATGTAATTTCTTAACCCGAGGTACTACTTCCGGGTTAGCGGAGTCTGTAACCCGAAGTGTTTGTAACCCGAGGTACCACTGTAATACTCAACTCTCTGTATGTATAACTCCCAGTTGATCCAATTCCATCACCCGGTAGGAGTATGACAGATTTGAGCAAGACATTTATGTTTTGTTTTGTTTTTTATGAATTTTATTAGTATTTTCCACACAACAACAACACGAAAAATATTGAAAAATAACAATACACAACACACAAAACCCAACATTCGATAAACTAAAAAAGCAACAACAACTAAAAAAAAAAACAAATCCATATATTACTTATTAATAATAAATACAGTGGTGCCTCGCAAGACGAAATTAATTCATTCCGCGAGTTTTTTCGTCTAGCGAATTTTTTGTCTTGCGAAGCATGGTGTCGGGAAAGTTTTGGAAAAGCTTCAAAAATCACCAAAGTCTTCAAAAACCTCAAAAAAGGCTACCACACCGCGTTCTATGAGTTGCTCCTCGAAGTCAAGTTGCAACTGTATTAATGGTGTTAAGAAAAAGGAAACAAACTTGCAAGACGTTTTCGTCTTGCGAAGCAAGCCCATAGGGAAATTCGTCTTGCGAAGCAGCTCAAAACACGCAAAACCCTTTCGTCTAGCGAGTTTTTCGTCTTGCGAGGCATTCGTCTTGCGGGGCACCACTGTACTAAAAAAAAAAAAACATTGACTTCCACCAATCCCACAGCACCTCCTTTATGTCTCATTGTGTCTTCCTGTTTTCCTTATCATCTCTATCCTAACATCTAGATATAAATCCCTCTTTCTTATCCTTTCACTTCACAAGGTTATTCCAGACTCAGCCAGATTTCTGTCCTCACACCTTGACTTTTGAGGTATTCATTTAGGCACTCCCATTCTTTTTTTACTTCACGTTTTGGTTTTTGTCTTATTATGTCTGTCAGTTTGGCTAATTCTAAGTATTCTGAAAGCTTACACAACCACTCCCCCCTAGTGGGTAACTGATTCCCTTTCCAATACTTAGCCACCCGGATTCTTGCTGCAGACGTTGCGTATAAGAAAAATTTAGTTTTGTCTTTTGGAATATCTTCATTTAAAATTGCTAAAAGCAATGTCTCTGGCCTTTTACTACACGATATTCTTAATATTTTCTTTTATTTTTTCATGGTTGAGCAAGACGTTTGTAACGTAAAGTGTCTGCCTGCCTGCCTGTGTGAATAGCAGTACATCACAACTGCATTACATCTTAGCCTGCCCCAGAGATCATTTGGGAAGTCCAAGCAAACAACTTTGGCAGCCTAGGGGCCAAACCCCCAACACAGTTTCGTTTGGCTCCTCGTGATCCTATAGCCAATGAAATGATTGTCCACAGATTCACCGGTACGGAATATGTGTGTAGAGGTGGGAGGGAGTGTGGATGGGGAGCCCCTTCTTCCAATAGTTCCACTTTCTGCTTGTGATATAATAATAATAATAATAATAATAATAATAATAATAATAATAATATCTTTATTGTCATTGCCCCCTTCGGGGACAACGAAATTACTTGACTGCTCCATAAAAACACTAATTAATTAATACAGTATAATACAGCAAGGGAGATTAGATGACTTTCAAAGTCCAGGCTTCCCATTCCCATTCAGGGCCGAGATCACTCTGGAGAAGAAGCTGTTCTTAAGACGGCTCGTTCTTGTCTTCATCGTCCTGTATCTCCGTCCCGACGGCAAGAGCTCGAAGAGACAGTGACCAGGATGCGATGGATCTTTTACTATGTCCAGTGCCTTCCTATGGCACCTAGTGGCATAAATCTGCTCTAAGGTAGAGAGTGGGCAGCCAACAATGCTCTCTGCTGCCTTAACAACCCTGCACAACCCCTTCCTGTCCTGGGTAGTACAGCTTCCGTACCACACACATAAGCCATAAGTGAGCACGCTCTCAATGGCACAGTGATAGAAGGCAAGCAGCAGTTTCTGCGGAAGATGGTTTTTCCTTAGTATTCTCCAAAAGTACAGTCTCTGCTGTGCCTTCTTCACAAGCCCCTTGTGTTGACACTCCAGGACAGATCCTCTTGTAACTCAATGCCCAAAAATCTGAACGTTGTTACCCTCTCCACACAGACCCCATCAATCAAAAGTGGCTGGACGTTGCTCTTCTGTCTCCTGAAGTCCACCACAAGCTCCTTTGTCTTCCTTGTATTTATGAGCAAGTTGTTAGCTCTGCACCACTCTGTCAGCCGCTCCACCTCATCTCTATAATCCGTTTCACCCTCCCTTTCAGGGATGAGCCCAATCACGGTTGTGTCATCTGCAAATTTGACAACCCTATTACTAGGGTGAGTAGCGACACAATCGTACGTGTAGAGAATATAACTCATGAATATATCTCATGAATACTTTGCTCCTTTATAAACTGCGCTTTATAAATGCATGGTGCAATGTTATGAGCAGTGGTGCACAGATACCTAGTATTGCATAAACAGTATAAACCATGGAGTGCTGAGACTGGATCATGAATAATGTGCTGCTGCCACTGTTGGCTGGTATATTGTGTTCCGTATAAGTTGAGGTGTGTTTGGGAGTGGAGGATGGTTGCGGATTAACATACAGTGGTACCTTGGTTCTCAAATGCCTTGGTTCCCAAACGCCAAAATCCCAGAAGTAGGTGTTCCGGTTTGCGAACATTTTTCAGAAGCCAAACATCTGATGCGGCTGTCGGCTATTGTTCCCGGGGCACCTGCACCAATCAAAAGCTGCGCCTTGGTTTTCAAACAATTCGGAAGTCAAATGGACTTCCGGAATGGATTAAGTTTGGTGCTTTTGTTTTTGCTATTTATTTTGCGTTTTTGTTTTTGAAGTTGTTTCGGTTTATTTGTTTTTGTTGACTGTGTGGAACCCAGTTCAGTTATTGATTGATTGATTAATTTGATTGTGTGACTGTGGAAATGGATAAAAGCCTCCCATCCAAACAATGACTATCATCAGTGGAGGTAAGAAAAAATAATAATTTTAATTTTTACCATCTATAAATACTGTCTTATTTATTTTATCGTACAGTACATTGATTATTGCTTTCATTTTATGGATCAATGGTCTCATTAGATAGTACAACTCATGTTAAATTGCTGTTTTAGGGGTTGTTTTTAAAAGTCTGGAACGGATTAATCCGTTTTCCATTACTTTCAATGGGAAAGCGTGCCTTGGTTTTGGAACGCTTTGGTTTTGGAATGGACTGCCAGCACAGATTAAGTTTGAGAACCAAGGCAAGGTACCACTGTACTAAAATGTCTTGGGCAAAGCCTGCCCAAGGCTAATGTTTCTTCTGTTCTGTTTCAGAAGGTTCGCTGGTCAGATTTTTACAAAGCAGGATGTACAATGCAATCCATGCCTGCATTTATTAACAATCTTTAAAGATACTCAATTGAAATTATTGCACAGGGAACTTATTGCTTTTCTTCTTGTAGCAGCAACAAAGCAAAAAATGGCGAAAGATTGGATCGTCTACTATATCACACAACAGTATGGACAATTGCTTTGTCTGAGAAACTAGCTCCTGCCCTGAACGATGCAGCTGATATGAATGATTTTGCTAGAACATTGCATCCCTTTATAAAGTATTCAAATGAGCACCCTGATGGCTGGCACCCACCAACTATGTATATAGATTTATGGGGAAAGTTGTTGTATACAGTATATGGGAAAATTTGCTGTTTAAGAGGGGGGAAACCAGTTGTTTAGATAATGTTATGCTTATATCCTGTTATAAAATTGAAAAGGTAAGATTGGGAGGGTATTGTGGTATTTTACCAGTAAGAGACAAATTGCACTCCCACCCACCCTAATGGCTACAAATGAGTCTGCTTCCTTATTTATTTATTTATTTATTCATTCATTCATTCATTTCATTTCATTCATTCATTTCATTTCATTATTTCATTTCATTTCTATACCGCGTTATATTTTTAAGAAAAATCACAAAGCAGTTTGCAGAATATTAAAACATCAATCAAACAATATGAAGAAAGTCAAATATAGAGTATACAGTCAAAGCAACATAATTAACAGAAAACTAAAACGTTATCTTAAAGATTTCAAAACAAAACATTACAAAGGAGGTCAGCTCCAGAATACACATTTAACACTGTGACGTTAACATATATGAGAGAGTGCTGGAGGGGAAATTGTTAAATAGGTTGCTCAGACAGGACCCAGGGGGTGGAGTCAGTGGGTGTATAAAACTAGTTCTGGGAGGAGTTTGTTGGGAGTTGTTAGTGGGCAGTTGGTTGGTTTTAGTGGGTTGGCTGGTTGGGAAAGGCAGCTGGAGAAGCAGTTGGTAATAGAGAGACAGTTAGGGCAGTGGGTTCTTGAGTGTGGGGAGGTAGAAGAGATAGAGAGAGGAAAATAAGACTAAGAAAGTAAAGAGCAACAACTTTTGGAATGCTGTAAAAGTTTTGTTTGTGTCTGAAATAAAATACACTCTTCTTTATTAATTGAAAAGCTGACTGAGACTGAAGTGATTTTACCAGGGAGGACCTGGTTGGTGGCAGCGGATTAGTGATGTATGGGTCAATAGTCCGTGAGACGACCGGGGGCTCCATACGAACGCCACAAACACAAACCAAGTTAACAACAACAACAAAACTTACACATTTTTTAGACACCATTAAGTGAAGTCAAATATAAAATGCACATTGAAAACAGCATAATTAACAAGAGAATAACATATTATCATAATCATGGCAGGGCTGCTTGGCAGGCAACCAAAAGGTGGGGCAAAAGAATCCAGTAGTTGGGGTTTGTTGTCAGGCATAGAGATGTCCCTCTGGTCTCACCAGGAACCTCTCTTCCAGCCTCACGCACCTGGTCTGCCACACCTGCTTTAAGCGCCACGAGAAGCTCCAGCGCTGCGGTCAGTGCAAGTTTGCCCATTACTGTGACCGAACCTGCCAGAAGGATGCCTGGGCGAACCACAAGAACGAGTGCTCTGCCATCAAGAGGCATGGGAAAGCGCCCAACGAAAACATCAGGTGCGTGAATAGGCTGGTCGCCAACGAATGTGTGTAATTAATTGCTCGAGGGCTATTAATAATAATAATAATAATTTTTATTTATACCCCGCCCTCCCCAGCCAAGGCCGGGCTCAGGGCGGCTAACAAGCAATAATAAAAACAAGTTGAACGAATACAACTTAAAAACAAGATTAAAAGACAACATTAAAACATTGAAACATTAAAATGCAACCTCATCACAGGGGAGAAAGGAAAAAGAAAGAGGGGGAGGGAATCAAACTGGCTCTAAGCCAAAGGCCAGGCGGAACAACTCTGTCTTACAGGCCCTGCGGAAAGAAATCAGATCCCACAGGGCCCTGGTCTCATGAGACAGAGTGTTCCACCAGGCCGGAGCCAGTGTTGAAAAGGCCCTGGCTCTGGTTGAAGCCAATCTAACTTCCTAAGGGCCCGGGACCTCTAGGGTGTTGCTATTTATGGACCTTGAGGCTCTTCGTGGGGCATACTGGGAGAGGCGGTCCCGTAGGTCCGAGGGTCCTAGGCTGTGAAGGGCTTTAAAGGTCAAAAGCAGCACCTTAAATCTGACCCTGTCCTCCATCGGGAGCCAGTGCAGCTGGAAAAGCACTGGGTGAATATGCTCCCATGGCAGAGACCCCGTGAGGAGCCTCGCTGCAGCATTCTGCACCCGCTGGAGTTTCTGGGACAGCTTCAAGGGCAGCCCCACGTAGAGCGAATTACAGTAGTCAAGCCTGGAGGTGACCGTCACATGGATCACTGTGGCCAGGTCAGGGTGGGAAAGGTAAGGGACCAACTGCTTGATGCGGCGAAAGTGGAAAAATGTCGCCTTGGCTGTTGCTGTAACCTGTGCCTCCATGGAAAGGGAGGCGTCAAGGATTACACCCAAACTCTTAACGGAAGGCAATGGCACTAATTGGGCCCCTGCAAGAGAAGGGAGTTGGTCCCTCATCCCCATGCCATCCCGACCCAGCCATAGGACCTCTGTCTTCGAAGGATTTAATTTCAATTGGCTCCCACGAAACCATCCAGCCACAGCTTCCAAGCATCTGGTCAGTGTGTTCGGGGCCGAGTCGGTGTGGCCATCCATCAGCAGATAGAGCTGAGTGTCATCAGCATATTGGTGGCAGCCCAGCCCAAAGCTCCGGATAATCTGGGCAAGGGAGCGCATAAAGATGTTAAAAAGCATCGGGGAGAGAATTGTGCCCTGCGGCACTCCACACACCAAGGAATGGTGCGACGACATTTCCCTCCCTAGTGCCACCCTCTGTCCCCGACCAGAGATAAAAGAGCACAGCCAGTTACGGGCTATGCCCTGTATCCCCACATCTGCGAGGCAGTAACATTATCCTCACCCATGGATTTGTGCTCACGCAGGTTTAGCCATGGACAAACAGAAGAGAAACACAATGGGGCACAATCTTGTCCAAACCTTACCTGTACAATGCTGCCAATCATTGTAGACCAGGGGTCGGCAATGTGAGGCCCATGGGCCGGATGCGGCCCACGAAGACCGTTTTACCAGCCTACAAGCTGCCCCCAAACTGAGCCGCCTGCTCGGCAAGTCCCCTGTGCACTGCGACCAGCACAGCATGGCCCGGAGACTCATCAAGTGGCGCCGGAAATGGTGTCTGCACATGTGCAGATACCAGAAATCACGTCTGCACATGTCCAGATGACAAAAATCGCTTCTGCGCAGGCGCAGTTTTCGGCACCTGGGCATGCGCAGAAGCGATTTCCGGTGCCACGGACATGCGCAGATGCAATTTCTAGCATTGCACTGCGCCAGTCCAGCCCACGGACGATCTCTGTGGGAGTGATCCAGCCCATGGCCGGTAAACCTTGCAGACCCCTGTAGACAGCATTAGGCCAGCTGGACCAATCAGCTGGACTGATTCATTATGAGATGACTTCCTATGTCCCTATAACCACCCCATGGATTTCCAACTTGGAAATCCCTATGGGTGCATCTACTTCTTTCCCCAAAACTCATAACCTTCTGGAAATACTACTAGACTTCTAACCACAAGGCTTCTCCTTGAAAGATCTCCATCTGGGCCACAAGGACTGAAATGAAGCATTTAACAAGTCTTCTGCTCCTTGTGCTCTGTCCAGGGTCCTGAAAAATCTGTCTAGGCTGCTTGGCGTCTTGTTCTTCCTACCCAACCCATGAGCGTGGTCTCTCCACAACATGCAATGAGTATTGGTGACAGTAGGACAGTAGGATCAGTATTAAGAACTGTCACTTGTTAAACAGCTTTTCAAACATCTGCAGGGGACCCAGATGTTTTCAGGGGTAGATCTGGTATAGTCCCACAACCTGATGAGAACGAACAGAGATCTGTGTTCTGCATGTGATGTGGCAATTTTTTAAAATATTTCACGATGCTGTTTATTTTTATTTCTTTATTTAGAAGAATTTATAAACCGCTTACGGAAGGGGGGTTATTGGTTTGTTTTCCCTTTCCCTTTTGTTTTATTATGCATTTTGTGTTTCCATTTTGTGTTTTTATGTTGTGAACTGCCCTGTGATCTTCAGTTGAAGGGCAGGATACAAATTTAATAAATAAATAAATAAACAGTAAGCAGTGTACACAAAAACATGATCATGGTGCACTGACTCTGGAACACCTTCTCAAGGCAAGCCTGCCTGGTTCCAAGGCTGCTGTATTTTGGGCACCAGTTGAAGACTTTTAAAAATTAGCTCAATTATTCTAAATATTGCCATTATTCATATTTAAATATTGCTTAACGGCTGCTGCTCTATTATGTTTTATATAATATATTATATTATTATTCTATATATATTATATTATATTATATTATATTATATTATATTATATTAATTATATAACTTATTTATAAGCCTCTCTGAGAGCTCTTTAGGCTAAAGCAAGGGCATATAAATGCCTAAAATAACAATTGCTAACCAAGGACAGTTTGCCCTAATTTCTATTGTGGGCACAATGATTTTAAATTATGTTTGCCACATAACCAGATACCGTATTTTTTGCTCTATAAGACTCTTTTTCCCTCCTAAAAAGTAAGGGGAAATATGTGTGTGTCTTATGGAGCGAATGCAGGCTGCACAGCTATCCCAGAAGCCAGAACAGCAAGAGGGATCGCTGCTTTCGCTGCACAGCGATCCCTCTTGTTGTTCTGGCTTCTGAGATTCAGAATACTTTTTTTCTTGTTTTCCTCCTCCAAAAACTAGGTGCGTCTTATGGTCTGGTGTGTCTTATAGAGCGAAAAATACGGTATTTCCTTCTGGAGGCAAATGACATTAGTAAAAAGAAGGTGGGGAATGTCTTATTTTTCCACTGTCCACCAGTTATTATTATTTTTAATTCCTGTAATTAAATAATAATAATAATTTAGAAACCTCTGCTAACATTAAATCTTGAAACAAGAAGATACTGTATCTCAAGATGTTAAGAGGAAGATATCTTAAGCTACCGTCAGGAATTTGCACTTGTTCTCTATCAGGTTCAGCCACTGTGGGGTTCCTTTATCAACTTGTCCTATTTATAGAAGTGGCTAAAAATACTCCATTGTGATACAGGAGACTGGAAGGTATTGTGAGCTGTAATGGAAAGTATGCTTCAGGCTATGGAGTTAGTGCTTCTGGAAGGTTGCCAGCTGTGACTGTGTTTGTAGCAGGAGGGAAATACCAGCATGAATTTTCCATTCTCAAATGCACAGGGTGAAAATCTGCTTTTTTTAGCAAGACCAAACCAAGAGGGTCTTCCTTTCTATACTGTTAATCTGATGATCCAGTCAACATCAGTGAACACAATGCCAAACCCTGGTCGATGCATTAACACTCACTGGATCCCAGTCAAAGTTCGGTTTTGTTCAGCAGCAACCCCAGAGCTACAGGGAATAAAAGCTTACAAATACCAAGACAAACCAAAAGCTACTGAACATAACTGAAATAATTTAAATTTAAATTATTTACCGTATTTTTCGCTCTATAAGACGCACCAGACCACAAAACGCACCTAGTTTTTGGAGGAGGAAAACAAGAAAAAAAAATATTCTGAATCCCAGAAGCCAGAACAGCAAGAGGGATCGCTGCGCAGTGAAAGCAGAGATCCCTCTTGCTGTTCTGGCTTCTGGGATAGCTGTGCAGCCTGCTCCATAAGACGCACACACATTTCCCCTTACTTTTTAGGAGGGAAAAAGTGAGTCTTATAGAGCAAAAAATACGGTATACCTCGCCATATCTGGCTGGGTCGTCCAAGCCACTCTAGGTGGCTTCCCACACATATAAAAACATAAGGGCTGCCTTCAGATGTTTTGTTCTTTATCTCCTTGACATCTGATGGGTTTATTGCTATACACAGCTGAATTGAAATGGAAAATGGAAATGCTATGAAGTGTAGAATGTACAGTGGTTCCTCAGGTTAAGAACTTAATTCATTCCGGAGGTCCATTCTTAACCTGAAACTGTTCTTAACCTGAGGCACCACTTTAGCTAATAGGGCCTCCTGCTGTTGCCAGGCCGCCGTCGCCCAATTTCTGTTCTCATCCTGAAGCAAGGTTCTTAACCCGAGGGACTATTTCTGGGTTAGTGGAGTCTGTAACCTGAAGCGTCTGTAACCTGAAACGCCTGTAACCCGAGGTACCACTGTATACAGAAAATGGAAAATGGAATATATATATAGCAATTAATACAAGGCAAGATATTATCAAATGAATATCAATTGGGTATGGTCTACATATGGATTAACAAATGGCGTGTAATGACAAAGCAATAGGTCAAAGCCAGGGGTCAGCAACCTTTTTCAGCCGTGGGCCGGTCCACTGTCCCTCAGACCATGTAGTGGGCCAGACTATATTTTGAAAAAAATATATGAACGAATTCCTATGTCCCACAAATAACCCAGAGATGCATTTTAAATAAAAGCACACATTCTACTCTTGTAAAAACACCAGGCAGGCCCCACAAATAACCCAGAGATGCATTTTAAATAAAAGGACACATTCTACTCTTGTAAAAACACCAGGCAGGCCCCACAAATAACCCAGAGATGCATTTTAAATAAAAGGACACATTCTACTCATGTAAAAACACACTGATTCTTGGACCATCCTTGGGCCGGATTGAGAAGGCGATTGGGCCAGATCCGGCCCCTCGGCCTTAGATTGCGTACCCCTGGTCAAAGCAAATAACATCATTCCTATCTCCCTCCAGCCCATCTAGTTGTGAAATAATTCTAAGTTCCCAGCATATTAGAGCAGTAAAAATTCATAGTTACCCAATGTAGGGCAGCAGACCAGAACCCCACAACAGTCCTTAGCATAGGGAAAGCACATGAAGTGAGGCAGATAGCTGCAACCCCAACTTCACCCCCCCAAATAAAAGAACGTAGAAGAAGAACCACCTAGCAAAGGAAGTTGGCTTGTTCCATTCATTTTTTCATTAGTTTACTATTAATATGGTTGGACCCACATAAACGTGGACTATTAATTGTCATAATCCTCCTGGGAGAGGGAAGAAAGATGAACAACTGGGACCCTGTGGTATAAGTGGCTCTTTATGAAGGGAGGATCAGTTTGCCAAAACAAGTCATGGGAGGCCCAGCCAGATGGGTGGGGTATAAATAATATATTATTATTATTATTATTATTATTATTATTATTATTATTATTTTCTCACTTTGCTTGGGTGACATGGCTGATTTTTTGCCACTCTAATCCGAAGGAACTCAGTTGCAAGCAGCTTCCACAGGAAAGACGCAAACATGGCAATGTGTCCTCCATTTTAATCCATCATGGCTGCTCTACTGTGTGCTTATAACATACCATTTAAACTTCCTAAAGCTTTTAGCTCAATGGAAGACAACCACTGTGCCATGTTTCCGAATGTGAGAGAAGTACAGTGGTACCTCGGATTCCAAACACTTCGGGTTACAGACTCTGCTAATCCGGAAGTAGTATCTCGGGTTAAGAACTTTACCTCAGGATGAGAACAGAAATCGTGTGGCGGCAGTGGGAGGCCCCATTAGCTAAAGTGGTACCTCAGGTTAAGAATGGTTTCAGGTTAAGAACAGACCTCCGGAACGAATTAAGTTTGTAACCAGAGGTACGACTGTAACCAGGTTTTCTGATTGTAACTCCTTAAGGCCCAGTGGTTAAATGCACATTTTTGGCCTACTAGGTTGGCTGCCCGAATCTTGTGGAGAATAGAGAAAGAAGGAGGAGGCCTGACAGAGGGATGCTTAGTTTCCATTGACAACCTACAGAACCACGTGGATCACTTTGGAGACGAAGAGAAGAAGGAGATGAGGATCGACCTGGAGAGCTTCTTGGAGTTCTGGCCACCTGACAACAAGCAATTTGGCATGACGTACATCTCTCACATATTGGGTGTGGTATGTCTGCCTAGTGACCCAAGCCTGGACGAATAAAGGAAAAGCTACAGTAGTTAGATTGTGCCATCCCATCATTTAGTGCCACCTTATGTAGGCATAAGGGGGTTCTGCTGGAGCTTTTGCATGTGCTGATTCAGGTTACACAACAGAAGGGATCTAATGTGGGTTTTGTTTGGTTCTCAAGACCCCAGCTGACTAACCTTGCTTCAGATTTTGGAGTACTTGTAAGGCAAGAAAACCAGGCTTTCTTGTCCTCCTAGGTCTTCCCTGGTATTTTAACATCTTCTGTACTTTTTGAAGACCACTTATCTTGCAAGCTGGTTTTAACCCTATTGGTCTCTTTTTTTAATGATAGCTGGTCAGGTTTTTTTTTAGCCCTCTGTTCTAAACCACTGAGCCTCTTGGGCTTGCCGATCAGAAGGTCGGCGGTTCGAATCCCCGCAACGGGGTGAGCTCCCATTGCTCAGTCCCAGCTCCTGCCAACCTAGCTGTTCGAAAGCACGCCAAAAAAGTGCAAGTAGATAAATAGGTACCACTCCAGCGGGAAGATAAACGACGTTTCCATGCGCTGCTCTGGTTCACCAGAAGCGGCTTAGTCATGCTAGCCACATGACCTGGAAGCTGTATGCCGGCTCCCTCGGCCAATAAAGCGAGATGAGCACCGCAACCCCAGAGTCATCTACGAATGGACCTAATGGTCGGGGATACCTTTATCTTTACCTTTACCTTTCAAAAACCATCCAGGAAATAGTCCTGAGAATACAGAACTTGGCTGCTCCTGTTCTGGAGATCCACAGATCCCATAATCTGTCTTGCTCTTCTGTTTTGCGGAATAGATAAACTGCAATGGCTTTACTCTGAGTGATCAACGGGGACTGCAGGCAGTTGGTGTGGGTATCTTCCCAAACCTTTGCCTGGTGAACCATGACTGTTGGCCCAACTGCACGGTCATCTTTAACAATGGCAAGTAAGTCATCTCCTTCTGCGCATCAATGTGAGAAACTACGCTTGTCAACTCAGGGAATTTCCAGAAAATTAATCTACTCTGAGCTGAGAGGTTGCCTGGCCCTGTTGATTCGTGTTTTGGAGCTGCATGAAAATACATTCTTGTGAGCGTTTCTGTTGGCTTCTAACATTTCATTGGGACCTAGTCACTGATAAAGATCCTATCAGTTCTTGGGGCGGTGGGGAGAAAACATATTGGAAAATGGCAAATTTCCACAGCACGTGGGAAGGTTCTCCTCTGCAAGTCCCACTAAAATGATTGGGAGCTGTATGTGAGCGTTACTATATCGGTGGGGTTTGCGCCGAGAACACTGCTAAGGGTTGTGCTCAGAATGTGTGATTTTGACAACCCTGCAGAACAATCTTGGGTCTTGACAGATAAGTTAGGGGAAATGGATAATGTGTGAAGTTTAAGCGAACACCAGAATGAAGCTGCCAAATGTTGGTCTTCAACACATCGGCATATTTCCCCACAAATCCTTTTCGGTTCATTTCTAACACAATTAAGCAACTTTGTGCATGCATTTGTGGTTCTGCAGGCTTGTTGTCATGCAAACTGCATAGCTTTGCAAGATGGAAGCCCCTCTTCACCCCCCCACCCTAAAAGCAGACAGGTGGCACCAGCCTGGATTTTAAAGAATCTGCAGCTGTAGTTAAAGGCATAGCTGAAATATCTTTCCTCCAAAACCAAAAGCTTGTAACAGAAACTATGCATTTATCTGCCTGGCAGATAAGTGGTGCCATAATCAGAATATCCTCAGTAAGGAAGGAGATGGTTTATACCAACAGTCTGATCTACAACTACTTCTTTTTTTTACATTTTATCCTATTAGAGAAGTTTCAAAACAGTCAGACTAAAATATTGAAACAAAAGCATATCACAGTTTGAACAGAACAGAAACAGGAAAATGTAAGTCACAGGACAGATCTGATACCTACTAGTGCATGGGAAGTTGCTGGGCTAGGGAATTCATCTCATCTTTGCCATCACAGTATTGTTGGTTCTTCCCAAACAGCAAATTTATTTTAAAAAAACCTTCCCCCAAAGCAAGAGAGATCATCCACCAAGTAGCATCAAGGCACAGATCCTATGCTGAGCTTTCGAAGGCCTAAGTAAACACTCAAATAGTTGTTATGAAACAATCCATTAGCAGCCTGTTCAGTTTTTAAAGAGAGAGAAAAACTGTGGACTTGGCTATACAGCTTGCAAATAAATGTTTAAAGTGTGTTGCAAAGTGCATTATAAAAATGTGACAGTAGATGGCGATGGCAAGCTATGACAAATTCAATATATTTTTTTGAAAACGTTATTTTAAAAAGCAACGTTTTAAATATGTGTCTAGATTCCCCCTGTGTTGAGCAGGGGCAATTGGGAGTGAAGAAGTGTGTAACCATAGAATCATAGAATCATAGAATCATAGAGTTGGAAGAGACCACAAGGGCCATCGAGTCCAACCCCCTGCCAAGCAGGAAACACCATCAGAGCACTCCTGACATATGGTTGTCAAGCCTCTGCTTAAAGACCTCCAAAGAAGGAGACTCCACCACACTCATTGGCAGCAAATTCCACTGTCTGTAGTTTCTCCAGTCCCAATGGCTCCCTCGCGACTGCTCCCCCCATGAGATTTCAAATGGTTCTTTGTCGATTGAGAGGAAGGAAGCTTCCAAATGGGTCTTGAGATCTCTCAGCCAGGCAGTTTAACGGCACAAATATGAAAAGCACATTCAATTGTACAAAACATATAGGGAGGGCCACTGATAAAATCCATTAAGAGCCTGATGGAATGAAAAGTCTTTAGAGCCCATTTGCATAGCTGTCAACCGTCCCTTATTTGGCGGGAAACTCCCTTATCCCAGCGCCGTGTCCCACTGATGTCCCTTAAATTTCCTGGGTTTCAAAGGAAGCAGCTCCTCTCCCTCCCTCCCTGCCGGTCAGGGAGGAGGGAGGCTCCAACTGTGTTGCTTGGCTGCCCCGCCTGCCCCCCTCCGGCCTCCTCTCACCAGCCTCAGCCCCTGGGAGCCCCTCCCCGCTGGGACTGGCGGGAGCCTCGGGCCCTTCTGCCGCCATCCTCCTCCCGGCCGCCGAACTGAGCGTCTCTGCCTGGGGCCTCCCCTCTGCCCACCACCGCTGCCGCTGCTCCTGCTAGGCCGTACTGCAGCTGCGCCGCCCAAGAACCCAGATGAGATGGGCAGCCTATGAATTGCTGAGGAGCCTTGAGAGAAGAGCGGGGGCAACTATAGAGAAAGCAGTTCAGAGAGAGGAGGAGGCGGCAGGTGTTCCAAGGGCTAACCATAGAGGGGGAAAGCGGAGGAAGGACCGCAAGCGCTTCTCCCATAGATTTGTAGTGGTAGACTAGCATAGATGGTCTGATCTGTGGGTTTACTTTGGGTGCTATTTCCCCCCCCTCCTCCCGCCCCGCCTGATGGAACTGAGAGCTGCAGATGGAGCACGAGAGAAAAGATACAGAACTGCAGCAGCATCTTCGTAGCTTGGACTTCGTTTTGCGCGAAAAGTGGTTGCTGCTTGTAGTTATTTAATTGCAGTGTTTCCTCAGCTGGTGTCTTGAGCAGCAACCTCTGGAAATGAAGGGCTAAAAACCGGCGCTGCTCTCCAAAATTATCTGGTCCCTTTTAACTTCGTACTTCAGCTGGTTGACTAAAATCCCTTATTTTGGCTGCTGATCCCTTATTTTCGAGGCTGCTGGTCCCTTATTTTCCAATCTGTAAGTTGACAGCTATGCCCATTTGAAGGCTGCAGGAAAGGGGTGGCAATTCCGTCGCCTGCCGATTGCCTTGTAAAGTCATGGAGGAGAGTGCTGTGGCTTAGGACTCCAACTTGCAATTTGATATGCTACCTTCACTGCTGCCTCTGATCTCTACCTTGGCCCTCGAAAGCTGTACGCTAGCATTTGATGTACTAAATGTATGGATTCCATTTGCTTTTCTTCCTTTCTTTTTTTAGTGTGTTTACCTCTGTCAAACTGCAGATGTCTGTTTCTTTCTTTCAGTCATCAGGCTGTAAGATCATTGTTCCACACCCAGATGAGGTGGGTTGGCCTTGATACCATAATATTTCCCCTTTCACTGCTATCCCGCTCGAACACCCCACGTACCGACCCCAAAGTCCCACAGGCAGTAATAACCAAGTTACAAAGATGACTTTGTTTTTACTCTTTCTACCACCTCTATGCAAAGTCCCACTAAACCCAACCCTTCATTTTGTAATCCCTGCATTTGTAGAGTCTTTCTTTAAAAAAGTAGTCATTATGACAATAATTCCCCCTCTCCTCTGACAAACTTCCCCATACCTCTTAATGCCTGCTCGAATTTATTTCTCTCTCCAATTCTTTCATTGGCAATGATAGCATGAGAATTTCTAACGATGGTAACCGTAGTAGATCCAGTAGATCTTTTATTACAAGAGCAAATAACGTGGCATTGTCTGATACTCTGATTTTGGCTGCATTGACAAACACTTTCGGGCCCCTGTTTAGAATTACAAAACCTTAAAAGCGATTAAAATGGCAAAAGCCGCAGGTGTTTATAATATCAGTTTAGCTAGTTCTAGGCCGCAAGGCGACACCTGTTTCTGCTGAGGTCTTCCAAGCAAAGATCAGCCCTCTTGGTGGATCCTCTTTCTTCATGTGGGAATGAGTAGATGTAGATCCCATGGGGACAATCCAGCCAAAGTTAAGTACTTAAAAAAAATATGTCTAATTTTACGTATTAACTTAATAACACAATGAATGCTAAATTTCATTCATTTCAATGGGACAGAGTTGAGCACATGGTGTCTTGGACTGGCTAGATGCAGAGGTACGGTGGAAGAAACCAGCTGGGGAACCCCCAAGGGAAGAAAGCTCAGAGAGTGGGGATTGGTGGTGGGACAGGGACGAGTGATCAGAGGGAGAAGAGGGAGCAGATTTGGAGGAGGAGGTGTCAGAAGATGAAGAGGCAACAGGGCTTAGTGAGCAGGAAGAGGCTGTGGCAGAGCACAGTTCAGACTCCGAGGCAGAAGCAGAGGCTGGGGAGGAAGAGGGCAGGGTGCTGAAGAAGTGAGGGTGTCTCCTCCTGCTACAGTGTCCAGCTCCTCTCCACCTTGTCTCCCAGAACATGGAGAGGGGTGGAGAGGGCAGAGCGAAGAGAGAGAAGGCAAAGGAGCCTCAGGTTGCTTGGGGAAGGAGATTCGGGGAGCTGTAGAAAGGAAAGGATCTTCAGTCCTTGAAGCTTCTTCATTGGGGGCAAAACCTGTTTAACTTCATTGACACCTTGTGAGCTATTGCTGACCTGTCCCTGACTCCTTCCTTGACACCTGGTGAACTCTCCCCATTGAAATCAATGTGTGATCTTCTTTTAATCCTTTGCCATTCATTTCATATTACAATTTTCTGGTGTGCTCACCCTTGCCACTGGCTCCCTTTGTAATGATAACAAAAATTAATAAACCTAAGTACCTCAGTGAAGAAGGGCTTGCCAATCAGAAGGTCGGCGGTTCGAATCCCCACGACGGGGTGAGCTCCCATTGCTCGGTCCCAGCTCCTGCCAACCTAGCAGTTCGAAAGCACGCCAAAAAAGTGCAAGTAGATAAATAGGTACCGCTCCGGCGGGAAGGTAAACGGCGTTTCCATGAACTGCTCTGGTTCGCCAGAAGCAGCTTAGTCATGCTGGCCACATGACCCGGAAGCTGTCTATGGACAAACGCCGGCTCCCTCGGCCTGTAAAGCAAGACGAGCGCTGCAACCCCAGAGTCGTTTGCGACCGGACTTAACAGTCAGGGGTCCCTTTACTTTTACCTCGGTGAAGAGGGAGGGAATGGCTGGCAAGAGATCGTGTGCTCAATCAATTACAAGCAGCTTAAAAACACATGCTTAGAAGGGCGAAGTCCTCTGGGCAAGCTGGTCCATGTGCTTTGGAGTGTGGAAGCAGGCACATCAACCTCCTGTCACTGGTTACCTCCTCCCTTTGCAATGAGGGGAGAGATTTGGGGGCTGTGAAAACTGTAAGGGTTATTCCAGGCATTCCTGGTGGTCAGGGCCTGTCCAAGACATTTTGGAACCACAAAATGGTATCCCTACGCCCCACCAGGGAAGAGGGGATGGGTGAAGGCACTGGGGACAAGCAGGGGAATCAAATCAATCTTACCAGATGGTTGAAGTGGGAATCCAATCCAAGGGAGGATCCTGCTCTCAGTCATGCCTAAGGATGGGAGGAGACCAGCAGTGCCTCCTCTTTGCCCGTGGGGGGCGCTACCAAGGAGGTGGCAGGTCATGCCCCCAAGCAGTGCCCCACAGCTGCCCGAGTTGGTTGGCTCATCTTGGGTCATGGGTGCAAAGTAGGCTGTCAAAACTCCAATGATTTACAAGGGAAACGGTTGCTTGCATGTCTCTAGATAGAATAGCTGATTGTATATTTTAAAAAAGGCCTTTGTTGGGAGATGTTGCATGCTTGAAACTTAAGTCTCCACAACTAACACATTGTTGTCTTTTTAAACCTGTCTGTATCTAATTATGAACATGGTTAATGTGGCATGTAAAGGAACATCCTTTCAAAAAAAAAAGAGAGAGACAGTGCTGCTTTCAATTGAAAAGTTGTGATTGAATTTGAGTGCACTGTGGCAGATGTTTGCTATTGGTCCCTGCAAATCAGGGCTGGGGAACGCCATCATCCTTGACCATTAGCTAGGCTGGCTGAGACAGATGGGAGTTGGCGTTCAACATCTGGAAGTCTACCAGTTCCTTGGTCCTGCAGCCAATGAGCAAGCACTCATATATGTGTATTCTTCATTTCCCCAACAAATCTAGGGTCCTAATGAACTGTTATGGGGTAGCACTGTTGAAATAAACAGCTATGGACCTGGTCAGGGAACTTTGTGCAGGCCTTCCTGAGCTATAGGCCTAAAATAAATGATTTTTTTAAAAAATTAAACAACTCTTGTGGTACCTGAAAGTCTAGCACATTTACCACTGCATAAGCTTTTGTGGTCTCTGTCCCACAATAATAAGATTGCCATAATAAATGTGTCGGTCTTTAACTTGCCAAAGACTCTTTATTTGTGGCAACAGACTAACACAGCTACCCCTCTGGAAATTAAGGGGAAAGGTGGGGGAAACTGAAAGATCTTTACATGCAACATGCTTAGAAGAATTGTGGCTGAAAAAAATTTGACACAATTCTGCAATCTGGGGAGTCCCAAAGCCTATTTAAGCAGCCCTATTGAAATGACAATAGAACACAATATGTTTCGGATGGTATGGTACAAAAATACAGAGATGTGTTCGAAATGGAGATCTTTCAAAATGCATTCTTGTTTATGGATGGCATGATGTACCTGTGAGGACAGCCCAAATGCTGGCATTCCCATGGGGGGCAAAATAAGAATGTTTTCTTTCCACATTCCCCATGCATTCTCTCAAGCCTGATGCCTTTGTCCTGGAGAATGATCGAATGGTGCATCAGTTCAGCTGCTAAAGCTCAGGGAGTCTGCCTTGAGTAATGCCTTGAGTAACCAGGTGGATTCAAATTTAATAAATAAATGGGATTCCTCTGGTGAACCTGGTGTCCAGCTGTGCAAAGGCTCAGCTTCTTACCATGTAATCTGGGTGACCCATGTCCTAAAATCAGACCCAGTGCTACCTTCAAGTGATTGAAGGTTGAAAGGAAATTGGGAAATGATGCTGTCAGCGAGAGGGAAAGTGCTGACAAAGATATGACCTGTGTGCCTGAGCAGCAAAAATAGAAACCCACTGACCAGGAAATATATATTGGTGCTCTGAGCAGATGGTCAAGGCTGTATGTATGCTATGATCATATGGAAACCCAGAAAATGCACGCAATGTTCCATTAGTTGCACAACTAAGGCAGCTTTCATTTCAAAGCAACAGCTCTGATTTCTGATTCCTTGCGATGTACTCTAGCAGAAGTAGGGGGAAAGAGTGAGGTAGGGGGAAAAGCCCAATTAATTATAACAAACCCCACCAACATTTTATTGATTTGCATACATTTATGCAGGTAGCCAGGGGACGCGGGTGGTGCTGTGGTCTAAACCACAGAGCCCAGGGCTTTCCTATCAGAAGGTCGGCGGTTCGAATCCCCGCGATGGGGTGAGCTCCCGTTGCTTGGTCCCAGCTCCTGCCCACCTAGCAGTTCGAAAGCACGTCAAGTGCAAGTAGATAAATAGGTACCACTCTGGCGGGAAGGTAAACGGTGTTTCCATGCGCTGCTCTGGTTCGCTGAAGCGGCCTAGTCCTGCTGGCCATGACCCGGAAGCTGTCTGTGGACAAATGCCAGCTCCCTCGGCCTATAGAGCGAGATGAGCGCCGCAGCCCCAGAGTCATTTGTGACTGGACCTAACGGTCAGGGGTACCTTTACCTTTTATGCAGGTAGCCAAATACAGCCTTCTGTCATGCAGGATTTGTGTTACCTTGGTACAGGGTTTTGGTTGTGTGGAAAGGACGCACAGCTCTCGGAAGGAATCCTTTCGTCCTAGGCATTGTGGGTGGTGGTGGGTCACTCCTGATATTATTATTACTGGAAAGCTACACAGACAAGTCTCTGGTGTTTATCTGGCGCTGCCTCTTTGCTTGTTTGACACCAGGATCGAGTTGCGTGCTCTGGGTAAGATCTCCGTCGGGGAAGAGCTGACTGTTTCCTATGTAGATTTCCTCAATGTTAGTGAAGACAGAAAGCAGCAGCTGAAGAAGCAGTATTATTTTGACTGTACCTGTGAGCATTGCCAAAAAGGAATCAAAGACGACCTGATGACGGCTGTGAAAGAGGGGAATGAAAAGGTATGAGACTGAACTTGAACTAGTTCCTTCTACTTGGACTACTGCAATGTGCTCTATGTGGGGTTACCTTCAAAGGTGACCTGGAAACTACAACTAGTCCAGAATGCGGCAGCTAGACTGGTGACTGGGAGCGGCCGCCAAGGCCACATAACACCAGTCTTGAAAGACCTACATTGGCTCCCAGTATGTTTCCGAGCACAATTCAAAGTCTTGGTGCTGACCTTTAAAGCCCTAAACGGCCTCGGTCCTGTATACCTGAAGGAGCGTCTCCACCCCCATCGTTCAGCCCGGACGCTGAGGTCCAGCTCCGAGGGCCTTCTGGCAGTTCCCTCATTGCGAGAAGCCAAGTTACAGGGAACCAGGCAGAGGGCCTTCTCGGTAGTGGCACCCGCCCTGTGGAATGCCCTCCCACGAGATGCCAAGGAAATAAACAACTTCCAGACTTTTAGAAGACATCTGAAGGCAGCCTTGTTTAGGGAAGCTTTTAATGTTCGATTTATTACGGTATTTTAATATTTTGTTGAAAGCCGTCCAGAGTGGCTGGGGAAGCCCAGCCAGATGGGCGGGGTATAAATAATAAATTATGATTATATTATTATAAAATGAATTTCTGAGCTCTGGCTGGTATACACAATCAGGAATGTAATTGATCCTGGAGTTTTGCTAATGAAAAGATAATTGGGTTGCCAGCTGGGCACTTTTGGAAAATTCTGACAGGAAGAGCTAAAGAAGCACATTTGAATCGTTTCCCCTTGCCTCTTGCAGCCATCCAAGGAAGTGGTGAAGGACGTCATCCAGTTCTCCAGGGAAACCCTGGAAAAGATTGATGAGGCTCGTACCGAAGGGATATACCACCAAGTGAGTCACAGAAGGCTTGGTCCTCTGCTTATTAATGTGTTGAGGAAACCCAGACAATTACATCTCACGTCTACCTTATTTTATCACTAGGGACATGGTGGGAGAAAATTATTGTCATGATCCCCATCTGCCTGCCCAAAATAAGGCTCTGAGTGATTGGGAAGAACAATGATAGAATACATGAAAATAGTTCCTTCCCTTAACTTAACAGAAATATTTAGCTGCCAAGCAAAGTTTAGGGTTTTACCATAAAGCCCTAAACAGCCCAGGTCCTTTTTTACCTGAAAGGATGCCTCCCCCTAGGAACCTTGTACCTACGGGACCGCCCCTCCTGGTATGCCCTGAGGAGGACCTTAAGGTCCATAAATAGCAACACCCTAGTGGTCCCGGGCCCTAAGGAAGTCAGATTAGGCTCAAACAGGGCCTTTTCAACTCTCTGTCTCTGCAGGATCTGATTTCTTTCCGCAGGGCCTTTGGCTTGGAATCAGCCTGATCCCCTCCCCTTCTTTCCTTTTCCTTCTGTGATGGAACCCGTATTTGGGGACTTCCCTGGCTTTTTTCTGGCCCATGTAGGACCAGTCTGGATAGCTGGCATTGGTGGAGATTTGACGTTTTCTCCCCCCAAACAGTTTTTGATCTGGGCTTCTACTGAAATGAGGCTGCATTTTAAGTTGTATTTTAATCCTGTTTTTAAGTTGTATGTTAATCAATGGTTTTTATACCTGATGTTAGCCGCCCTGAGCCAGGTCTTGATGATGATGATGATGATTATCATCCAACTCAGGTGGATAAGTGGTGTCCTCTTGTGGGTACCACATACTCCAGGAATTTGTTTAATGGGTACCTGGGACTTTTAGTGTGAGGGTTGAGTGCAGGATGGGGGACCAAATTACCCCAGAAAGAGCACGGTGTGTCCCCCACCAGTGGTACTTCCCTTCCCCTAACACACCAAGCACCCCATTCCCCAAACATGATAGTGTGCTAGCTGACAATGACAACTGTACAGGAAAGGAATACCGTATTTTTCGTTCTATAGGGCGCACCGGCCCATAGGACGCACCTCATTTTTTTTGGGGGGGGGAATGAATAAAAAAAATTATTCCCCCCGCCGCGGCTGCCGCCCCAAGCCTTGTGCACACCTGCAAGAAGCACGGGGCACCCTCCGGAGGGCTCCCCGTGCTTCGGGCGACAGGCTGCCGCCCCAAGCCTCGCGCGCTCGGCGGGATCACCTGCCGGGCGCGCAAGGCTTGCGGACACTCGCCAGGGCTGCAGGCTGCTGTCTGCAAGCCTTGTGAGCCCGCGGGAACTCCCACCGGGCTTGCAAGGCTTGCGGATAGCTTCCTGAAGCCTGGAGAGCGAGAGGGGTCGGTGCGCACTGATGCCTCTCGCTCTCCAGGCTTCAGCGAAAGCCTGCATTCGCCCCATAGGACGCACACACATTTCCCCCTCATTTTTGGAGGGGAAAAAGTGCGTCCTATGGAGCGAAAAATACGGTAGCTATCCTCTTGGGAAACAAAATATCATTTTGGATATGTGTGTTAAGCGGTTACCCAAACCGGTCGTATATGTTCCAACTCCCTTGTAAAACATCATGTCTTCAGAGCTATGCACTGCAGAAGCAGATTTGTTCTGCCACAAATGTACCTCTTCCTATGATGTTCCTTTCTGTGTGTGGTTTGTCCTAGGTTGTGAAGCTGTGTCGTGAGTGTCTGGACAAGCAGGACCCAGTGCTGGGAGACACAAACCTTTACCTACTCCGGATCCTCAGCATCATGTCAGAAGTCCTCTCTTACCTCCAGCTCTTCGACGAGGCAGCTGGTTATTCAAAACGAATGGTGGATGGTTACATGTATGTATATCCATTTTATTCATTTCTTTGGAATATCTCTAGGCTGCTAAAAGTTACCGAATATTGCAGCAGAGTACAGCCGCAATAGAAATGCAACAAATAAAAATGATTTTGAAACAGTTTTCCAAAATGAAACATGATGCTGACTGCAAGCCAACTCACCTTTCTGTAACAATGTTGTTGTTGTTGTTGTTTAGTCATTTAGTTGTGTCCGACTCTTCGTGACCCCCTTGACCAGAGCATGCCAGGCTCTCCTGTCTTCCACTGCCTCCCGCAGTTTGGTCAAACTCATGCTGCTAGCTTCGAGAACACTGTCCAACCATCTTGTCCTCTGTCGTCCCCTTCTCCTTGCGCCCTCCATCTTTCCCAACATCAGGGTCTTTTCCAGAGAGTCTTCTCTTCTCATGAGGTGGCCAAAGTATTGGAGCCTCAGCTTCAGGATCTGTCCTTCCAGTGAGCACTCAGGGCTGATTTCCTTCAGAATGGCGAGGTTTGATCTTCCTGCAGTCCATGGGACTCTCAAAAGTCTCCTCCAGCACCATAATTCAAAAGCATCAAATCAGCCTTCTTTATGGTCCAGCTCTCACTTCCATACATCACTACTGGGAAAACCATAGCTTGAACTATACGGACCTTGGTCGGCAAGGTGATGTCTCTGCTTTTTAAGATGCTGTCTAGTCTGTAACAATAGGGGAGCTTTAAAGCATCCAGTGAAAGCTGTATAATGTCATAACCTGCTTAGGTTCACCTGGCAGTTCCATCCTTTCTCTGCTCTTCCGTAACTTATTTGCATATATAAACAATGCAGTTAATATATTCCGTGTTGCCAGTACAGTGGATGCTCAGGTTGCGAATGTGATCCATGCGGGATGCATGTTCACAACCTGCAGCGTTCGCAACCTGCAGCGGCGCGTCTGCGCACGCAGGGGTTGCAATTCGGCACTTCTGCACATGCACAAAGCGCGATTTAGCGCTTCTCCGCATGCATGACTGCCGAAACCCGGAAGTAACCCGTTCCGGTACTTCCGGGTTTCGGTGCAACCTGAAGTGTCTGTAACCAGAGGTACGGCTGTAATGCTTGTTTTTATGATGCTACCAAAATGTCCATCAGGTCAGGTATGTGTGTTTTTGTCAAACATCTCTCTTTTGGGCATGAACTGAGTAGGTGTGCAATTCATAGCGCTCTATTCCTGTTTTACCCAGGGGTCCCCTGTTGGTGCAGTTTGGACCGAGGGCTGGCGGCAAAGCTGTCCGCAAGTGAAGTAATGGAGTCAACTCGGTGGAAGGGACAGGGGAGGCACCAGTGCTATGGGGGCCAGCGATGGAGCAAGCCGATTGGGCGCCTGGGGCAGCGTGTGTGCCCTGCACCCAGGGGTGGGGCCAGCTGCCCGTGGGGTGGGGCAGGACATTCTGCGGGGCCTCTGAGGAGTCTGCCTGCCTCCTCCCACTCAGCCGCCCTACAACTGAGGGGGAGACGGGCAGGCGGATGACGCCACCGTGTCACTCCCAGGAGAGATGCGTGGCTCAGGCGCGCTCCAGGCCCCCGCGGTGAGTGCCGCCTGGCATTTTGTCACCCCCCTCAGTGGTGACACCCGGGGCGGCCCGCTCCCACCAAACACCCCTTCCTCTGCCCCTGATGGGGGCTAAATCTCCCCCATGCTCCTGGTGATTTCAAAGTCTGGGGCAGGAGGCACCTTCCTATGGCATCCTAGATTGTAACTGTTTACTAGTCCCTTAGCAATTACAGGGAGCCATAGAGAATAAAGTCTATCGCTGTCTGTATCATCCAATCCTTGATCATCACCATCCAATCCAACCTTTATGTGGTCATGTGCGAAATCCCTGGCAACTAGCTGCTTGTCTTATCCTGTCTTGTCCGAGCACAATTCAAAGTGTTGGTGCTGACCTTTAAAGCCCTAAATGATCTTGGTCCAGTATGCCTGAAGGAGTGTCTCCACCCCCATCGTTCAGCCCGGACACTGAGGTCCAGCTCCGAGGGCCTTCTGGTGGTTCCCTCACTGCGAGAAGCCAAGTTACAGGGAACCAGGCAAAGGGCCTTCTCGGTGGTGGCACCTGCCCTGTGGAACGCCCTCCCACCAGATGTCAAAGAGAAAAATGACTACCAAGCTTTTAGAAGACATCTGAAGGCAGCCCTGTTTAGGGAAGCTTTTAACATTCAATAGGTTATTGTATTTTAGTGTTTTGTTGGCAGGCACCCAGAGTGGCTGGGGAAGCCCAGCCAGATGGGTGGGGTGATAAATAATAAATTATGATGATGATGATGATGATGATGATGATGATGCATCCCAAAGATCCGTGAAATTACATTGGCAGGATCCCAAGGGGTGCCAGGCTTTCATGCTCCCATAACCGTTTACCCCACCTTAAGCTTAGTATGTTCACTTTTTGAAGACCTATCCATCAGTTCAGCATGCGCCTCCAACCCTTCAACATCACAGCTTCCAAGACACGGTCCAAAGGCACAGCAGCAATGGTTGTGTAGTCCCAGAGGCCCAGCATAACTTTCCATCCATTATGGAGGCTGTAGTGATTGGTGGAAGAAGGAATGGAGTCAAACCTCCTTCTTTGGACTGAGCCCTCCGTGAAGCAAATTGCCACATCTCCAACAAGCTGGAAACCCAAGCAAGGATCAATATATATGCCCCAGCACTGATTTGCAAATGTCAAGTGGCTTCCTTGTGTATTTCCCCTAGGAAACTCTACCACCCAAACAACGCACAGCTAGGGATGGCGCTCATGAGAGCTGGAGTGACTCAGTGGCATGCTGGCCTCATTGAAGCAGGCCATGGGATGATTTGCAAAGCCTACGCTATTCTTCTGGTGACCCATGGCTCCACCCACCCAATTACCAAAGATTTGGAGGTAAGTGACTCGTGGTATTGTGAGGCTCCAGGAACGTAGAGTGGTACCTCTAGTTACAAACTTGATTCGTTCCAGAGGTCTGTTCTTAACCTGAAACTGTTCTTAACTAGAGGTGTGCTTTCGCTAATGGGGCCTCCGGTGCGCGATTTCCGTTTGCACCCTGGGGCAAAGTTCTCAACTCGAGTTAATTGTACAGTGGTACCTTGGGGTACATACGCTTCAGGTTACAGACTTCGCTAACCCAGAAATAGTGCTTCAGGTTAAGAACTTTGCTTCAGGATGAGAACAGAAATTGTGCGGCAGCAGTGGGAGCCCCCATTAGCTAAAGTGGTGCTTCAGGTTAAGAACAGTTTCAGGTTAAGAACGGACCTCTGGAACAAATTAAGTTCTTAACTTGAGGTACCACTGTATTCCTAAATTGGAGAGGGAAGAAGTCTGTGTGGATGGAGGGGGGAAGGAAGGCTGAGAGAGACAGACCGACAGAGCTACAGTTACCTGAGGCCACCTGGTGAGATCATTGCAGAGGTGAGATTTGAGGTGAGGACTTTGTTTCAAATGGCAACTGTCTCTCCCTCTCACCTCAGTCACTATGCTTCACTAGCTACATTAAATACACAAGCATCAGGCTGTTCAGTAAATTTACAGTGTTACCTCAGGTTACAGACGCTTCAGGTTACAGACTCCGCTAACCCAGAAATAGTACCTCGGGTTAAGAACTTTGCTTCAGGATGAGAACAGAAATCGTGTGGTGGCAGCGGGAGGCCCCATTAGCTAAAGTGGTACCTCAGGTTAAGAACAGTTTCAGGTTAAGAACAGACCTCCAGAACGAATTAAGTTCTTAACCCGAGGTACCACTGTATTTGGAGATTGTTCATAGGGAGAACAAATGATGTTGAAGTCCCTCGAAACTGGATCTCCTTGCCAGCTGCTCCAAGTGGCAAATTGTTTCCAGGCATCCCTCTGGAAGGTGCATTAGCTACAGCCATTCAGCTCTGTTCACATATGCAGAAGGGCCAGACAGACTGCACAAGCGAGCCAAGTGATCACTTGGCCTTGCAATATTTACAGCAGGGGTTACAACTCCCATCTGTCCCAGGCAGCATGGCCAATGGTCAGGGGTTATGAGAATTACAGTCCTGCAGTATGAAGGGCCACAGCTTAGTCACCCATAAAAGTAAAGGGACCCCTGACCATTAGGTCCAGTCGCGGACGACTCTGGGATTGCGGTGCTCACCTCGCTTTACTGGCCGAGGGAGCCGGCGTACAGCTTCCGGGTCATGTGGCCAGCATGACTAAGCCGCTTCTGGCGAACCAGAGCAGCGCACAGAAATGCCGTTTACCTTCCCGCCGGAGCGGTACCTATTTATCTACTTGCACTTTGACGTGCTTTCGAACTGCTAGGTTGGCAGGAGCAGGGACCGAGCAACGGGAGCTCACCCCGTTGCGGGGATTCGAACCTCCGACCTTCTGATCGGCAAGTGCTAGGCTCTGTGGTTTAACCCACAGTGTCACCCACGTCCCATTAGTCAGCAATAGGGGACCCAAATATAGCCATCTGCAATGCAAGAAATTAATTATTATTATTATTTCTTCTTCTTCCTCTATACTGCCTCTCATCCAAGGATCACAGGGCAGTTTACAATACGAAAACAACAAAAGACATACCATAGTAGCAAACAAAAACATTAACACCCTCCACACACACAATAACACCACCACTACCAGTGTTCGAAAATTGCCAGACCACTTGCGACCAAGTGAAGATGCCTGAGTGAATGGATGGCGCCCGACATCTCCACCATCTTGGAGGCGCATGCCTGGGGATCCTTGGGTCTTGTCAGGGAACTGCCATCAGTTCAGGAGGGAGAGAAGAAAAGCTGGATGGATTACAGAGAGCCCCCAAAGATCGTGGAAAGCAGCTCTTCCTCAGCGGGGGAGAGTAACCACGCCTCCAGTGGAGAGGAGCTGCAGGGTTCGGAGGAGGCGAGGCGTTGCCAGGACACTTTGCCTGGGCAAAGCGGGGAGGGGAGAGGTCCACCGTTACCCACGCCCTCCTTGCGCAGTAAGCTTTCGCGCCGAGAGGGGAGGCGCAGACTGGGCGTCGAGAAATTACTTTGCTGGGGAAAGTTTAAGCCCCGCCCACTCACAGATTCTGCCAGTGAATGAGTCAGCCACAGGAGAGTGGCGCTCTGGACAGATAAAGTTTATTTTGCATCAAAAGCAAGACTTCACAGCCGAGCAGGGAGGTACCGTATTTTTTGCTCTATAAGACTCACTTTTTCCCTCCTAAAAAGTAAGGGGAGATGTGTGTGCGTCTTATGGAGCAAATGCAGGCTTCGCAGCTATCCCAGAAGCCAGAACAGCAAGAGGGATTGCTGCTTTCACTGCGCAGTGATCCCTCTTGCTGTTCTGGCTTGTGAGATTCAGAATATTTTTTTTCTTGTTTTCCTCCTCCAAAAACTAGGTGCGTCTTGTGGTCTGGTGCGTATTATAGAGCGAAAAATACGGTATTTGCCTGCTTGCTCTCAGGCAACCCCTTGGAAACCTAACAGGTCTTGGCTGTTTTAACACACTGGCAACACCTCCTGTAGAATTATATCCTCTATATTTTATCTGCACAGAATGAATTGCAGGAACCAAAAAACTCATATTGAAAAATATGACTTTTGAGTCGTCTGGCTCCCCCCCCAATGGCAACTAGGCATTCTGTTTTGACAACTGTAACCCTGATTTATGCAGCCATTTGGCACCTAGCTTGTATATCTCAGTTTCTAACACTGCCCACTAAACGCTCTGTTCATAGCCTGACCAGTGGGATATCAACTTGAATAGAAGAGCATGTTTCTAGCTGTCAAGACAATGACACTTAAAAATGTGTGGACTTTATGAAACCTCAGAAGCCACAGAGTAGGGGTTAAATGAGAGTTACATTGGCCTTTATTAGTTCGCATAACCCCTAAGAGCAACCGCTTGCAGTATGACTAGCAGAAGCAATGTAAGTGATGGAAGATTATCATAATGAAATTCAGATTTTTTAAAAAACTTGTTTTTGCGCAGAGGATGCACAACGTGTAGTATGACAAGGCAAAATGTTAGCAGTTTGCGATGGAAACTGGGTTTCAGGGTTGAGGGCTTCCTCACGCATCGCAAGCAGACTCTCAAGAAATTAGCTTTGTATCTCTTTGTCTCCATCCTTTCAGGCCATGCGTGTTCAGTCAGAGATGGAGCTGCGCATGTTCCAAGAGAATGAGTTTATGTACTACAAGATGCGAGAGGCAGCTCTTCAGAACCAGACAATCCAGGTCATGCCTGAGCCCGCCGCCAACGAGATTTCACCTGGCATCTTCCAGAAGAAATAAGAATGGGATTGTTGGCCGGCCTGGAGGTGTCTTGTTGAATCCCGACAGCTGGTGCAAATCAGCCATTTTGGTTCTGAACAGGAAGGAAGTGCCGAGGAAAGTGGGGGTTTGGTTCTGAATGTCCGGCTCTCCTGAGGACAGCGCCAGAGAGACCTGCTTTTTCTACATGCCCAGCATGTTGAGTTAGAAACATTTCACAGGAGGAATCAAAGCCTACATTCACTCATTTCAATGATCAATAAAGTTATTATGATACTTCAACACTTGTTTCAGTCACTTGTGTTTGGTTTACTTATGGAAGAACATCACTTTGCCACAATTTGTACATCCGTCTCAGATGGAGGTTACATTTATACTCTTATTCCTTAAAAAGCATTTGAGTGTTAAGATGTTCCCTTAAGTGTGTCCCAAGTAAAGTAAAGTAAAGGTAAAGGGACCCCTGACCATTAGGTCCAGTCGTGGCCGACTCTGGGGTTGTGGTGCTCATCTCGCTTTATTGGCCGAAGGAGCCGGCATACAGCTTCCGGGTCATGTGGCCAGCATGACTAAGCCACTTCTGGCGAACCGGAGCAGCGCACGGAAACGCCGTTTACCTTCCCGCCAGAGCGGTATCTATTTATCTACTTGCACTTTGAGGTGCTTTTGAACTGCTAGGTTGGCAGGAGCAGGGACTGAGCAATGGGAGCTCACCCCGTTGCGGGGATTCAAACCGCCAACCTTCTGATCGGCAAGTCCTAGGCTCTGTGGTTTAATCCACAGCGCCACCCGCGTCCCATTGTGTCCCAAGTACCACCCTTCATTTGCACCAGGCCTACCAGTTTAGCTTAGGTCAGGGGTTGACAAGGTTTACCTTGCCTGGGCCGGATCACTTGGGTGGAGATCCTCCGTGGGCGCCGGAAATCGCTTCTGCACATGCCCAGACGCCGAAAATTGCGCCAGCACAGAAGCGATTTCCGGCGTCTGTGCATGCGCAGAAGTGATTTCCGGAGCCACGGAAGAGAGTCCCCACACAGTTTAACGCAGGTTTAACGCAGCACGCCGGGACTTGCTGAATGGGTGGCTCAGTTCTGGGGCGGCTTGTAGGCCAGTTAAACGGCCTCCACGGGCTGCTTCTGGCTCATGGGCCACAAGTTGCAGACACCTGGCTTAGGGTTTCAGAAGATAACAAATCTGGGGATTCTTAGTTAAAGCAGCATTTATTTCCACTTAGTCCCTTCCTTTTTCTGGCTGAATGTCTGTCCTAGCAAAGCTATCCAGCTTTTCCGATGACCTTATGGGTGTTCAAAGGTCTTATGGGTGAAACCCAAAGTCCTCTGCTGATTCCTTCCACTCACAAGCCATCAAGCATGAATCATAAAATATCATAGCTGTCAATGTTTCCCTTTTTTAAAGGGAAATTCCCTTATTCTGAATAGGACTCCTCGCAAGAAAAGGGAAAAGTTGACAGCTATGTAAAATATTAGGAGATTAGGATTGCCATATTTCAAAATGTGAAAAATCCAGACAGAAAAGTTGGTGAGCTTGTTTTTTGTTTAAGTTTTGGCCAAAGAAATTGGGCGTTTTTGAAATCGGCAAAAACGACACTGCAGACACGGGCTGCCATATGTCTGGAGTTTTCCGGACATTAGCCGATTTCTGAAAGGACACTGCTTGCGGCTGCAGTATTCCTATATGTCCAGAAAATTCCAGACATATGGCAACCGTATAATAAATCCTGTTAAGTTGGGAGAGAGACCCAACCTGACCCTCACTGCTGCTCTGGGCGCTCTTGTCTTTGATAGCTGTCTTCCATAGACCAATAATGACCGCAACGAAGAGGCATTTGCATACATTTCACTTTATTGTACTACTTTTACACAGTAAAAGTACAGAAATGCCTGAGTTATCTAGATTCTTTTGCTGATCCTCTTGTATTGAATGTCACCCATGCTCAGCGTCTAGAAAGGGAAGAAAAAAACCAAGAGCTTTAATCATCCACACTTTATATTTAATTTCTTTTTTAAAAAAAATATTTTTTTTCATTGATACTTTCTCCCAAAAGAGATCAGGGCAGCATATCCATGTTTGCAGTTATTACCTGGCTGCACATCTGCATTGCTAAACTTAGAGGAGCGTGAATTTCAAAGGATGACTGTGTTCTGGTACATGGATTGTTTATGGAAGGCTTGAATTACCGTATTTTTTGCTCTATAAGACTCACTTTTCCCCTGCTAAAAAGTAAGGGGAAATGTCTGTGCATCTTATGGAGCGAATGCAGGCTGCGCAGCTATCCCAGAAGCCAGAACAGCAAGAGGGATTGCTGCTTTCACTGCACAGCAATCCCTCTTGCTGTTCTGGCTTCTGAGATTCGGAATTTTTTTTTTCTTGTTTTCCTCCTCCAAAAACTAGGCACGTCTTGTGGTCTGTTGCGTCTTATTGAGCAAAAAATACGGTAGGTCGTTTTGCCTAGACATGCAAACTGAATTGAATTTCCTTGCACCCTGGTTCCCCAATAGCTACTGATCCTGTGCCCAGCATACATGATGCAAGCAAATCTTGAACCCAGAGTCTTGAGCCTACTGCACATTTGGTATATATGGGTCCCCCAAAATATTACTCCCATTTCTATTCGGTATCACCAATAATTATAATAAGGTAACAATCACTGATATATTGTCTGCAACCAATGCCTGACACCCTGTTATCTGACCCAGATTTTGTAAACCACTCTAGAATCATTGACAGTGCTTTTTTGAAAATCCCCTAATAAATAAAAATGTAATCAATATAGGCATAAAAAACCAATAAGGGGATTTTGCCTCCTACTCAAAGTATATACATTAATACCATGAGAAATGTTTTTCAGGATGACCTCAAACTTCAAGTTAGCCTTCCCAAGAATGACTAATACTTGATTTGTTCATGGGATGGGATGCTGTTCTCTTAAACATCTGCACCAGGAGTGTACAACTTGAAACAGGATGACCTTTAAAGCCCTAAATGATCTTGGTCCAGTCTACCTGAAGGAGCGTCTCCACCCCCATTGTTCTGCCCAGACACTGAGGTCCAGCGCTGAGGGCCTTTTGGCAGTTCCCTCACTGCAAGAAGCCAAGTTACAGGGAACCAGGCAGAGGTCCTTCTCGGTAGTGGCACCTGCCCTGTGGAACGCCCTCCCACTAGATGTCAAAGAGAAAAATAACTACCAGACTTTTAGAAGACATCTGAAGGCAGCCCTGTTTAGGGAAGCTTTTAATGTTTAATAGACTATTGTATTTTAATATTCTTTTGGAAGCTGCCCAGAGTGGCTGGGGAAACCCAGCCAGATGGGCAGGATATAAATAATAAATTATTATAATTCTCCACTTAGCAAATGACCCAAAGGCTGTGGCCCCCTGCCATACATTAAAATATTTACATTCTACCTGAATTTGAAACCAAACCACCCAATGCATTGAAACTGAAAAAAGTATGGATATGAGGAACATGCTAGATACTGTGGTGCAGGGTAGCCTATGTGGTGAACCCCAGATATTGTGGAACTACAACTCCCACCAGCCTTGACCATTAGCTATGTTGGCTGGCGTCAAAGAGTGAGCCTTCAGTAATCACAACATTCAGAGTTGGAGTTATTAGCCAAAACACAATTTCTGCACTGCAAACTTGGCTGAGGGTCAGGCCCAAAGAGCACAGTAAATCTTCTCTGGCAGGTCTTGCCCTCATGAAGCAGTTGTTGAGACTGAAAGTCCCCATTTTCCCACAGCTGTCTTAAGTCCCCTCCTCTCCAGGGTTTTCCCCAAGCTATCAGAGACTGCATCTGCGTTCAGCCAACCACTTCTCTGCCCTTTTCATGCCTCTTCTGGTTCTGGGAGACAAGGGGGAGGGGAGCTTGTCACAGCAGGAGGGGGAGACACCCGTGACTCTTCACTGGCCTAACTCATCTCTGCATCTTGGCCTCCTTCCTCTCTCCTTGCCTTCTTCGGTTTCTGCCTCTGGTTCTGGACTTACCTGTGCCACTGTGATGGCCTGGGACTCGGGCTCGGACTTGGAGCCAGAGAAGTCTCAGTCCGCACCGGATCCTTTGCCTCAGGTGGCATCTGAACCTAGTCTGGGGCCTGATTCTGAAGAGCCCCAGTCTGCACAGGTCCCCCTGCAACAAGCATCAGCTGGGCCGAGTCAGGGGCCTGAGCCTGCCCTGGCTCCAGATGTGAGGATTACCTCATTGCCTTTAGCTGGGCCATCACTTACAGCTGCTCCACTACCAGTTGGGTCAGGAGAAACTGAGGTGGCCTCTGGGTCTAGTAACCCACCAACGTCTCCCGAGCTGCAGAGAGTAAGGTCTGAGAGAAGGAGAGACCTGAGTACTTGCAGGAGGAGTGCTCATCTTTGGGCAAGACAGGGAGGTGAGTCACCAGGGGATCAGGACTGGCCGTTACCCCATCAAAGAGAAAAGTCTGTCGGACCCCAGGTTGTGGGAGCAACTTTGCTGTTTGCCAGCACCTGCCTGAGACCCTGTGCCTGACCTTGCCTGGTTTCCTGCCTTGGCCCTGTCAGACTCACTCCTCACGGAACCCTTGGATTTGGGACCGGACCTGGACCGCGTTGCTCGGGTTAACCCCCAGGCCCAGCACGGCCACTGTCTCTCCCACCTTTCTAAGCCCTGTAACCTTTTCAGCTTCTGCCACCTCCTCTTCCAGTCTTCTCCCTCTGACTACTCATCATTGTCCCACCACCACTCCCTGGGCTTTGAGTCGTCTTCTTTTGGTGGTTCTCCAGCTGGTTCCTCTCCCAGTCCATGACAGCTGGGACTGATGGGAGTTGTTCAACAACATTTGGAGGACACTAAATTGTCTCCTCCTGTTCTAGAGGCCTTAACTTCCAAGGCCCTCTGAAAATGGAGCAGTTAGGCTAAAATATTGCAGTGGTGGTCCAGGCTGCAATGGAGGCCTCAAGTTTGACATCCCCATTCTAGGTGGACTTACATTAGTGATGGTGTCCCCGTTTATTTCAGTGACAGACTTGATGCTCTTCAGGTTCACAACCATCTTGTTGTCTCCTTCCATTTCAACAACGGCCTGTGGGAGAAGAAAAGCAGCCACGATTGGGTTCCAGTTCAAGCGCTGACTTTTTCATGTACCTTGTCAACATGTTCATAAGCCCAAGTTTTCCTCCACACATTTGAGAGGTGCCCAGTGAGCTTGCCTTTTTATTATGATCTATGGCAGTTTCCCCCAAACTTGGGTCTCCAGCTGCTTTTGGATTACGATTCCCATTATCCCTGACCAGCCAGGGATGATGGGAGTTACAGTCCAAAAACAGCTGGAAATATAAATAATTAGGAGTCACTTGAAAGTACCAAACAGGCCTAGGATGAAATTAGGATTTAATTAAATAAATGGGATTTAGAACAGTAAGAAAAGTGAATAAGATAGATAATAGTTGGAAATATTTTTGTTTAAGAATGATATTGGAAAGCTGCTACATGCAGATACAAGGAAACTCAGAAGGGAGGGATTTGAGGAAGTCAATTAACAGTGTAAACAAAATTGGGTTTTCAAGGGATATGGGATTAAGATTACTTTTTTATTGTTGTGGTTTTGGTTCTTTTTTTAGTATTGTATTGTATTGTTTTCTCTTTGATATGTTTTTCTGTTTCTGTTTTTCTTTTTTGTTATGTTGTATTTGTTATAATTGTGAAAAATTTAATTAAAAAAAATTTTTTTTGGGGGGGGGGAAACAGCTGGAGACCCAAGTTTGGGAAACACTGATCTATGGCAATGTGTCAGTATGGCTCTGTGAAATATGTTACACCTCTCTGTTTTCATTAAGTGAGAAATATGCATGTATATGATCAAAGAATGTGGTCTTCCCACATACATTCCCTGGGAAAAAAATGCTTTTGCCTGCTTCATAATATTTCTTTTGAGGCTGCTGTATATGATATGGTTACCAGACGTCCCCAGTTCCTGGGGACAGTCCCCGGATTTGCAAATCTGTCCCCGAACAAATTCCGTCCCCGGAATGTCCCCAGATTTGCACATTTGTCCCTGGGAAACATGGCGGTGGCAGCCTCAGCAGCCCGGAGCCAGCCTGGTAGCGCAGTTGTCTCTGGCTGGCTTCAGGAGCTGCTCGCTGCCGTGGCGCCCGCCATTTTTCCTCACCGGAAGTCCCCATATGATGTGTCTTGTGTGCATATGATGTGTCTTGTGTGATCTCCTGCCCCCTTCCCCCTTTGTTTTGACTGATCGGGGGAGGCTCAGGAGTGGCGGGCGGCCAGCCCTTGCCCAGTTTCTTAAAAACTCTGTACATTTATGTTTCACAGGGTGCGAAAGAAGGGCTTTGCACCTTTATACAATATGCATGTGTGCTTGGGCCCAGGGTCTTTTGCCTCACTATCACCACTACAGTGGTACCTCGGGTTACATACGCTTCAGGTTACAGACTCCGCTAACCCAGAAATAGTACCTCGGGTTAAGAACTTTGCTTCAGGATGAGAACAGAAATCATGCTCTGGTGGCGCAGCTGCAGCAGGAGGCCCCATTAGTTAAAGTGGTGCTTCAGGTTAAGAACAGTTTCAGGTTAAGTACGGACCTCCAGAACGAATTAAGTACTTAACCCGAGGTACCACTGTACTGACTCCCTGTTGCTCCTCAGCTTCAAAAGTGTCCCCGGATTCATTGAAAAAAATCTGGTAGCCATAGTATATGGGGAAGATAGAGTTTGCGTACGTTTGTAGGCGGGATCTGATTGTTCTCATTAGAAACTAGCTTCCTGTTCAAAGGAAGCCAGCCCTGTATCAGGTGTAGGGAACCTTTGATCCCCCAGACACTGATGAACTACAACTCCCATCAGCCACTGCAAGCCTGGCCAATGGGACCTGTCATTCAGCAAGATCTGGAGGGCCATAGGTTCCCTGCCATATATAGATGGAGAAGACTCTACCTTGACCCTCTCTCCTGTTGGCGTCTGCAGCTCAGCCTCCTCTCCGATTGTAAACTCGTTAGTCAACACCTTGCTTCCGGTTGTCACGGTGACCTTGAACTTCTTGCCATTCTGAACAATTTCAGAGATGCTCTTGAGGTCCTTGCCCTTTTCAATCATCTCATCGGAAAGGCCTGGGCAGAAGGAAACCAACAGTCATATGCAATGACGTAATACAGGGGTACCTCAGGTTACAGACGCTTCAGGTTACAGACTCCGCTAACCCAGAAATAGTGCTTCAGGTTAAGAACTTTGCTTCAGGATGAGAACAGAAATCGTGCGGCGGCGGCGTGGCAGCAGCAGGAGGCCCCATTAGCTAAAGTGGTGCTTCAGGTTAAGAACAGTTTCAGGTTAAGAACAGACCTCCAAAACTAATTAAGTACTTAACCCGAGGTACCACTGTAGATCATTAAATAACCCTACGGCCCTGAGATCTTTTGATAAAGACAGTATATAAAATAAATAATAATAAAATAATAATAATAGAAATGGGGATGGGGACTTCACAGCTCTCAAACTCTCAGAACATTTCCACATGAAGGTTGCAATCCTATGCCCACTTAGGTACTTTGAATCACAATACCACTCACTTCTAAGTCACACAGATAGGATTACATTGTTTGAGAGTCTTTCAGGTAGTTGTTCAAATGAAAGAAAAAGCTATGGAGATACATTTTTGTAATGCAAAGTGAACAGTCTGGGAGAATGTAGATTTTATATTCACGTTAGAAATCTGACTGAGGTGAGACCTGTTACAACCCTCCTTTTTGAAAATACGCTTAGCTACTACACTCTATCAGACACAACCTCTTCACGGCTTAGAATTGGATAGTACATCAGGTTAATTCTGCTCTTGTGACATGAAGATTGCCACAAATTTTAAGGCAGGTTATTGTCACTATGCTTTGTATGAGACCAAAAGACATATTCGTTCATTTTAATACCAGCAGGAAAGTAAGGAACATAAAAAGGACAACATGTGATCATAAAAATCCCATCTACACAAATTACATTTGAGACAAAAGCGCCATAATTATTTTTTAATTCTTTACTGCTTACTGTTGGATTTCAAATCCCTTTTTAAAAGACAAAAATGAAGACCATGGCAAGGCAGGGAGCACAATTTAACCACCTCATTTGACCAGCTTACCAATGGCTTTCATGAAGGGCTCAAAATTCTCATGGGTTTGGAGCTCGAACTTTCCGTTGAAGCTCATAATGGCGATGCGTTCTTCGGAGAGATGAGAAGAGAAGGCAGCTCCTTCGGAGGCCGGCTCTTCCTTTTATAACCCTCCCTTGCCTTGAAACTTGGTCAGAGGTTAAGTGATTTCACTCCTTCCCCCTTTTGCTGAAGCATCAACTTTGTACCGAAGTGATAGGCAATATCACTAAATCACCTGAGCTAAGTGTAATTGAGAAGTTGCACTTGCCGTGTCAGAAAGCCTCTGTTTTCTGCAGGTGGAATACATATAATAAGAAACATCTGTAAAAAGTTAGGGCAAAAATATGCAAGTGACGTTGAAGATCCATCTGCATTCTGTAGCAGTACTGCAAATGTTGGAAATGCTTGCGAAAGATTGAAAGTTTAAGGAGGAAATTGCTGCAATAATCATTACAAGTAAACTCAAACTCACTGGTCTCTAAAGGTGGAAATCTGGTCAACCCAGCTCTATCTGTGTATAAAGCAAAAACAATGGCCCGGATTTTATATGGTGCAGAGGTTTGGGGTACCTCAAAGGTCTCCGATCTGGAACCCCCACAGAATTATTTTTTAACAGTTCTTTTAGGTTTACCCAATGACATGCAATCTGCCATGGTCAGGTTGGAAACTCACATGTTGAGCATAGACAACCAAATAGATAAAAGAATTCTCTGTTACTGGTTTAGAGTTCAACAGATGGACAACACTAGGCTACCATTTGAGCTCTCAAATAGATGTACCTTAAATTTATGTACCTTAAAAACTGGGTACATCATGCTGCCCAACTGATGGGCAAATATGACCTCTCAGTGACTGAGATTAAAGAACTCCCCTTATATTCACAGAAAAGTATTTTTAAACTAACCATAAGGGCAGTGGCAACTAAAAACGATCTAAACTCTATGTGCACATCTACATGCGCCCCATTGTATTTTAAACTTAGAGAGGTCAATGAACTTTCCATTGATTTTTCTGGGTCTGCCCTGAGTACAGCTTAATTGGTTATCACCCATAGTGTTTTTCCACTGGGTCGTTGTTACTACTACTACTACTACTACTACTACTACTACTATTATATATTGCCCTTCATCCGAAGAACACAGGATGGTTCGCAACATGAAAATGCAAAATGAAAACACATAATAAACATTAAATTTCGAATTAATTCATCAGTATTAACACTGATGTTGGAATTTTTCTCTAGAGCAGACTTTTAATTGGTCTGCTGCCTTAAACTGAGCTATACTGGTATGAAGGTAAAGTCAAACAATCATTTGCCATGCTGTGAGTATGTCTGCCATTTTTATAGTAGTTTAGCTGCATGGCTTTCATTTTATTTAATACTATTTGTTTCATTGCAATTCATACTATTTGAATCCTGGAATTTGTGATTTGGTAGGGGTGCTAGGAATGATCTGTTACAGGTCTGCTCCCCACTTACAGAATTGTAAATTCCTAAATTTGTTGAGAATAAATAATTGTCAAATCACTGTACGTATGTGGTGTACATCTGCTCTAAGAATCCTCTGAGGCAAAGAAGCAAAATTGTCCGTCTTCTTTGATCTGTTGCACAATGTGGTTGCAACAGAGCAACGTGTATCACCAGAACAAACAGTCACATACTTTAAAAATAATTTTCTCTAGTCACTGCCACGGACCTAAGGAAACCCAGCTTCTAGTTTCTACCCTCCTAGAACCATTTCCTCTTTCTCCTTCTTAATATTCCCTGAAGCTCTGCTTGCTGCAACTCATTAAAAGGTAAAGATAGACAAGTAGAACAGGTTATGTATGGGGAAGAAGAGGTCAGGAGTCTTTCAGAAAAGCAGTGCAGGAATGGCCAGATCACCTCTGATACATTGCAACAGAGTTCCATCCCTTCCAGCCATATTTCATCTGAAGCCACTTCTGTACTGTACAGTAAAGGGAAAGGACCCCTGGACAGTTAAGTCCAGTCAAAGGCGATTATGGGGTTGCGGTGCTCATCTCGCTTTCAGGCCGAGGGAGCCGGCGTTTGTCCACAGACAGCTTTCTGGGTCATGTGGCTGGCATGATTAAACCGCTTCTGGCACAACGGAACACCGTGACGGAAACCAGAGCACACGGAAATGCCATTTACCTTCCCTCTGTAAAGGTAAAGGGACCCCTGACCATTAGGTCCAGTCGTGGGTGACTCTGGGGTTGCGGTGCTCATCTCGCTTTACTGGCCGAGGGAGCCGGCGTACAGCTTCCAGGTCATGTGGCCAGCATGACTAAGCCACTTCTGGCGAACCAGAGCAGCGCACAGAAATGCCGTTTACCTTCCCCCCAGAGTGGTACCTATTTATCTACTTGCACTTTGAGGTGCTTTCAAACTGCTAGGTTGGCAGGAGCTAGGACAGAGCAACGGGAGCTCACCCCGCTGCGGGGATTTGTCAAGGGACGCGGGTGGCGCTGTGATCTGAACCACTGAGCCTCTTGGGCTTGCCAATCAGAAGGTTGGCGGTTCGAATCCCCACAATGGAGTGAGCTCCCGTTGCTCTGTGACCCATGACCCCTGTCATTTGGTGGACCATCTGCTGTGGTACCTTGGGTTACATACGCTTCAGGTTACATACCCTTCAGGTTACAAACTCCGCTAACCCAGAAATAGTGCTTCAGGTTAAGAACTTTACTTCAGGATGAGAACAGAAATCGTGCTCCGGCGGCGAGGCGGCAGCAGGAGGCCCCATTAGCTAAAGTGGTGCTTCAGGTTAAGAACAGTTTCAGGTTAAGAACAGACCTCCGGAACGAATTAAGTTCTTAACCCGAGGTACCACTGTATTTCCCATCTAAATGTAAACAGCCTGAAGTAGACAGAAAGTACTTTGTGCCTTCAGAGTTTTGCCTGGAGACATATTATAAATAGTCCACCCTCCCAGCACTGAAAATTAAAGGCAGAGAGAAAGAGAATAGACCTGTTATACCATTAGGAAATGTGGGGATTTTCCCACACGCCCACCCACTCAATTGTCTCCTGCCAAATCTACTGTCTGGTTTCCCCTCATAGGCCTGTTTTTTTAAAAAAATTATTTTGCATCTTACAAAAGCTAAATCAGTGGAAGCATTACTAAACTTCTTAGGCATTTAAGAAGACTTAGCTGAATCCATTTGGAGACTAGTTTAGGCTTGGGGGTGGGGGTGGGGAATTCCAGCCAGAAGCTGGTAATTTCCCCAGGCATCAAAGAAGCTATTTGCCTCTTGTCATTTACTGCAAATGTCACTCTAACGTGATCCCCCTGGAGGCTTTACAAATAACCGTCATTGTTCTATTCCACAAATCCAACAGTATAAAGCTGTTTAATAGATGGAATCACTGGCTGAATATACAGTTCATCCCCTCTCAATCTATTTGCATTGGCTAAGCGTTCAAACTTTTAAATCACACCTTCGGGGGTTGGGGGTGGGGGAGTTGTTTTTGTTTTTTTTTTAATCTGATGAGAAGTTATTCCAGCTGCCACTCAAATTCTTGAAGACCTACTGGTATTCAAGGCAGGCCTGCTTCTGGAAACTCATCAGTGCTGCATGGGATAAAGTAACTAATTCCTAATGATCTAAGGTGGCTTCTCAGCAAAGAGAAGGTGAAATAAACTTGGGGACAAACTTCATGGAAAAGTCCCGTGCATGGAAGATACAAAGCTCTACCTATTTCTGGGAGTTAGCCAGGGAGCAAGCCCGCTAACCCTTCCAGTGTGGTGGCATTGCACGACAGCAGAGACTCCACTGGGGCCCCGACGAGGTAATCACAGCCTAAGTGCCCCTTCTTGATAGGTGGGGTGTGTGTGTGTGTAAGCCCCCTCCGCCTATTAGGAGCCAGAACCTGGCCTGCATCCTGGATTGGCGAATGAGGATGCAAGCTTGGACGCGGGCTTTGCCAGGGGGTGGAGCCGATGGAGCAGGGAAGGCTTTTCTTGGGTCTACTCCTTGGCCATTTAAACAGCCCTCACCTGGGGCCCTACCTGCTTTTCCATTGTCGGGTTCTCCACCCACCCAACCTTGGTTCAAGGTGATAGTCAAGGACTTTGCTGTGGCTACGGCAGTCGCTGTTTTATGGGGCCGGGTAAGAATTTGTCCACTGGGCAAATTGGCTCCATCCCGTTGGTTTTGCCTACCTCATAGCAATTGCCGCAACTGGGCTGGGCATTGGGTTGGGCATTGGGGCATTGGATTGGGCATTGGGTTGGGCACTGGGGCATTGGGTTGGGCATTGAGTTGGGCACTGGGGCATTGGGTTGGGCACTGGGGCATTGGGTTGGGCATTGGGGCATTGGATTGGGCATTGGGGCATTGGATTTGGCATTGGGTTGGGCATTGGGGCATTGGATTGGGCATTGGAGCATTGGGGGATTGGATTGGACATTGAGTTGGGCATTGGGGCATTGGGTTGGGCATTGGGGCATTGGATTGGGCACTGGGGCATTGGGTTGGGCATTGAGTTGGGCATTGGGGGATTGGATTGGACATTGAGTTGGGCATTGGGGCATTGGGTTGGCATTGGATTGGGCACTGGGTTGGGCATTGGGGCATTGGGTTGGGCATTGGGGCAATCCTTTGTCTTGGACGGAGGGGAGGTAGTAGTATCCGCCTGCCCCTCCAAATTCTGGGGTATCCCATTAAAGTTATCTGGGAAGAGTGGTCATGTCCGCGTGCCCAGGTGGGGCCAGGGCTGAAGGCCCTGCCCCAGTGTGATGGCCTGGGACTCGGGCTCGGACTTGGAACCAGAGGAGTCTCAGTCTGCACCGGATCTTTTGTCTCAGGCAGCATCTGAACCAAGTCTGGGGCCTGATTCTGAAGAGCCCCACTCTGCACAGGCTTCCCTGCAACAAGCACCAGCTGGGCCAAGTCAGGGGCCTGAGCCTGCCCTGGCTCCAGATGCAAGAATTACCTCGTTGCCTTCAGCTGGGCAATCATTTGCAGCTGCTCCACTACCAGTTGGGTCAGGAGAGGCTGAGGCAGCCTCTGGGTCTAGTAACCCACTGAAATCTCCTGAGCTGCAGAGACTAAGGTCTGAGAGGAGAGACCCGAGTACTCGCAGGAGGAGGGCTCGCCTTCGGGCAAAACAGGGAGGTGAGTCACTGGGGGATCAGGACCGGCTGTTGCCCCGACAAAGAGAAATGTCTGTGGGACCCCACCC